CAGTGCATCACTTACATGGGTTCAAGAGTCTTCGAGAGCCATGTCTTCAAGGCATCGAGGTTTTCAATGATCATTTTTCAGGGGAGGGCTGTTTTTCTGCAGCTGTGCCCCTGTGAGAGTGGTCAACAACAGTGAGTTTGTAGTCTAGTCAGGATATAGTAATGTGTTTGTACTGTCAGGCCTCATTCACTCACTCACTTACTTACCGCCCTCATAAACTCCGGCTAAAATATCACATCTATTGTACAGCAGTCAGGGAAGAAAGCCGGTAACTGAGAGCTTAGATACGGTGTTTAATTTAAGAGTTGGTAGGGGTTGGTTTCTTTGCCGATGTGAACGAACTGTCCGCCACACTTTCTGCTCTTTCTTACTTTCGAGAAATGGCGACTGTTTACTCTCGCGGGCAGATCTCGCGAGAGCACGCCGCCGCACACGGTCACTTCCAGACCTATGCTTCCAGAGAGTTTCTTAAAGGGGCAGGCAGCCTCACACTTGACAAATCAGATTCTACAGTATATGAAAATATGTTTCTTTAAAAAACATTTCAACTTTTGTGTTATTTGAATTTAGTTCATACATACCACCCAGCATGGCATGTGGATATTAACCGACATCAGAGAAGCGTTAACTTAATTGTATTATTATAATAATTATTAGACTATTATCTAACTTATATTATTGACCTAACTTGTAAGCTAAAATCTCAGGGGGTACTTAAATTAGAGCAGTAGGATTTCTTTCGAAAGGAAATTTAAAAGATAAAAAAAGTGATAGGATGGGGACAGTCAATGAATTATGAATAATTTACCGTCATTATGAGAATAACATGTAATCAATAAAAAAAATAATTGTAGTTTGATTACGAGCATTTTAAAATGTAACAATCTAATCACAAGCGCTTAATTTTTTAATATGCACTCACCTAAAGGATTATTAGGAACACCCGTTCAATTTCTCATTAATGCAATTATCTAATCAACCAATCACATGGCAGTTGCTTCAATGCATTTAGGGGTGTGGTCCTGGTCAAGCCAATCTCCTGAACTCCAAACTGAATGTCAGAATGGGAAAGAAAGGTGATTTAAGCGATTTTGAGCGTGGCATGGTTGTTGGTGCCAGACGGGCCGGTCTGAGTATTTCACAATCTGCTCAGTTACTGGGATTTTCACGCACAACCATTCCTAGGGTTTACAAAGAATGGTGTGAAAAGGGAAAAACATCCAGTATGCGGCAGTCCTGTGGGCGAAAATGCCTTGTTGATGCTAGAGGTCAGAGGAGAATGGGCCGACTGATTCAAGCTGAAAGAAGAGCAACTTTGACTGAAATAACCACTCGTTACAACCGAGGTATGCAGCAAAGTATTGTGAAGCCACAACACGCACAACCTTGAGGCGGATGGGCTACAACAGCAGAAGACCCCACCGGGTACCACTCATCTCCACTACAAATAGGAAAAAGAGGCTACAATTTCATAGCTGCCAACTCTCACGCATTGGCCGTGAGACACCCGCATTTGATTGGTTTCACACGCTCACACGCCACACTCCCGATTTCTCACGCTGAAGTGTCAACCCGGGCGGTCAAATGCCTGGAAGATGAGTTTATCTATATATCTACCTGTTGAGCCACTCGTGATCGACTAGTTATACCGCAAATTCGTTAAAAATCTCCCGTTATCTAGAGCAAGCGTGCATGCGAGACAGAGATTGTGCTCCAAACCGCGTAGAGCGAGCGAGAGACCTTGCGCGAGCGAGACCCCCCCCCCCCCCCCCCGTCAACAAATCTCACGCCGAGCAAAACTCAAAAGTTGGCAGGTATGCAATTTGCAGGAGCTCACCAAAATTGGACAGTTGAAGACTGGAAAAATGTTGCCTGGTCTGATGAGTCTCGATTTCTGTTGAGACATTCAGATGGTAGAGTCAGAATTTGGCGTAAACAGAATGAGAACATGGAACCATCATGCCTTGTTACCACTGTGCAGGCTGGTGGTGGTGGTGTAATGGTGTGGGGGATGTTTTCTTGGCACACTTTAGGCCCCTTAGTGCCAATTGGGCATCGTTTAAATGCCACGGCCTACCTGAGCATTGTTTCTGACCATGTCCATCCCTTTATGGCCACCATGTACCCATCCTCGGATGGCTACTTCCAGCAGGATAATGCACCATGTCACAAAGCTCGAATCATTTCAAATTGGTTTCTTGAACATGACAATGAGTTCACTGTACTAAAATGGCTCCCACAGTCACCAGATCTCAACCCAATATAGCATCTTTGGGATGTGGTGGAACGGGAGCTTCGTGCCCTGGATGTGCATCCCACAAATCTCCATCAACTGCAAGATGCTATCCTATCAATATGGGCCAACATTTTTAAAGAATGCTTTCAGCACCTTGTTGAATCAATGCCACGTAGAATTAAGGCAGTTCTGAGGGTGAAAGGGGGTCAAACACAGTATTAGTATGGTGTTCCTAATAATCCTTTAGGTGAGTGTGTATATATATATATATATATATATATATATATATATTCAAAAAATGAAGTACTTGCTATACCAACTCGTGTGTGTGTATATAATTATTACTATACAATTATTTTGTGACGTAACCCTGTGTTCTTCCAATGTTCTTTATTTTTAGGCTACTCTTGTCTGTATTATTTTAAATACACATTCATAATATAAAATCTTAATGTTTTTTGTATCATGCATAGTCCTGTTTCACACTAAAATATATTTGTCATGTCATATATGACTCATTAATGAAAACAAAATCTAATGATTTGCCACTGTGACTCTGTGATGCATAAAATAATAAATGATAGTGTAAAGATTCACAATGTCTCATTCTAATGATGTTGTAAAATTACACAAATAATGTTATTGTATTTTATTAAATTATTAATGAAAACTATCATTCAGTTCAAAAACAACTTGAGAGTTTTCAACAGGACTTTAATGATAAATCTTCACGTATAACAAAGCATTTTCTCTGTACAGATCAAGGAGACATTTAAAACAAATCTCTTACAATTTGCCGTACCTGGAAAGTGCACACAAAACAAAAATACAATTCATAGACAGAAATAAAATTCATGCTGTACATTTCATACTGGATTCATAAATAAGCACAGATATACACACATCCATTAGTGACGGCTAAAATAAAAGCAGCTCAGTAAGTCACAGGTCTGACATGACGGACGAGTCGCTGCTGAAGTCTGTCTGGCTGTCCACAGGGGTCACGAAAGGTCATGCCATCGAGTCATCGATCATGGAGTCTAATGTCCATGACGAAAGAGAATAAAAAGGCACTCCATTCGTTTAAAGGAAGAAAAACGCATATACATATAAAGAGATATGTGAATAAAAACAGCCACATTGGGAATCTCCGGTTTAAAAACAAAAAGACATTGAGATTCTAAGAAAAGCAAGATTTAAAAAAAGAACAAATGCAAAGAAATCATAGCATCAATCTAGATCTCTCGGTATATGAGCAAACAGCAGATGCAGGGAGCACTTTGTGACAGGAAATAAAACAAACAACATATCGGTTTAGACTTCAAATCTAAACTTCAGCACCATCGCAAACTAAAGCACATATATGGAAGAACATATACAACACACACCAAACAAAACCAACATCCTGATAAAGACGTCTGCGTTTTGGTATTCATTAATATCTTCATATTATTGATCACTTATACGTTTCAAAACAACCGCCCTTTAGTGAAGGAATGAATTGTGTCACTCAGAAAGACATTAGTGTAAGAAAATGAGAATTAAAGCAGACTAAGCCCTTTCAAAAAAACACTATGGAAAAGATAGCGTCCACCAAAATACCTCAGTTAATGTAAATGTTGTAATTTGGCATTAACAAATGTAAAAGCTTTCTTAGACTTCATATGATTTTACCATTCCGACTATAATTGACTAAAGCATTTTGCCAGAAACTATGGTTACTACGGTACATTTTTGTAAGGGAAACAAAAACACACGTACACACATCTTATGGTGAAGAAATAAAAACTGCATATGGAGGAGCAAGAATTCAGACGTCAATTAGTAACTGTGAATTCTCTAGAAGGCCTGGAAGTTTACCTGCATAGTAAACCAAGACTGCATGGCTTAGAAATATAAAAGAGGAGTGGGAAACAGCGTCTCACCTGACTGTCGAATTATACGGCATTGGTTCTAGCTGTCCCGTGGCACACAAGTACCCCCGCTCCCCTATGTAGTGCTCGGTTTGGATACTAGGAAGACTGCGGAGCATCGTTTAACCAGTGGAATGCTTCAATAAGTGTAATCAGAAGGACAAACCGTATTGCTTACTGTCTCACAAAGCCCTTCGAACTTTTCCCACTTTGTATTTGTAGTGTTTTATCCCAAAAAAAGAACTGCAGATGCAACAAATCAAACTGTAGTACTGCATATACATCCACAACATTGAAATCAAATCTTGCACTCTTCATTGAAATAACTACATCGTAATTCAAGTAATGAACATTCAACAGTCATGCGCACACACACACACACAAAACAAATCAACCTTAGCACTCCACACACATCAGTTTTGTTATAAAATGAAGCGGTGTATGATGTGTTGGTCTATACGTCACACGTATTGTGAATTATACTGGTGTAAATGATCGTCCACCTGTCGAGGTCTGTGCCAAAGCAAGACTGTGCAAATAAATAATGCTTGTGTCCACTGATAAAATATTCGAGGAACATCCAAAAGTTACCCAAGATCACCTATGAAAGGCCACTGAATAAATGGACACGTACTACAAAACCACATAAAATGCATATCCGGACAGATATTGTTGTAATGATGCTGATGATGACGGTGTGGTAATGATGATTAACATAAAATGGGCGTGGTGGAAAAGACAGAGAGGGCGGGGTCAGGAGGGTCAACATTAGGATTTTCACAGATTTCAGACACATATAGTCAGATGGTGCCTGCACCAGTCCAACTACACGTTTACGCCAACACATACGACATGTACGAGGGAACATGCATACGTTTGGCTCTACAACACACAGATTTGCATACAGGTGCTAAAAAAGTCCTTCTTATTGATTCAGAGAGAGGAGAGCCATCCTCTGAACTGAAACAATGGGTTTGGGTGATTGACAGGGCAGTGGGCCAATCAGGCAGGAAGGCTGGGATTTAGGGGGCGGGGTCAGGGCTGCTCTTGGGTGTGATACTCTGTTTCTCCAGACGAGATCTGAGTGAGACGCTTACTGGAGCCCCAGAGTTTCCTCGTAATCTGGCCAGAACGCATCTGAGGAACGGAGAGGAAAGGAGAGGAGAGTGCAGTGAAGGATAAAAGGAAAGAGGAGGTGAACAGTGGGGGAAAAAAGATGATTGATGAGTGCATGTGAGATCATCTGTGCTGGATTCACTTTGAGGTTAGTGCAAAATCAAAAGCTACATTTCATGTGAGACAACTCAAAATAAGATGAGATAAGGAAATGATAGTTGTATGACTATGTACGTATACAAACCCAAAGGCCCGAAATATACTCGACGCAAGTACGCAAACACAGACGGAATGCTTTGCGAATGCATTTCAAGCGAATGGTCCTGTTGCACATACTTGAAAATGGCAAACTGAATCAGTGTTTTCCATTTTCTTTTGCCTGAGGCAGAGACTTAATTTGCCTTAACTAACCTCAGAAATCAATGGGGAAATAGAGTTAAAATCAAATGATGCGTGATAATTCAAGGAAATCAAGCGTGATTAACTTTAACTCGCTAAAAAAAGATTCTCTACAAGCATGTTCCACTATGAAAAACGTGAACATAAACGACAGTTTATATTAATGTCCGTTATAGCACCCCTTGTGGAAATGCTGAGAACGGCAAACGCACATGCTCTGAGTTACGAATTTCATTTTGGAAATCACTGATGTGTGAAATCAAGTTTACTTAGATAGAAGCGTCTGTGATTATGTACTGATGTAGAGAATGTTTCAGGCTGTATTCTCCAATCAAAACATATCAATTCATCTAATGCAGAAACCCAAATGCTGCTATTCAAGCTACTGATATTTAAGTATTGCATTGTTTGAAATATAAAAAAATAGCTTCAGTGTTTGGCATGAATACCTGCGCATTCAAGCACATCGAAAAATGTCCGTAAAGAAAATAAACAATCATCCAAACCCTCCTCAATGATTTTACAGTTTTAAAACTATTCTAGAATTAGCATGACACTACGAGTTATTTATTATTACTACTACCGTTGGCATTGTTAGTAGTATCATCTCTGGTTAGGCTACAACTCCAACTGCTAATAGAAAACTAAGTAAACAACATTTACACAATTACCACTGATTATACAACAAATGCTCAAGTTAGAAATCCTTGGCAATAGTTTCAATGCACGTTTACATTTTTATGTTTGTGTGCGTGTGTGTGTGTATTGTTTGTTATGTTTATGTGATTGATTGATTGCTTGTCTATGAAATAGCAAAAATGTGATCAGATGTTATCAGCTAAATCTGACAGTACTATTTTCAGGCATGTCTTTAAAAAAACGTAAATTATGCTAAAAATGCAGATTGGAGTTATGGTTTTGTGTTCAGATTAGTCTGTAGTCCCTATTTAGATAGCTAGGTAAACATCAATAATTGTTGTATCTGAACTTGACATCTGCTAAGTGTGTGCGTGTGTGTATTTGTCTCAGATGACGTCATGGCTGAACGTGTTCTGGTCTCTGAGATGCAGCAGGCGTGCGGGCGATCGCACCCGCAGTGTGTTCATGAGAGGCGAACCCTCCATCCTCTGGGTGATGTAGTTCCTGAAGGAGTTTTTTACCTCCGCGGGTTTGCCGACGCCCACCACGATCAGCTTGCCATCATTGAGTCCCACCAGGATGTGAGATTGTTCCTTGGTCACAGATACGCTCCTGATCGGCACCCGCATCGCCATCGGCGACACACACAGAGTCAGGCTGCCGTGGTAACCAGGAGAAAGGGTGTGTTATGATCATAAAACAGGCATGCTTACAATCTGATAGCAATCATAAAACATAACAAACACAATTACTCGATTACCAAAATAATCGTTAGTGACAGTCCTAATGTCACTCAAGAGCCATTACTTTCTGGCTTCGGGGAATTTAAAGGGATAGTTCACTTTGAAATTAATTTTTGGTTTGTTTTAGCTTACCTCAAGGGCATCCAAGATGTAGGTGTCTTTGTTTCCGCAGTAGTTTCAATTTTGATATTTTTAGGTCAAACCGTTCTTGTCTGTCAGTCATATAATGCAGGTCTATGGTCACCACCTCAAAGAGCATGCACAGAGAAGTCCAAATTAAACATGATTTATTTGACTTGTAAATGTAAGTACACATTGATGGCCTAAGACACGAAACGAGCGGTTTGTGTGAGAAAACGAACAGTATTTATATCGTTTTTACCTCTTGTAAACACAGCCACGTCCAAGTGATCTGAGGGCGCGGGCGCTTCGGTCTGCGCAAGCGCCGGAAGTGATCTCTCGCGCGTGTAAGTCACTCATTGTTTACACAGAGATTTCGGAAGTGTTACCTTTCACTGTAAAGATCTAAACATATTTAGATATACAGGAAATCGCAATGGAAGACGATTTTACGAAGACGAATCTCTGTGTTAACAATGAGTAAAACCGATATAAATACTGTTCGTTTTCTCACACAAACCGCTCGTTTCGTGCCATCAATGTGTACTTACATTTACGAGTCATTAAATCATGTTTAATTTGGACTTCTCTGTGCATGCTCTTTGAGGTGGTGACCATAGACCTGCATTATATGACTGACAGACAAGAACGGTTTGACCTAAAAATATCAAAATTGAAACTACTGCGGAAACAAAGACACCTACATCTTGGATGCCCTTGAGGTAAGCTAAAACATACCAAAAATTAATTTCAAAGTGAACTATCCCTTTAAAGGATTTGTTCACTTCAGAATTAAAATTTCCTGATGATTTACTCACCACCACGTCATCCAAGATGTTCATGTCTTTCCTTCTTCAGTTGAAAAGAAATGAAGGTTTTCTGTACAGGTCACGCGTGGTCCGGTTCGAAAAGGTAGGGTAAGGCGAAGAGCGAAAAACTTCATCTAATTTTCTCCTCCAACATTGTTGTTTTACCTATTATTTATTATTTTGTAAATGGCGTTTGACTTAGTATTTGCACGTTTGCTTTGTAAACACTAGGTCGGTACTTCCGCCTCCGTCACGCGTGACCTTTCAACGTGATTACGTAATGAGTGGTGCATCGCAGAGCTAGTGCAAGACGAGCATTTGTGGTTAAAACGTATAGAAAAGTTTATTTTTTTTATAAAATGGCCGATGGTTTGGCTAGAAAAGACCCTTATTCCTCGGCTGGGATCGTGTAGAGCCTTTGAAGCTGCACTGTAGCTGCAATTTGGACCTTCAAACTGTTGGACCCCATTGAAGCCCACTATATGGAGAAAAATCTCGGAATGTTTTCCTCAAAAACATTAATTTCTTTTCGACTGAAGAAAGAAAGACATGAACATCTTGGACGACGTTGGGGTGAGTAAATGATCAAGAAATTTTGATTCTGAAGTGAACTAATCCTTTAACTGCTGAAACTGCTTGGTTTTAGAAAGCTGAAGCTTGTTTAAGTTCACCTGTACAGATCTCTGACAGACAGGAAACCCTGCTCGCTGCCGATGACAACATGTTCTCCTGAAACACACATGTCTGTCACCTGCTCCTTCAGAGGAGCACCGCACAGATGCTTCCCGTTCACCGAGTACAGGTGCAGGGCGTTCTTATCCTGCAAACACCACACACAAAGAGGATCGCTTTACATGGGCACAAAAATATGTGCGGGGAGAAGAGGAGGTCGTGTTTGATACCTTCAGTGTGGCTTTGGGCTCTATGCAGGTGTGCACCACTAGATGTCCCTCCCAGGACACAGCCAGGTGCATGATGGACATGGGCAGAGAGCTCTCACACGGCGGCCGCAGAGACCGCATGTACTGACCTCTCCGAACAGAGTGAATCATCACTGTTCCATCCTGTGACACAAAAATGCCTTCATCTTTATGGTTCTACCTTTTTTCCTTCTTGAAATCCACTTTTCTGGCCAAAATATCTGATCATTTTTCTGACCCTTAAGGCCCTTGCACACCGAGTCCTAAATTTTCATTTGCGTTTTTTCATATTCGGTGGCTCTAAACTGTCAAAACACCATTCAAACACCATTCAAAGTGCTTGCTACGGATCCGGTTTTTTTTTTATGACGGACGAAAGTTTCGGAGGCAGTGTGCAAGCGTGATTGACATAACGTGAGGTCGTTTTTATTTGTTAACGTGCGAAAATTTCGGATGCGAATTTCTGACTCCGTGTGCAAGGACCTTTTAGGATGGTTTTACTACTAGAAATTCTATATGTAAATGAGCTCTATTATGATTGGTTAACACAATGCCACTGTTGATGTCAACTTTCTGAATTCTGAATAGGTGTAAGAAGTAAACAGTTGCTGCGTCCCAATTCACGTATCCATCCTAAATAATATTAGAAATTAGAATTAGTGTGTCTCAGATCATTGTATGTTGTAATGAGTATTGCACTGATACCCAGATGGTCTAATATTTCTGGTTAGAAACCGAAGTGCAGATCCATGCACACCCTAACAGCTAATATTGCCCATTGCGCATTTGACGAAGATTCAATTAGAACTACAATTTTATTCACATTATATTTCATCTGCAACAGCATTGTGAACTTTTATAAAGATGCGCTTTGGTCATTAACTTTTAAACGCATCATTATGCAAACACAAGGAGAGTCGCTGCATGAAAGACACACGACTGGCAGATTAACGTGCCCGTGCGTTTCTCTCCGATACGGTAGGAAATTAAATTAAATTGAATATGGAGGATTTTAACTGTGATAAGATGACTGACAGGGCAGTTTATACGGTGACAGGGTGCACGTACCTAAGCAACAGAGAGGTCCGTTAAACACACAATTATGATGAAGTAGTTTTGTAGCAGGTAAGCTTAGGGACACACTCAAAAAGTATGTACTTTTCTTCACAAAAACAGTACATACTTTTAGGGCATAGTATAAGTGGGCAAATTGGAAAGCAGCAAGTGTTTTTGAGTGACTGTGTGAGAGAAGAGTCTCACCCTTGATCCAGAGACCGCCATATCCAGCTCTGTACTGATGGACACACTCACAACCTCATCTGTGTGTCCGTATAACACCTGCACTGGCTTAGAGGACAGACCCACCGGAGCACCTCCCTACACACACACACACCAAGTTAACAGAGTCCCAGCACAGCAGTAGAAATACAAACCCCTTTATATGAGGAGAGAACAAAAATGCTCCACACCTGCTGTAACACCTGCCACACCATGCAGGTGGTGTCTCTGGAGCCAGAGATCAGGTGAATCCCAAAGTGATCTGTGGCCAGGCACGTTATGATGTCTGCCGGGACAGAAACATATAGACACAAACATGCACAAGTTAGCAGAACTCTTTCCTGCAACTCAAGGTTAAAGTGAGAACATACAATCTGGATGCGTTTATTCATGAGATAAAAACAGACCGGCGGAAAGAAAGAGGGGAAGAAGAGGAAGGTCAAGAGAAGCAGAGAGTTTCCATTACCCATGTGGCGGATATGTTGACCGACTGTTTTGCCCTTGACAAGTGACGTCACTCTGAGGCTGTTGTCCCAGTGGCCTCCGCTGAAGAGCAACTTCCCGTCATGAGACACAACAAACAGGTGAGTGGTGACTTCAACCCCGGGAGAGAACGGCCCTGATAGAAACCTCTGAGTCCTACAGAGAGAGAAAGATTTTAAAGGAAGTGCAGGGCAGCTACAAACAGGATGTGAGACGTTAACCGTGAGAGAGACTCACTTTGGACTGGCTACGGTGGGGTCTTTGATGAAGGTGAAATAGTTGGATATGTTCTTGTCGTAGGGCAGCCAGCCATGAGTTCCCATCAAGCAGTTGTGGCTCAGCGTTACCTTGATGACCCAAATACACATTATTTATGATTAGAGTAAGGGCATTAAAGACAATGTGGAATGGTATTTGCAATGCATTTATTTATAATTTTGGGATTATCATGTATTATGGCCATTATTGTAAAATAAACACTGTTAGGGTTAGGATCAAGACTCCAACAGTACATAGAAAATTATATAAAATAATGATATTTACATGAATATAAAATTACTTTGACTCAAATATTTGTATTATACATTTTAATTTAATTTGAATATTTTTATTTTTATTACAGTGTGCATTGATAAATTGTCCATAATGAGAGAGAATCATAAAAAAAATGTATGTTGGTGTGTACATTATCTCACTTAATACATGGCTGCTTACCAATTAAAATAAACTCAAATAATTATACATATTTATTTAAATTATATATAAATTATTTGAGTCAAAATTATTTTTACATATAAGTGAATAAATATATACATATGTAAATGCATTGATTAAATGTGCACAATAAGACAAGGGACCTTAATCAAAAATAAATAAATAAAATAATAGGGTCAATTTAGATGTTATGTCTCTTTAAACCTGTCTGTAAGACTTACCAGAGTATCTGGACTCCCCTGCGAGATAAATGAATGTGATTGGTTCTTAGGGACAACAGCTTTAACCAGAGGCACATTATCACTGATGCCCTAAAACACAGAGATGAAACTCCATCAGTCCACAGCTGTCACTCAACAGAACAACACCGAAATGCAGGACTGCTCATTCAGTCACCTCAATGAAGAATGATTTGAGTTCAGTGAGGTGCTCAAAAATGTTGAGAGGACAGGAGTCCAGACGAGTTCTCCTCTTCTCCAGCTCCTCCAGAGAGAGACGCACGGGATGGGGCTCCTGAATGCACATTAACACAGAGCATCTGTCATGTTTATGTCATCTGTACACTAATGCTATGCACTTTATTTTACAGTCCAGTTCCCCATGTACATACTTATTATAGTAATTATAATAACGGGGTAATAACTAGGTACTAACCCTGAACCTACTCCTAAACCTAACCTTAACCCATGTACTGCCCAGCACTTTCTTATTAGGTAAGTATACTGTAAGTTCACGTACTGTAAAATAAAGTGCAACCCATTTAACACTGAAAAATGACAATTCTGCCACCATTTACTCACAAATCAAGTTTAAAGCAAAGTGAGGGTAAGTAAATGTCAAATGTTTTGTGTGAACTCATTCTTTAAAGATGCTGCAAATGTTCAGTGATCTCCATCTGAGCTTGTAATAACACTGCCTGCATGTTTGAAGAAGCATCAGAGTGTCGTACCTTCAGTAACTGGCACGGTGTCTGTCCAAAGTTACTGATCATGCCTTCTAGAGCTTTCCTCTCCTTCTCATCTGTGATGGCGTCCAGATCAACAGCCCCTAAAACAGCCAGACACAGTCTCGTTTTGCTAAATTTAAATGTTGCACTATATTAATTATATTTACACTATAAACACTATAAAGTGATAATTTGAAGTCATTATCGCAACATAGACACCAACAGGTTGATAAGGACCCTGATGTTAAACAGACACGTTTTATTTCACCCTAAAGGACTTTGTTTTTCTGTCAATACATGATTTTGGTTATTATATGGCTACTTACCAAATTAATTAATTAATAAGTGTGCATAAAATATGGTTATATGTTGAAATTATTTCGCTATGTGAGAAGAGACAAAAAAGACATGAATCTAGCACTGCTATGTATGAAATTAGATGTCTGACTTGAGACCACAGTTTAACAGTGTCATTTTAGTATTATTTATATAGTATCATAGTATTTATTAATTTTAAGAATTAGTTTAAAGGACAATATTCATTCACCAACATCATTCTAGCACAGTAATTGTGGTATTTGTACATAAATGGTGCCTTTTTATCATGTCTAGATCAATGCAGCTATGGTTTCTATTAAAAAAAAATTGCTGTAGAAATGGTAGTTTAAACATTAAATAAACTGTAGTTGATGAGCATGTGTACACGCACACCTTTACACTGATAACTACCAAAGCTCAGTTTATTGAAATAACTCGATTTACCGGTTTACATGCAAATCAATGACCTGCCAATGCAAGTTAACCGTGTGGTTACAAGACTGTGTTAATAAAAAACAACAACAGGTTATTCCCCGGTGGTGACGTCAAAATGCAAGCATCCATGTATTTCACTCAGAGTATTCTATTTTTATATTTGTGAGTTGTGATGTTAAATAAAGCATTAAAAACCCCAGAGTATTTCAAAATGTCAGCAGGACTCATTCTCCTCTCATATTTGAAGTGCTCGCTTTCAGGTTGAGCTTTCCGCGACTGCGCAACTGGGGTATAGGTTGCCAGGTTGAGATGACAAACGGGTTGAAATTGTATATGATGTGTGTGGATTGTGTGAATATAATGCATTTAATACAAGATCTGGCAACTGGTCAACATTAGACAAACATATTGGTCCGATTATTCATAAAGGAGTTTGGGCCATGCAAATTACGGGAGTTTCCCAGGAGAAATAACAAACCGGGAGGGGTCCGGGAGATAGGACTAAAAAACGGGAGTGTTGACAGGTATGTGTTATCGACATTACAACTTCATACCTTCATAAGTGCAGTAATAGAAGACATTAAGGGCCTCCACTGCAGCTGGGCCCCTCTGTTTATAGCCAAAGATCAGATCAATCCATTCATGCAGATGGGCCGACACATACTCTGATTCCTGAGCAGAGACACACAACATCCACATCAAGAAAGTGCTCACATGCTATGCATCCAAACCATTATTTCTTTAAGGATAGACCTGGGGCCAGATAGAATCTGCCAAGAGGTGACTGGGAAAGACTCTTTTGTCGTTCCAGTTTTGTAACCTTTCACAAAGCCATTACTTTAATAGGACAGAAGCAGCAGAGGAATTGAGAAGAAGAGAGAAACAGATAATGAGAGAGGAGCGTATTCAATTACACATCCCTCCCCGGAGGCTCTCTATTGAGGTTAGTGGGGAAGAGCAGTGATGAGGTCATCAGAAACGGGCTCACCAGGGCTTTGCGGTGCTTGTAGATGAAATCCTCGGGAGAATTGGCCCATTTAGGCAGGATGACATCATTTACCCTCTCTTTAGAGATCTGCAAGCGACCCAGGTCAAATCCTACAATGAAAGAGAGAATGAGACGATATGATAAAAAGGAGTTTATAATGAAGGGAAACATGACACTTAGTAGGTTGAAATTAAGTTTTTAAAAGTGAAGTATCATTTTATTTTCTAAATGAACCCGCATTCAATTTTCTTAAACAGCTTGAAACACTTGTTTAAGCTATTTATTTCTTCTTGAATGTTTGTCAGAAACATGTGCACGTTTCAACATGTGGATGTGCTTTGGAAAGGCTGCACATCTTTTGTGTTGGGTCATATTGACTTCTGTTTTTACATGAATCTTTTGAATGTTTTACACATTGACAATTTTTGCCAAATTGCATGGAAACGGAAAAGTTGTACCCAGTTTTTTAACACAACAGGAGGGTTTAAAAGCTTTCTTCTATTCCAGCTTGACTGGCAACACTAGCTCAAGCAATCTTGTGATTTTGGGATGGAAGCTTGTGTTGGAATAAATGGAAAAAAAGCGAGAGTTTTTGCAATTCTTAACGAAGTTTCTTAACAAAGCTGCCTGCTCACCGTTCTGGTTCTCCAGGAACTCCGGGAAGTAAAAGAATTCTGGGATGAGCTCTTTGACATCATTGGGATTGTCCATGAGGGTCTGCCAGGTAGCAGGAATGGAGTGAAACTGACGGTCAGCACAGTCAAACCTGCCACAGACAATCAGACCAACAAAAGATCAACTTTATTCATTTATTAGAAAATAGGATTTTGCGAAGATAGCCATAAACACATTTACATATGACTGCCCATGTTTAAATATCAATCAATAAATAGCCAATCATAACAGATGCCACTCTTAAAGGAACACTCCGACTTTTTGGGACTTTAGCCTATTCACCTTATCCCCCAGAGTTAGATAAGTCCATACATACCTTTTTCTTCTCCGTGCGTGCTATAAGTCTGTTTGACGCACCCACCGCTAGCCTAGCTTAGCACAAAGACTGGATGTAAATGGTTGCAGCTAGCATACTAATCCAAATAAGTGACAAAATAACGGAAACGTTTTCCTATTTACATGTTGTGATTTGTATAGTCACAGAGTGTACAAAAAACAAAGTCACATGAGACACAGACATATTTAACCGTATAAATACTGGGAACTATATTCTCTGAAGGCGAAGCACTGCTACTTGGGCGGAGTGATAACCGCAGCACCTGAGACGCGCTCTCTCTGCTCCTCACCACGGCGCGTCTCAGGTGCTGCGGTTATCACTCCGCCCAAGTAGCAGTGCTTCGCCTTCAGAGAATATAGTTCCCAGTATTTATACGGTTAAAATATGTCTGTGTCTCATGTGACTTTGTTTTTTGTACACTCTGTGACTATACAAATCACAACATGTAAACAGGAAAATGTTTGCGCTATTTTGTCACTTATTTGGATTAGTATGCTAGCTGCAACCATTTACATCCAGTCTTTGTGCTAAGCTAGGCTAGCGGTGGGTGCGTCAAACAGACTTATAGCACGCACGGAGATGAAAAAGGTATGTATGGACTTATCTAACTCTGGGGGATAAGGTGAATAGGCTAAAGTCCCAAAAAGTCGGAGTGTTCCTTTAAAGGTACAGTATCAAAAACAGGCCGTTTAATTCTAAGGATCGGAGAGAGAGAGAGAGAGAGAGAGAGAGAGAGAGAGAGAGAGAGAGAGAGAGAGAGAGAGAGAGAGAGAGAGAGAGAGAGAGAGAGAGAGAGAGAGAGAGAGAGAGAGAGAGAGAGAGAGAGTGGCCATGAAAAACTAAAACAATCCTGATTTTAGTTTAAAAAAAAAACTTGATTGACAGTTTACTGCAAGTGGACTTCAGGGAAGATCTTAGAATATAAGGCCTTTAAATGAATTTCACTTCAGTGACCTTTTCTTTTCAAAGCAAACAGACAACTGTGTGATTTGGTTGACAAAAGATGCGAGAACAGACAGAAAAACACTGAAATGGAATAAAAAGGCAAACAGCAGTGAAAGCAGAGAAGCCTCACCTGCCGCTCTGCAGCTGGATGTGCAGGGATGTGAAGGGTTCGACTCTGATGAGGTAATGCATGACTCCCGCAGCGTTTGAGTAGTGCGTGCCGTAGTGGAAGCGGTCTATGGTGCCCGTGGGGTCTTCAAAACTGTCATATCTGCAGATCATTTACATGCACATTAAATCAATTGCATTTATTGCTGCCGCAAAATCGACTTTCAAAACATTTGCTCTTTTGCAAAACCTAGTGAGCTGCTTCACTGTCTAAATAGGAAACTTCCTTCTGAACGAGCACCCTACATCTGAAATGGAACCTAATACACATTATATAAACAAAAACTTTTATGTCAGATGCGATTAATCGATTTGACAGCACTTAAATAATATTTAGAAAAATGGAAAAAATTACAAATAAAGCTAAATAGAAAAACAAAGCACATAACCAAATTACTAAAACTTTAACTAAAATTAAAAATGATTTAAAATATTTATAAATACTATAGACCTTATGCACCAGAGAAACGAGGGCGCCGCCATCTTTAGAACATTGTCTTTGAACTTCCGTTTTTGCAGTCGCTCTGTATATTTCTATGGCATCGCTGTCCAGGAGGAATTAGCTGGTGAAGTTGATTTACTTATTGTAGAGTTAACGAAAGTTATCATTGTAATGTTTATGATAAGCATTGTAAAGCATATGTCTTAACAAATGGACCTTGGGAATTTTTTTAACGAGCCGTTCATTCATAACTACGCAAGATTGCTGTGAAAATACAGACCGGAAGTCAAAAGACAATGAGCTCAGCACGGAAAAGGGGCGTGGCTACATAAGGTCTATAATAGTATATAAATAACACTATGAAACAGTGAAACCTGCAGTAAACACTGAGCTTTCTATCTTAGTAAATATGATCTGTTAGGACTGAGAGAACAAGACAGAGACAGAAACACACTTCTCTCTGACGGCTTTGGCGTTCCTCTCGTTCAGCACTGCCACAGGTTTGGAGAGATCTCTGAACACACGCGGATCTGACAGATCCAGCTCTTCTGACGTATAATCCGACAGGATCCAGGGGAACTAAAAACATGTAAGATCATTCAGGTAATGAATGAACGCTGATGTGTGACCATACAAGTACACCTGGAACAACATTCCAATCAACCAATCAGATTTGAGGGACAAGTTTGCAGTTTATGTCAAGTTTAGGCTTACAACCAGAGTTAGGTGCTTCTACATCAGTGTTATTCACATATCATTTCCCTCTGATTTTAGGGATGAGTTATGGGTAGGGTTAGGTTTAGGAGTAGGGATAGGACTACATTTTCGGACAGGAATGTTGTTCCAGGATCAACAAAATATGTTGATCCGGGAACATGTCTTACTTGACCATACTGCAGTTGAAACAGAATCATGAGCGTGTGTGTGTAAATGTCACTCACCACAGGATACTGAGCCAGATCATTATACGTCCTTCCTGCTATAGTGTTCAACTGCATCAGGTAGTCAAAGTTTGAGATCTCCCTGTTCACCCATTTCTGATGATAGAGAGAAGTAAAAGTCAGTACTAAATCAGCTCTAAACGTTCAGTCTACATATACAACATCAAATCCCTAAACTGAGAGTGCCTCATACGTCTGCAGTGACCTGTGTGAGTCCAGAAGCTTTGAGCAGCTCCTGCGGTGAGTGAGTGCTCTGAAGAGAGATAGAGCGCAGCAGCAGCATCCGACTGTACACTTTATTACGCACCTGTCAATCAAACACGGAAACAACCTGTCAATCACATGAGATCCACCAATAGCAAACCACAACCATCCAAGCAATTTCCAAAGAACAAAATCAGGTCCCTTGGATATACATCACAAAAGAGAAGAAAAGATTATCGCAACTTCCGTTTCATGATGACTTGAAATATTTCTGACCTCCTTCTTGAAGTTCAGGAAGTAGTTGGTCTGGTCGATGAGAAAGATCTCTAACGCCGAGCGTCGGAGGTTGTATCTGCGCAGGTGGATCTCTCTGATCTGAGACAGAGGCCATTTAAAGTCTTGACCTACACCTGAAAATGGAGAACATCAATACCATCTCTTTCCTCACATACATGACCTTTGACCTTCACACTGCACTTCCCCCATTCCTCCTCACCTTCCTCTTTCTCTGCGCTGCTGTCGTAAAAGTAGATGTGTTGTGTGGTGAGCTCGAGACGACCCGGATAGACGTCGACCACAGTGACCAGCTCACAGTCCTCTGAGATCACCAACTTCTCCTTTTGACCCGCCTCTTCTGAATCAGCCCTTAGAGAATGACAGCGAGCGTGTTCACATACACGGATATTTGATCGAGAAATGAATTGTTTTATTCCACAAAGACATGATAAATTGACAGTAAAGACATTTCAGATCATTTTTGTTCTTTTGACCTTTTAATTTATCAAAGAATCCTAAAAAAAAAATCATGGTTTCAACAAAAAAAATGAAGCTGTTTTCAACATGAATACTAATAATAATTGTTTCTTGAGCAGCAAATCAGCATATTAGAAAGATTTCTGAAGGGTTAATGATGCTGAAAATTCAGCTTTGATCACAGGAATAAATTACAATTTACATTATATTCAAACAGAAAAAGTTATTTTAAATTGGAATAATATTTCACATTAATAGACCTGGTTTCACAGACAGGGCTTAGACTAAGCCAGGATTAGACCTTAGTTTAATTAGGACATTTAAGGAGTTTTTATAAACGTGCCTTAGATTAAAAAAAAACATTACTTGTGTGCATCTTGAGACAAAACAATGGCACTGACATATTTTAAGACATCTTAGGTTTAAAGGGATAGTTTACTCAAAAAATCTGTCATCATGTTAATGTCAAAATGTAAACAGACTAAGCTGTTTAAACCGCAACATGTGCAAAGAGCCAAATTAACTGTGCCAATTATTTTAAGATAAAATCAACACATTTACACATTAAAGAACAATTTTCAAGGTGTTTCCATGAGATTGCACACATATTTTTTATGTCCATCTCCAATTATTGTGTATAAGTGATTGACTTTTACTCCTGTCCATCTAAAGCGAGACTCACTGATTGGCCGATGCAGGATCCTCCTCCAGGAGTTCCAGGATGTCATCCTCCAGATCACTGACCTTCACCTGCTTCACCGCCTCTAACAACAGTGACTCAGCGTTTACCTGCTGGTGCTGCACACCTGAGGTAACACACACAAAACCAGTTATTTCCCCAAATGCAGTCACAAGATTCATAAAAAGTTCCAGGTGACCATCTTTATATGCGTGTATGTCTTACCCAGGTTGTCTCTCAAAGCACTGGCTTCCCTGTGGGGGTCAAAGTTGTAATTTCGCACCAGTTTGAGTCGCATACGGGAGTAGTTCTCAGCGCTAGAGAGCTTCCAGTGTGTGTCCTTCTGCTGCCTGCCAAACACAAACAGCTGCTTTACAGACCACTTTTTATTTTTTTATTTTTTTTTATAGCCAACAGCTTTTAGTCTGTTACACCCTGAGAAAACCACATTTGAATAGTCTTTAAACGTATACACACATCCACCGGCACAAACAGAATCCACTCCTGATCTCTGCGACATACACATACTCACTTGTCCACCCAGGGTCCTCTTTCACAGAAGAGTCCTCTGCGCGCTGCCCTCCACTGCCTGAGGGTGGCGCTGTTTTGCGTGTGGATTTGTTTCAGCATGCTGTTGTACCTCAGGTTTTCCTGACGCCCTCGACGACTGAACGGTTCCACAAACTGCTCCTGATGATTTTTGAGGATAATGAAAATGTTTGTGAATTTCTGATAGCCATTCAATTCTGCATTAAATTTGAAAGGAAATAATATTTGCTGCCCCCATTATGTTCACCAAGGCTGCATTTATTTGATCAAAAATACAGTAAAAACAGTAATAGTGTGAAATATTATTACAATTTAAAATAACTGTTTTCTGTTTTAATGTATTTTGAAACGTAATTTATTCCTGTGATCAAAGCTGAATTTTCAGCATCATTACTCCAGTCTTCAATGTCACGTGATCCTTCAGAAATAACTCTAATATACCGATTTACTGCTCAAGAAACATTTCTGATTATTATCAATGTTAAAAACAGCTGTGCTGCTTCATATTTTTGTGGAAATTGATACATTCTATTTCTTTGCTAAATTGGAAGTTCAAAAGAACAGCATTTCTTTGAAAAAGAAATTCAGTAAGAATGTAAATGTATGAAAACACATTTGTATGTGTGTGTAAATGTGTTGGTACCTGAAAGCGTATCTTGCTCTCTCCTCTCTCTCTGTCCCTGCGGTGCAGATTGAGCATGAACGCCTCATAACAGTCCTTCCAAAAAAGGGCCATGTTCTCATGACCCTGACTGAACGTCTCGATCTCATACTGCTTCATGTAGGGGATAATCTAAAGAGACAGATAAACAAAATTTAGCTTTACAAACTACAGGGGGCGACGAAGAGCATACTATTTGAAACAGAAAATGAGTATGAGAGTTCGACCAGCATGAAATTAACTGCATTTACTGTAGTAATACAGCTCTTACATATTTATCCAAATAGACCCTCCACTCCGGGGAGCTGCAGTACAGCTGGAAATCCTCAAAGAATGACGGACTTCCGTTGGTGTCGGGGAGGGAAGGGAGGTGCAGCTCCATGTACAGGAGTTTGTCGACTTTAGACAGGAGGGTCCGGAGAAGAGGCACTAAAAACGAGTAGGTCTCCTCCGTCCGTTCCTCGCTCACGGAGCGCCTGAGGATTCCCTCCACGCGGCCCAGAAGATAACAGGCCTCGTCCTGAGAGTCCACCGTCTTGGTTTGTAAGATGCCATTCAGTTTAGCCGTAGCCATGGCGCACACCTGTCGGAAGAACAAACAGCCTGAATTAATGAAAGATTTTTAGTTTCAGATATTGGTATTGGAGCATGTTTAGGAGTACTAATACCAATAATTACTACTGTTCTAAAATGTGGGGTCGGTAAGATAAAAGTTTGGAGTATAGCAGATTATTTACAGTATAGCAAACTATTTACATAAAATGCATATAAATACCAGGTGTCACGCTATATCTCCCAATAATATGTCTTAGTAAGATGAAATTTACATGCTTAGTTTTATGATCAAAGCTCTGTAGTTTTTATCGTGGGAGAAAAACATATAATGCAATGCAATACAATGATGATTTCTTAATCATTGTTGTATTGCATTGCATTATATGTACAAATAAATGTTCCTGACCTCAAAAGCCTGATGTATCATATTTGATACTCACATTTTTAACATGATTTTCCTAAAAAACAAACAAATATGGATAGTCAAGTAAACCTAAATTGCTTTCATCCAGAATATGTTCATCTTGAAATATTCCTAACAATATACCAGTAGTTATTGTTATGTTGACTCTATAAAAATAATCATGTACCATGACCTGAAGATGAAAGTTTTTAAAATTCATCAAGAAGACCTTTTACTTGCTAAAAAAATATGAACTACTAGAAGGCATGTAGAAGATTTGTTTTTTGTTTTTCGATGGTCCACTTTAGACATTCTACTAACTATAAGTGACTTTGCAACAACATATTAACTAACTCTCATTAGAGTATTAGTAGACTGTCTACTTAATATCTGCTAATACTTTTTATCGATGGTCCCCCCAACAGACATTCTACTGACTATAAGTAACTTTTCAACTACATGTCAACTTATTCTACTCCCCCTAACCTTACCATAACAGTCTACTTATACTCTAATGAGAGTTAGTTGACATGTAGTTGCAAAGTTACTTAGTAGAATGTCTAAAGTGGACTGTAGAGTGTGTACAACAGGTTCTTTTCAGCAAAGTTTTGATCACAGGTAATAGGTTTATGAGGTCTCACCTGCGGATCTTCCTGAGCCATGAAGCCGAGCAGCAGCCGTAGTCCCACCTGAGACAGCTGGAGCCACTGCGTCCCTGAGGCGTACCACACCATCAGCCCGTCCATCAGAGTCACCGTCTCATCCAGAACCTTCTCAGTCCACAGGGCGGGATTCACCAGACCCTCAGCCTGTAGGAAGTCCTGCACCACGTGAAGCAAGCGCACAGCATTCTCTGTGTGCTGTGGTAGCGTGGCCGTCGTCGCCTCACGGTTATCCGTTACGGCCCATTCCAACATCCTCTCCATCAGACTGGACAGAAAGAGGTTAGCAAATGCATTAAAAGCCCAGTCACACCAAGGACGATAACTATATAGTTCTAGAAATCGTTCTGAATATAAAAGAATAGCAGAGAGAGTCCACACTACAACTATAGCGATAACAGCACAGAGAAACAATAGAATTGGAGTCACTTTCAGAACAATTATTTTCCAGCTGATGAATGACATTGACAGCCAATCAGAATCAATCCTGCTTAAAAACTGCAGCTTAAAATAAACAGAACAATATCTGCTGGTGTGGACGCTAATATAGTTATCGTTATAGTTATCATTCTTGGTGTCTTAACACTAGTTCTAGTTATAGATTGATTCTGAGTGCTAAAATGAGAAGCAAAAAAATGTATTTAAATGAAAATTTTGGTTTCGGCTGAAATCCTTTTGAGTTAAAGCGGCACATGAACAGATCATCGTTACATAATCATCATTATAGCACAAAATAAACATGAATGAACATCAGAGGGGCGTATTATATTATAGTATAATATAATGTCATATGTAATTGCTCAATCAGTGTTTTAACTGCAGAAAGACGTCAATAATTCATTTTGGTTTCAGTAAAAAAAAAGAAGTGTGCATTATTAGTATTTAGCTGCAGTTCCAAGGAAACTATGTTGAGCTGTATTCTCACCTGAGTTTGATGTGGTCGACGGGCAGCAGCAGCTCATTGGCAGTGCCCAGTTTGGTGAGGGCAGAGAACACCTGACCCCTCTCCAGCCAGGCAGTGTCATCTGACCCCTCCACACCTCTCCACATCACACACAACACGATCTCCAACAGCAGGCGAGACAACTCCTCCTCCGTACGCTGGGCGGAAAATCAATCAATCAACCAATCAATCAATCAATCAACCAATCAACCAATCAATCAATCAATCAATCAATCAACTAATCAATCAATCAACCAACCAACCAACCAATCAATCAACTAATCAATCAATCAATCAACTAATCAATCAATCAATCAATCAATCAACTAATCAATCAATCAATCAACCAATCAACCAATCAATCAATCAATCAATCAGTCTTATTTCAAATGAAAAAAACATTGGCTCTGGCTAATAAAGGTATTTTTTCATTTCATTTAATTAGAAATGTGTGGTGTGTTAACCTACTAAGTCCTTCACTTTATTACAACTATATATTTACTATACAATTATTTTTAAATAAAGTCTCTTATGCTCAACAAAGCATTTATTTGATCAAAAACAGTAATGTAAAAAATTATCAATGATGAACAGTTGCGCTGCTTAATATTTTTGTGGAAACCATGATACGTTTTTTTTCAGGATTCTTTGATGAATGGATTTTTTTTTTTTAAAAAGCCTTTATTTTATAATCTTTTGTAACATTATAAATGTCTTTACAGTCACTTCTGATCAACTTAATGAGTTCTTGCTCAATAAAAATATTAATTATGAACGGTAGTGTAAATTATAATGTTAGTGTAAATGTAATGCATTAGGTAAGAAAAAGTTTGTATAAAATGGCAAATATGATAAATATGATAAAAGACAAAAATGTTTTAAACTATTAAATCACTGGAATAAACAACCATTCCGCCAAGTAAATTAGCCAATTACCCTGTAACAACTTTGTAAAATCTGCACATTTTTGCATTAATGTGCCATGTCTTTCAATAAGCTAAATTCTGTTTTAGAATCGCTTGATACCTTCATTATAATAGTTACTTCTTGTTGAGAACTTACAGAGGATGAAAAACGACAACACTATCCGTACGAGGAAGTGATAAATGCTCCACTTACGCACTCAGAAACACACATCAGATCTCTAGACTCACCTCGCTGTTAAAAGACTCTCCCAGGGACACATTGTCACTGAACAGGAAGTTGTCATCATTCAGAGAGGAAGCTCCGAGGAAAGGTTTATTATTCTCTAGGGGAGACGGTGTGCTGGGCATGCTACCAGGAGTCTGACTGCCACTGTCCCCGTGATCGAACAGATGCACGTGGGAAAGGTCCAAACTCAAGACCCCTGCTTTCCCGCCCAAGGCTTTGTGTGTGGGCGCGTCCCCTGGCGTGTCGGAGAGAGACATCAGGTCTCCGTTGTCCAGGCTGTCTATGGACCTGCTGTCTGAGACGCTGTCTCGCTCTTCGTTCACGCTGCCTCCGAGAGTCCTGCGCTCCAGAGGAGGCTCCACACGGACTCCTCCGCTGCTGCGACTCAGCTCCAAACTCCCCAGGCTGGCCGCATCACCACGACCCGAACCAGAACCTCCGTCGCTCCCGGGGCTCCGGACCAGCAAGCGCATTAGAGTGCCCTGCCAACACGTCTGCTTGGAGATCTGCAGCGCTGCATCCTGATGACACTGCAACAGCGCATACAGCTGAGGGGAAAAGAAAGTTGAAATCATTCCAAAAAAAAAAAAACATTATTTCACTTAGTGCACATTTGAGTTGCAGTTTAGTTTTCGTTCTTTTGCAAATTCATGTTTTCATTTTAGTTAAAAGTGTCACCCCCCTTTTTTTTAATTTACATGAAAATGCACATTTCGAACTTAAATGGTTGTAATTCAAGAATGCTTTGGAATATAGACGTAAGATTGGTCTTGTTTTAAAGAAGACATTTGGCAGATTTTTGTAGAAGTGAAATAAATTAAGAAAGTGAAACAGAAAAAAAGTTATAGAAGTTTGAGTTTATGAAAATGTACAATGTAAAAGATTTAATTATTCATATTTTATATAAAATACATATTTTCAAAACCTGGGCGACTCTAAAACTGCAAAAAAATCAAAGCCAAAAATCTGAACAAGTTGTGTTTCAAATTTTAGGTTGATATCTCAAAAAATGAGCTTTCAGTAAGATTTTGTTTGGGCGCAGTACCAAACTTTTTCACTAGATGACAACCAGACTCCATTACTGCCCATATAAGGGCGCCTCCATTTCCATATGTGTTTTGAGTGATATGAACCATTATTTCCACAATTTTCATACAATTTATGAAGTAGACATCCTATTCAGAAGTAATATGAGAAGTTTGGCAGATTTTGATATGATTTCAACCTCTAAGAAACATAAAAAGAACACGCATGTGCGTTTTAGCTTCCTGCCACATTATATAATTTTTTTCTTTATATAAAAAAAAAACATTCAGACCTTTTTTTTTTTTTTTATAATTGAATGGATGCTATCTTTTGAACTCTGGGCATGAAAACAAACTGAGGTTTCTACCCTTCTTTCATGATTTTTCATGTTCATCACTATTTCAAAATAAAGGTCTAAGAGTATGAAAATATTATTGTTGCAAATTGATAAATTACGGCTCCTCTGTAATTTATTTTGAAAATCAATCACCAAATATGGAAACTAGAGATTGTAAGCTTTCAAATGATATATAGTTTGTCAAGATTAGTTTAGGTTTAGTATAGGATATTACTGTTTTAAAAATGTAAAGGATTTGGGCCCACCGGTGGGCCCGTGACACTTAAGGGGTTAAAGGGAAGTTCACCCAAAAATGTTTATGTCCCATGTATGAAGAAAAAAACAACAACAACAACAACAACGTTTGGTTGTTTCTTCACACAAAGCAATCATTCATCAGCTTTAAAAGCCTAAATACATAGGTCGAGTGACCCTGGACCACAAAACCAGTCACTTGGGTCCATTTTTTGAAAATTTAGATTGATACACCATCTGAAAGCTCAATATAAATAAGCTTTCCATTGATGTATGGTTTGTTAGGATATGACCATATTTGGCAGAGATACACCTATTTGAAAATCTGGAATCTGAGGGTGCAAAAAAATCGAAACATTGAGAAAATCGCCTTTTAATTTGTCCATTTACGTTTGCGATTGTGCTGCTTTCACTCACAAAAATAAATGTTTTGTATATTTACGGTAGGAAATTCACAAAATAGCTTCATGGAACATGATCTTTACTTAATACCCTAATGATTTTGTGGCATAAAATAAAAATATAATAATTTTGACCCATACAATGTATTGTCGGGTATTACCACAAATATACCCGTGCGACTTATGACTGGTTTTGTGATCCAGGGTCACATATGGATTATTTTTGGTACTTCTATAGTGTATTTTGTCCTTTTATATGTAAGAGAAACCATTTTGAAAAAAGAAGCTTTGTGCTCCAATAAAAAAATTACATACTTTGTATGCATTTTCTCCCCCCAATAACATTAATAACTGTGATATGTACATGTGAGAACTGGAGAAAGTGCTCTAACCCTCTTGCATACGGTCAGACGAACACTGGGCCCAGATTTATGGGTCAGCTGAATCACAGCCATCAGATCTTTATAGTTCACCACAGTATCTGGAGGACAAAGAGTTTAAGGTCAAAAAGGAGGGCATAAGGAAAAACAACATTTCACATCACAAATTCACTGTATAAATATACATTTAAAAATGTATAAATATAATTTATATATACTCAATTATAATTGAATCAAAGTTTTAAATGTGTGTGTACAGTTACAGTATGTGTAAATAAATATACATATACACACACATATATTTATATATACATATATGCATTCATAAATAGGTGTGTGTAACACAGATATATATAATATATACATACATATATTATAAAAACAAAAACTTTTATGTTAGATGTGATTAATCGATTTGCCAGCACTATTAAACTATGATTACTATTTGTATTATATTATATATTTTATATATTACACACTTTATGTATTTGCTTTGAAAATATGTCAATTATGGCAAGACTTTATTTCGATGGTCCACTTTAGACATTCTACTGACTTTAAGTAACTTTGCAACAACATGTCAACTTATTCTACTCATCCTAACCTTACCATAACAGTCTACTTATACTCTAATGAGTTAGTTGACATGTAGTTGCAAAGTTCCTTATAGTTACTAAAGTGGACCATCGAAAGAAAGTGTAACCTAATTTATTTTGCCACTCTTATAAATGTATCATCAATATTTGAACCGCCCAAGCCAAGCAAGGACTCAGAGTATGTGCCGAGTCAGGTGGTGTGTGGATTAGGGTTAATCAGACTGACCAGTAGACAGCACTTGGTGAAGGAGGCACTTGATGAGGGTGGAGGTGAGGTGGAGTTCAGAGAACAGCAGGCTGAGGCCAGAGTATCCCACATCCCTCAAACGCAACCTCTGTTTACTCTTCTCATACACACGGTCACACTTCAGCATCCGCTCAAACAACTGCAAAAACACACACAGAGTTTGGACTAAAGCAGCCGTTCAAATGTCAATATACATACTAATGATACATCTATTTGACAAAGACAGTATCTTAAATTTTAATTTAATACTAATTTACTTCATTCTCAAATATTAAGTAATGCATTATGCATTAAATAAAGCATATTTATGGTTGATGAACATTCAAATATGAATACATTTCAAAATAGATTTAAATCCAAGTTCTGACTTTTCAAACTATAAGAATGAACATTAAAGTCACAAGGAAATAAAAATGGACAATTCTTGTTGGAAAATATTTATTTTAAATGATTTATCCATGCACATCATTATTTTATTTTTTTTATATTCATGTGCCTAATAATCTTTAATCATTAAAACTTCCCCTCACTCTTGCAGTGGCATCTCTTCTCTTCTCTGATGACGTGTTTACCTGTCACTCACATGACATGAGATTGACCAATAGCAAACCACAACCATCCAATCAATTTCCATTGGACAAAATCAAGTCTCGCCCTACATTTGTTCTTGTTGGAGAAGCTGTTTCACTCGGATGTACGTCACAATAGGGAAGAAAAGACTAATCGCAAGTCTGAATATTCTGGTCTCTAGACATGCTCAGGGTAAGTCTATGGGATTTGTGTGCCTGGTTAGAAATCTGACAGCATGATTTTAGGTTTCATTTGCAGAACAAGTGATGCACATACCACGTTATCGTTACTTTTGGATCTCTAACCTCAAGCATGAGATGCAAACACCTCTGATAATAATGTGCGTGTCACCGATGAAAGTCCAAAACGCTGAGAGTGTTAAGCGCACCTTGAAAACGTGCTCTCGGAGGCGGTCGGAGTGTTTGTTGTTGAGCAGCAGGGCGTAGCAGGAGTCGGCAGATCCCGGCTCAAACAGCAGCAGAAAGAGCTGGTCCCGTGCAGCGCTGGTCTGAAGAAGAGTCAGCAACAGCTCCAGGATCACACACAGCTACAACACAACACAGTCGCTCAGACACAACACAAGCACTGCATTCATTTCATTTTCATGTTTAGTTAATGCTTAAGTGATAAGAGCAGGAGAAACCGGAAGAGACGTCCATTAAATGAATTGTCGGGTTAGTAAATCCAGTTTGTGGTTAAGTACATTGAGGTTTAGGAATAATTAAAATAGAGAAAGACAGACGCTTGCTCTACTGATTAGAAAGGGCAGATCAATAACAATAAAAGAGAGTGCTTCTTTCCTGGACACATGCACAAAACACTCACGCAAACAGTCAAACATCACGTATGACTAAAAGCTATCTTAATTCAAATAGTAAAGCTAAAATAAATTCTTAAGAAAGCTTTGAAATTCAGTCTTGTTCTATTGAACTTATATTATGTAAATAATGCACTGCAGTGGTGATGACTCTTTTTAAGTATGAAATATGACTGTACACTATTTTAATTTTCCAAAATATTTATTTTTCAACTTTCTATTCAGCAAAGAAGCCTGAAAATACATATTAACAAAAATATTAAGCTGTTTTCAACATTGATAATAATCAGAAATGTTTCTTGAGCATCAAATCATCATATTAGAATGATCTCTGAAGGATCATGTGACACTGAAGACTGGAGTAATGGTGCTGAAAATTCAGCTATACAAATTATTAAATATAATTATATTTTACAATATATTCAAATTGAAAGGAGTTATTTGTAATAATATTTCACAATATTTCTGTTTTTACGGTATTTTTTATTGCCTTGGTGAGCAAAAGACAAAAAAAAAAAAAAAAATCTTACCAACCTCAAACTTTTGAACAGTAGTATACTATTTTCAGCATACTATGTTTGGGGACACACTAATCCTAATTCCGCTAATATCTTCCTCTTCTCACCTGATCCTCATCTCCAATGGCAGCGATGTATCCCAGAATGCTCTGGATCTCATCTTGGGTGGTACCCTTGCTGATGTAATACTTCAGAAGGCCACAGAGAGATGCTCTGATTGTCTTGATGTCGTCCTCACTCAGATCTGCATCTTTACTTCCAGAACTAGAAAGTAGAGGGAAAGAGAGAATGGATGAAGTGATGTCATGAGGTGATAACATCACAGAAAGGGATTGTGGGAGATGAAGTCTTACCCATAGTAAAGGCGAACTGTATCCAGCAGGAACTGCACTCCATATTTCTTCCTGAACTGCTTCCTGCTGTCTTTGATGACGGTGGACATGTACTGGATGTGACCTTCACCACGACAAACACATCATGCTCATCACAAAACGTACACATCATAACTCCACAATAGAGCGCAACAGTGACCGACAACAGCCTAGTATTCCTCACATTCATTTTCTTCATAGGGATTTCAGAGTTTTCAAATCTCTCTTCCAGATTATGGGTAGTTTAGTTCTTCAATGGGAATAATACATGATTTTTAAAAATGAATTTGATCTCGCACTAACTTGAAACTTTTACAGAATTATATTTATAATATCTTGAACAAAATAAAATACAAAAAAATAAAAGATAAAAATACAATAACAAAATTATATAAAAATAAAATGAAGGAATCAGTTATCAATGTAATAAATCAAACATAAAAAGAAATATAAATAAATCACTATATAAATGGACAAATTAATAGACAATTAAAACGTATACATGTTTTAAAATGTAGTTAAATAAAAGAATTAAACTTTAAATTAATTAATAATTAATAATATACATGTATAAAACTGTTTATATAATTGTATGTTTTCAAATGTAGGTTAATAAAACCATTAAGGAGGAACCATAAATTGTTTAAAAAATCTATATTGCATTTAAAAAAACACACATTTGCCAATTGCTTTCTTATGCATTGTCAAACAAGTTATAACAAATACATTTTGCTATGGAGAAAATGAATGGGATTTTGCACAAACATAATTACAGCATGAATTAATTCACATTTATACACTATTCAATGACAGTTTATAGTATAAATAATGCGAGCAGTGTGTTCACACTGAATTCCAAATAGAAAAAAAGTGCACTTTAAATACCGGGATGATGCACTTAATTAACCAAAAAAATCGACTGTCCTTGCTTTAAATACATAGCAGAGGGGGAGGGGCTATCAGACTCTGATGTTGAATGACAAAATAACCTTCTGAATTCATACACTACATGGTTGAATACATAGTGTAGTATAAGTGCATAGTGGGACAGGACTCGGGACTGACCGATGCGCAGGGGGAAGTCTCCTTGGTTCCAGATGCTGAAGTTGAACAGCAGGTGTGTGTGGAGCTGCTGCAGGAGCTGCGAGTTCTTCTCATACGTCATCTGCTCAATCAACAGCTGAACCGACACCAACACACTCACGTCCACCAGGAACGCTGGCAACTGCACACACACACACAGAACCAGACGGCCAAATCAAGACATGCAGAGCGGAAGACTGAGGATTCAAGAGAAGGAGGATCATGGGTACCTTCTGAAGCAGAGCTCCTAATGTGGCCACACCGTGCGAGTGCAGAAGTGTTTCCTGGTTTATGGGATGCCGCTGCAGGAAATGCTTGATAACCAGTAAGAACGTCGCTACGAGATTCTTCTCCAGTCTGGCCTCTGAATAATAAATGTCCACAAACATCACACGACAACATTGTAAAGATATGTAATAATCAGAAAAGGGGCAAGTGATACGATCTTTAAGATGCAAAAGATCAGTAACACATTCATTCTGTCTACCAACAGCTAATAACTGCTAATATTTTAGGATTATTTACATACTCTTAAAATTGAAATGTTCATGTATTTTAGTAATAATCATAAGCTTAAACACTCAAAATTCAATGTGTGAAAACCATTTTGAAATTGGACACTGCTTTACTATGGAAACTGTTCTTTTAATACAATTTATCACAAAACTTCAAATTTAGAACACAAATTGGTTAGACAAATGGCTTTGAATTACTAGCAATTTTAGAGTCCAAATTAAATTGTAAAATTATATATATATTTTGTATAAAATAAAACATTTTTTAGTTCAGTTCACAGGTTAAATTAGCTTTAATTTTTATATTTTCACCTTTTTTTAATTTTTTTATAATTTTGTTATGTGCTTTTGCCATTTTTACTAGTTTTTTTATGTTTCTTTTTCGCTTTAATTTATATGTATTTCATATTAAGTAACCAAGTTAAACTGATTACAGCTTATTTAAAAAATGTTATGCTATATTTATATTTTATTTCAGCTTTATTTCTGTTAATTAATATGACATTTAACAGATTTAGTTACAACACTGTGAAATGATGAGCGTGTGCTCACCGGACGCCCTGTTTGAAGGCAGTATGACCCAGTCTCCCTCAGCGGGTGTGACGGAGTCAGGGCTGATGAACTCTGACCCCGAGCGGTCGACGTGATGTAAATCAGGGGTTAACAAAGTCAACTGTTCCAAGACTGGAAGCAACACAGGAAGCCCTCCAACACAGTTGATCATGTCCTATAAAAGACGAGAGAGAGAGAGAGAGAGAGAGAGAGAGAGAGAGAGAGAGAGAGAGAGAGAGAGAGAGAGAGAGAGAGAGAGAGAGAGAGAGAGAGAGAGAGAGAGAGAGAGAGAGAGAGAGAGAGAGAGAGTATGTGTTTAAGGAGAAGGAGAGCTACAGACAGAACTCTGATAGATTACAAACATCAAAGATAAAAAAAAGTAATAAAGGACGGGAACGGCATACATACTTTGATATCCCAGTTGACCACTTTATTTCCTGTCATACGACCATGCAGCATATTAGGGGACAAATCCAGACAAATTGGGTTCCTACATGCCTGTATATGCAAGGGAACAATGAGACACGTGATGCGAAAATAAAACGTTTTAAGTAAAAAAAAAAACATGTGCATAATTTCTACTGTATACAGCTCAGTCATAGGTGACCTACATGCACACCACACCTTTGGAGAATAGTGAAGCAGAAGTTTAGGTGCCAAGTCTCCGAGTTCAGCTTCTTGGCTTTTAAAGGGAGAAATACAGTTTGGTCCTGCGCTACAGAGGGCTTTGACGTGACTGGCTTGGAGGGGCTCGTGGAAGACCATGACACTTCCCAGCTGCCCTTGCAGTGAGGTGGGACTCCCCCACTCACTGTCCTGAGTCCCGGCGGAAATGAGTTTGGTGACGGACTCAGGTTTGGTCCCTAGCAGCCCACCCCAGCCCGGGAGGATGGCGCCGAAAGACGTGCGTCCCGTGGAATTACCTCCGGAAAACGGAGGATCTGGGATTTGAGAGGGAGGTGGGGTCGTGGTGCGGTGACCCGCTGACCCGATACAGCATGACGTGAAGGCCTGAGAGAGAGAGAGATACAAAGACAAAAGAAATGACTGAACAGACACAGAGTTTAAAGAGGTCCTATTTTGCTTTTTTATATTTTCAACTTTCTTTAGTGTGTAATGTTGCTGAAATGAAATTCCAATTCATTTAAATGAAAACCTATTTTAGTAGAGGCCAAAAACAAAATCCAGACTCTGAAAAAGGGTATAATAGCTCCCCTGTTCTGTTTCACTTTCTGAAATGCTGCTAGGGTGGTTTTTAAGTGGGTTTTCAATAAGAACCGGTACAGAATCGGTTGTTTCTCTCACCTCAGTCATGGTTGGGTATTTTAAAGGTGCTGAGAGTTTCTGCTGTCCATCCACAAAGATGTAAACCAGACTCTGGCCAAACGGCCTCTTCCCCGGCACGTGAACTACACCAATGCTGTGCTGCAGGTCAAATACAAACTCCTCATTACAACTCAATTTCGCTTTGGTCTTGGACAAAGAACTGGGTTGTCCACGCTGTAACAAAAAACACAAACATTTCTTTGGTCATGTGACTCACCCAGAGCGAATCACAGAAGCAGTAGTCAGGCAGCATGACGGTGACGTATTCTTTCTTAGTGCACACGGCAACCACAAGCACTCCAGCTGAACTGATAAAGGCCTCGAACCCGGTGCCGCCCGGGGTGAAAAAACTATGCACATAGAAAAACATAAGAACAAGCTTTTATAAATCGTGTGAAAATGAATTAAATATTACATTTAGGAGGAGGTGCAAACACAGGATGTGCAAATTATATGTTCAAAAAATAAAGTTTTGAAATTGAAACAGATGAGCAATTACAAAATATTTGCAATGATTAAGTTTACATCAAAATTTTTTTTTTTTTTAAATAATTACTGTCTCTTGGTGCAAATACACTACTTAAATTTATCAAAAGACATTTATAATGTTACAAAAGATTTCTATTTAAAATAAATGCTGTTCTTTTGAACTTTCTATTGATCAAAGAATCTTGAATATGAAGAATCTTGAATATGAAAAATATGAAGCAGCTCAATAGTTTTCAACATTAATAATAATAATAAATGTTTGCTAAGCAGCAAATCATCATATTAGAGTGATTTCTGAAGTATCATGTGACACTGAAGGCTGGAGTAATGATGCTGAAAATTCAGCTTTGATCACAGGAATAAATTACATTTTACAATATATTCACATGGAAAACAGTTATTTTAAATGGCAATAATATTACAGTATTTTTAATTTAAAAAAAATGCAGCCTTGGTGAGCATAAGAGACGTCTTTCAAAAACTAACCTAACTTACTCCAAACATTTGAATGGTACTGTAAAAACATTATTTTGCCCACTCATTTATCTTGTTTCCTTTCCCACCAAAATCACCATCCCACCAGTAATCTCTTTTATTTCCATTCTTACCTATACAACTGTTTCCTCTTCTCTCCTTTGCTGGGCGGGCCCAGCTGATCTTGGTCCATTGACAGCCAAGCAAAGAAGCTGAAGGCGTAGCCTGGCCATCGGAGGATAGTCGGCACGGAGATGCCAGCCATGGGTGGTGACAGATCAAAATACTGCATGGCGCTCTCCAGGCCCTGTTTACGCACCATCCCCAGGAGCGAGCGCAGAACCGGACCCACATACGGGTGAGCGCGGCCCGGTTCGTCCTGCCGCAGGAGTCTCAGTAGATTCTGGAGCTCAGAGGAGCTCAGCGATTGACTGCCTAAAGAACCCAACAGCCCCACCAGACTCTCGGCACAGGCCCGGTGTAGCCGCTCGTGCCTCTCCAGGGCCGACAGCAATATGAGAGTCATGGAAGAGTTGACGCAGGTGGCTCTCGTCCGCCGGTTCAGACCGCAGATACGCCGGAGCCAGTCCGCAGTGAAGATCTGCAGCTCGGCAGAGTCCAGCTCTGGAAGCCACTGGATCAGGAGCAGGAGAGGGTCCACGTTACTGATGCCCAGGAGGCCCACGGATGAATGTTCACCTTCAACAGCCTGTGGGAATACAAAAACGAAAAGAAAGGACGTGAGACGACTCCGTTCCTAAAGTAGTGGGCTGCCCACTCAAGGTAAATTTAAAAGAAATCAAAGTGGTCAGATCACTCGAGACATATGCTAATACCAAATGTAAACAGTAGGGGTGCAATAGATCGCTGTTGCTCCGTGATCCGTAAGGACCAGGCCCCACGGTTCGGCACGCATGCGATTCGCGGATTAATTGCTAAGTTTAACCATCATAGACTAAAAGTTTCTCATTTGCATGTTTTTATTTTTTTTGGCTCATATATCTCTTTTAATTCCTTGTATGACTGTTTTAATTTTCCTTGCTTTTATTTTGTGATTATTTTAATTCCTTTCTGTGTAAAGCACCTTGAATTGCCATAGTGTATGAAATGTGCTATATAAATAAACGTGCCTTGCCTTGACTATTTACACATTCAAACGCAAGAAGAGGCAAAAGAGAAGTCTTTAACAAAGATGAATCTGTTATATTTATACAGGGAACACTATATTGTTATTTTTATACCTGAATACTACTGATATACCTTACTTTATTTGTGTAAAGGTGACTTGACTTTAGATGAGAAAGAAAGAGGCAGAAAACATGTGACTGAAAACAGGAAGTGTTCATCTCAACAGGAAGTGTTCATCTCACCATATTCATGAGTTCCTTCAGCAAGTGTCTGGATGGCTGACCCAGTGACACCAACACTTCATACAGGTGAGTGTAGCCAATCCGCTCCTTAAACACTTCCTACAAGGAAACAAAGTTGGGTTTTATTTATTATTTTATTAAATTAGTTGCTGAATAGTTCAAATTCACTAGTTTAAGATCCTTAGTCAACATATCCTGAAAGAATAACCTGGAACCAGTCCAAAAGAATCCTAATGGATTCAAATACGAATCAAATAAAGATTCCTAATGGTTATTATTAATCTTTGATCTATAACAGATCTATAACAGAAAAAAATGTTAAATTCACAACATAAATGTTAATGATTTTTCCAGGCCCAGAATACATTTTTTAAAATCCCAGATAGTTCCAAGTGTTTCACAATCATGGAAATCCTGTCCTAAACGGTCCAATTTATTCTACTGCTAATTATATGCATAACTACACTACCATTCAAAAAAGTTTTGGGTCAGTATTTTTTTTTTACTTTAAAGAAATTAATAATTGTATTCTGCAAGGATGCATTAAACAGATCAAAAGCGACAGAAGAGGAAGTGCTATAATGTTACATGTTTTAAATAATAGATTTTTAACAAAAAAAATTGTAACGTTACAAAAAAATCTGAATTTAACATTGATGATAATCAGAAATCCTCATATTATAAATGATTTCTGAAGGATCATGTGACACTGAAGAGTAATGATTCTGGAAATTCAGCTTTACATCACAGGAATAAATTAAATTTTTAACATATATTCACATAGAAAACAGTTATTTTAAATTGTAATAATATTTCACAATATTACAAGTCTCTTATTGGAGATCAAAATAGACTTGTGATAAAAACATAAAAACACGTACTGACTCAAACCTTTTGAATGGTAGTGTTTAAAGAAATATGTACATTTGTTATATGTTGGAATTCTATTATTACAAACCTTCGCAGCAGGCGACTTGTGCATCACTGTCGAGAGAGTTTTAATCGTTGCCACGGCGAGAGAGTCGAGCCTCGCTTGGAACACCTGATTGGAGGAAAACACAGTCAATCAAGAGATACAGCCAATGGCTGAAGACTTACAGTGTGCCGTGTGTCCTGACTCCTGTTCTATTCCTGCCCTGTCGGTTCACTTTGCCATGCAAATAATAAATGAAATGAGGAGCTTTGTTCATCACCAGAACCATGCTTGCATGAATAGGCAGGAATAGAATCAGGCATCAAGTCTAATTTATGTTGATTATCTGAGTGAAATTGTTTGAGTTCTGAGCCTCTGATAAAGATGACATCAGATCATCATTACTGCTCAGATCTGAAACTAAAAACTCCCCATCACCAAACACACACACACACGCACACTTCCTATATATATATATATATATACACATACATAGACATCAAAACCCCTCCACAACACAAAAGAACTCTGTCCAGCCACGCCTTATCATGAGACTCCTGATTGGCTGCTTGCAAAAATCATGTGATGTTCGTTGCAATTGGCTAGTTCATAATAGATAAGAATAGGACAAAGACCGGCTGGAGAGTGACAAGAACTGAGCAGCAATAAACAGAATAAGACATGAAATCACGTAGGTCCTTCTATACAGCGATAAGCACACACAGCTATAGGCCGATAATCTCCACCAGCAACACAAGACTGCTGAGGTCACAGCATTCAACCCTGTTACCATAACCATACCACCAGAGGAAAGGTCGAAGGGGGAACGAAACGAGAGGGAAACAAGCAAAGCAAAATAAACAGAATGAGATGATTGTTGAAAGCATGACTGAGTAAATAAACTAAAGACCACTCCATTACAAGCTTCCACATTCACAGCACTTTAAATGCAGAAATGGACTTATATATAGATATGATTGTTTTGATACCGAAACAAGGAAGTGCTGAATGGCTTATGAAACAGGGCTGACCACTTAATGTATGGTGGCAATAGATTTAGAGCCACAGTCAGGCCACAGTGCGAAAAATACATGCAATTATGGGTGGGTAATATAAGCAAAAACGTATACTTTTTTTAATATAAAATTTATTACGAGATTCTTAAACATTTTGGTTGATATATCACAATATAAACATTTGATAGAAAATGTCAAAAAACAACTGAGAAAGTTCATTAAAACTTAAAACTAGTGACAGACCAGCATATTAGCCAAATTAACATATATTAACAGAAACAGAATATATATTCCATAAAATGTTTATATTATACATACATATATATATATATATATATATATATATATATATATATATATATATATATATATATATATTTAGTACAGCTTCTAAAATCTAGTTTTAATTTCAGCTATTTATATACACTAGTTATATAATATACTTTATTATATATTCATTATTATTTAAATTTACATTAGAAATAAGATTCATTAAAAATGTTATTTCCCATTATTAAACTGGATTGTTAATAATATATATTTATTATTGTTTGTATTTTACAAAGGAGTATTTACATATTTTTTTATTTATACAGTATATTTATCTATTCTACAAGTATGTTATTTACATTATATCAGCCACATTCTGCTTTTTATATATAGTTTGAATTAAAGTTCTCATATATTTATCAGTTTTTATATTATGTAATAATTTTTTTAAAATATTTTATATCTATAATATATATTATTTTATATTAAGAATTGAAAGAAAAATACAATAATAATCTGCTTGTTTCAACCAGTATATCACCCACCCCTGCAAGTTTATATGTGACTTTTCTGACTCATAGTAACCCTCCTCAGGTGAGCGAGCGAGCGAGAGAGAGAGAGAGAGAGAGAGAGAGAGAGAGAGAGAGAGAGAGAGAGAGAGAGAGAGAGAGAGAGAGAGAGAGAGAGAGAGAGAGAGAGAGGGGGGGGGGGGGGGGGGGGGTGGTCTTGTCCTGGAGTGGTCATGCGGGCGGCGGGGGGGCGTAGGTGAGCGGGAGTGACAGGAAGCACATGGGCGGTACCTGAATCTCACTCTCTCCTGTCAGTAACCTGTTGGTTAAATCTTTCTGGTCCTTGTCTGCAGCTGTGCACCTAGCGTTAACCAGCTGCAGGGCAGAGCCGACCGCAACAAGCACAGCCGGTCAGATGAGAGGAAAGGGCAAAGGGTTAAGGTTAAAAGGCAGGAGGACAAAGGTCATGTGCCTAAGTGTTCCGTCGCTAAAGGACAGAAACATGCATGGATAGAAGGCAGTGCTGCAGTTTAGATACGTGTACATGCTGTAATTTAAGCACAGTAAGACAGTTTTAATAGCAACATACAACATACTAAAGAGACAGTTGAAACCATTTTGCACAAAGCATACGGTTCTTTAAGGCAAAGAAAAACAAACACAGGATTGTAAACATTTACACAAGAAACTGATTGGCGAGACAAATTCTCTCATGTGCATAAACACACAAAGAAAATCCTGCAACTGAACAATCAGTTAAATGACAATAGATTCTGACAGGATCTAAAACACACTCAAACAGACGGATGTTCCTGTCAAACACTGTAATGAAGGTCAGATATTCATTATTAACATCCTGTAAAAGTCCTTTAGTGTCAGTAGAGCTCAACAGTTGGGTTCTGGAAATTCCCATTCAAAATCACCATCTTTAAATCAAGATCTTTAGGGTTGTTAACTTGTTAACGTTTAAAGAATCACATTTAATTGCTGAATTCTTACACTGTTGAAAAAAAAGTGCAAAAATTGTATCTTTCAGCTTGTCTGCAAAGGTACACCTTAGTGCCATATTTACTGTAACCCTAAAGGATGCATATTATATTAGTATGTTAAGGAAATAATATGTATACCCTTAGGGTACTTTCACTCTTTAGGGTTAGATAATTATATTTTTATTTATATTTATATAGTATCTTGTTTTACAGGCTAATTGAGGCTGTTCAAAAGATTGGCGTCAAAGTTTTTAATGTTTTTGAAAGTAGTCTGTTCTGCTCACCAAGGCACTTATTTAATAAAAAATCCAGTAAAAACAGGAATATTGTGAAATATTATTACAATTTCAAATACCTGTTTTCTATTCGAATATATTTTAAGGTGTAATTTATTCCTGTGATGCAAAGCTGAATTTTCAGCATCATTACTCCAGTCTTCAGTGTCACATGATCCTTCAGAAATCATTATAATAAGCTGATTTGCTGCTCAAGAAACATTTCTTATTATTATCAACAATGTTGAAAATATTGTTGAGCTGCTTAATACTTTTGCAGAAAATTTTTTTTTTCAAGATTCTTTGATGAATAGAAAGTTCAAAAGAACAGCATTTACTTGAAATCTTAAAGGTGCTCTAAGCGATGTCACGCGTTTTTTAGGGCAAAAATTTTTTTGTCACATACAGCAAACATCTCCTCACTAACCGCTGGCTGCCTGTCCCCTGAACACACTGTAAAGAAACGCGATCTCTGTAGACAGCCCATGCTTCACAAACAGCAACAAAAGCAAACTGCAGCGACCCGCTCCCTGAAACATAATAAACTATTCCAGCCAATGACCGACAAGAAGGGTTTGGGGGTGTGGTTTGGGGGGTTAGTGTGCGGATGAGGAGGAGGGAGGGTCTAGCTAGCCTCCGTTTTGTTTGACAATAGTTCGAACGTCAACAAGAAGTGACGTCACCCAGGATCGCTTAGAGAACCTTTAATATTATAAACGTCTTTACAGTCGTTTTGATCAATTTAATGGCGTATTAATTTCTTTAAAACAAATCTTTCTGACTGAGCCCAAACTTTTGAACGGTATTATAGGTAATGTTAGCCAGCAGCTTCCTTACCAATGTGTTAGTTACCATGAGATGCTAGTCGTAGCTTTAGAGTATAAGAGACAGCAGTGGTGTTTTCTGATATATTAAAAAGGCACAAAAATCTAGATAATAAAGTATTCACAATGGCTTATTATGGGAATAGTAGTTCATTCAAAAGACACCAAGTACAAAGTCTTTTTACCCACAGGCCTTTTTTTCTGATTTTCAAATATTGATTAATCCAAGAGTGGCTTAGAAGATTTCAAGACTCATAACACTTTACTAAAGATTTCTCTGAAATGAATGCATCCAAAACAAAGGGACCTGACTAAGTCATTGTTGAGCTCTGTTTGTGCAGTGTACTGTAGTGTCGAGTTGTAAGAGGAACTCACCTTACTGTTCTGCAGGAGTCGGGTCAGATGCTCGAAACAGTTACTGTTGAGAAAGATGGCCTGCAGAACTGGTCGGTCGGAGCACTCAAACATATCCTGAATGGTTTCTGAGTGAAATGGAGAACAGGATTCAGAACAGCACTGCGGTCAAGGGCAGACAATTAAAATAGGAAGTCTTTTTTTTTTAAATAATTGGGTCTACTAGAATAGGTTTACATTATTTTTCACATAAATAACATTGTTCCAGCACCTCTCTTCCGTCAATAACTCTCTGTTTAGTTCCTGTCTCTATGAAGAAAAGCACAATGTGCTCTGATTGGTCGGCTGGACCAGTGTGTTGTGATTGGTCAACCACTTAGAACTGTTTCGGAACTGTTTCTGTCCCTTACAATAACCGCGAGTTTCAAAACACTACTGACTAACTCAACCAAGCCCTGCCCCTTTTTTTAGCATATGCCTTGGGCATCAATTATTAAGTAAGGAATATTGTGACGTGCTCGTTCCCAGAAGAAAACTCAAGACTTGAATCGAGGCGTTTCAAGGAGTTCAGAAACAGTGACACTGATATAGAGAATAACTCCCGCTGGAGGGACTTTGTGATTTGTAACATTGCATACTAAAGAAAGTTGGAAATGTAAAGAGCATAACAGATGCTCTTTAAAGAATACAACACGAGAGACCGATCTACTCACCAAGCATGTTCACCTGTAACCCAACAAAGCGGCTCTCCCAGTGCCGAGAGCGGGGCGGCGTCGGATGACCTTTGACCTGCGCTGTGGCGGCGGGGTCTGAGTTGAGCAGTTTGAAGTAGCTCTCGAGCACGGAGCTGATCTCCACCTGCCTCTGATCGGAGCTGCTGGCCAGGAGCCGGTGCACCACCTCCCTCAAACAGCCCAGAGTCAGCAGAGCCTTCCTGTCAGGAGCCTCACTGTCCCAGTCCTCCCCATCTCCACCTCCGCTCAGACACTCGCCTGTACCCAGCACTCCCAGCAGCACCTCCATAGTGGCCGGCGAGATGGCCAGGAGAGCGTTACGCTGTTGAGACGAGAAGAGACAGAAAAAAAGACTTAGATCAGAATTAGGAACAGAGATGACAGAGATGGCACGCACTCACGGCCGGATCCCCTCCCCCTGTACACCGGTACCTGTTCAGTAGGATAGACGCTGTAACGAGTGGAAATAAGGTATGGCCCCTTTAAGAGCTGCGCGCGCCCTGTTTAACTGTCGGCAGTCTGTATTGTATGTGCGCCTCGAACACCACATGTATACGGCGCCGGGTTATTTCTGTTTGATGCTCATTTTATCCGAATTTGATCAGATCTGTTTTTTGCCGTAAAGCAATTCGTTACCTCGCGAGACCTGATATCACACGATACTTCCTAACACTGAGGCCGGCGGCCCAAAGTTGCAAGGGTGGTTTTGCGGCTCACAGGCACCAGGGGGGTGCGAGACGACCACCATTCAACACGAAATCAGTAATATAAACATTACAATGACTCCAAAGCTGTTCAGTTAAGGTAAAAAAGTTACTTCGTTCACCTTTAATTGCAGCTGAATACCATTAATAGGCTAAAAAATACATATACAAGGAACTTTTGCCTGTGGTTTTAAAATACCATAGCAAAAACAACTAGTCTAACTAATATAAATTTCAAGCATTATTCAAGACAAGTAAACATTCAGTAATGAAAAAAGAACAAACAAATTCGCAAACGCACAAATAAATACAACTGAACAAAGATACGAATGAAATAAACAGTTTTTTAAGATTTTCAGGTATTAAGAAACTGTAATAAAATGTAAAATAACACTGCACTTTATAAATAAAATAAACATTAAAAATATAGTTCCAGAAGTTATTCAGTCAAGAACAGCGAGTTAATTTTCTCTTTGTCTTTTGTTGTTTGATTAACGTTATTATAGAGACGGCAGCAGGAATGTTATCCTGTATATGCGCGAATCCAATATACTGTTATGCGTTTTCTTTGTCAACTGTTTACATTCACTTAAGACATAACCAACTGTGTTTACGAGGATATTTTGACATATTTTTGTGTGTATTTGTCCGTTCAAGTGCAAAAAGACAGCATGTGTGTTTTCTTGTGCTTGAATGGTTTAAAATCACATTAAAATAACTTTTTCTTGTGCGTGCACTTTGGATATGTGTGCAGCACAGAAAACAGCATGCAAGTCTTCTTCTGCTTGAATGGTTTAAAGTCATATTAAAAATCCACACAAAGGAACCGATAAGAGGAAGCATCGATTTTCGATTCCTATCCCTAATCACGTTTGATTGCAATTTTAATTGTAAAAGAATGTACTAAATTCCGATCATCTTTCTTGCAATTAGTCAAATAGAGGGTATGCGCATGACGTCACCGTCGAACGGAGTGAATGCGGTCACGCCCACAAGTGGCAAAAAGACTGAGCGGCAGCTTTTGTTTTCAGCGTGAAACACACAAAACACATCTAAAACGGGAAAGAGCTTTACGATTGACTGTACAACTAGATTTGACCAGAAATCTGAGGTACTGTATATTTTTACAGACTGCAAAAAGCTACAGAACAGACTATATTCTGCATTATTGGATGTTTTTAAATAAACACTGACAAAAAAACTATACAAGTTTTAGGGCTGGACGATATGATGACATACAGTATAACATTAATGTAAGTGATCACTCGGATTTAGACCTATCTATATTGTATTTATATAAAACGTTTACAGGCAAATTGTCTTCATTTATTTCCCCGGCGTCGAAATCAGGCACATATAAATGTCAGGAAATACGATTCCTGGCTGCATGTCAATATCCATGGATCACTGGATCTTTGATAAGTTGTAAGGAACACTACATCGAGTCCAACTTTTAGTTTAAACTGATAATAGTTTGTTTTACACGCGTTAACGCAGTTTCCCCTATTAACTCCAGTCACGCAGCAGCTCTTTTGCCACTCAGTCCCGCTGAGGGGGGCGTGTTCCGGCGGGGAAGTGACGTTAATGCATTCCCTCTATACAGAATTGCAATTTGGAATTGGTCTTCTTTTGTATATTTATTTGCATACCAAATTGTGATTGGTGGAAATTTCATTTTACCACCGTAACTGATAAGTCACTTTATTATTTGATCTAAAACTTCAACACTACTCTTTTGCTGCAGACGAGCTCACCTGTCCACCCGCCACGATGGATCCAAACAGGTGCAAAAGGCAACATTTAAGACTGTCCTTCAGGTGCTCACTCTCCTGAAAACATTCTGAAACACACACACACACACACACACGCATGAATGAACGAAGAGGTGTCTGCTTTTTATGCAAATGACAACTGGCAACAACAACACGCTGAATTATTTTCTTGTATGCGTCCTGTTACACTACTATTCTCTTCGGTACAGAATGTTTTTCACACATTCCTCAGTGCTATAATGGACTGAAAGTGAAGTATTGACTGCATTAACGCACAGGTACAGTTCAGCAACAGAGTGACACTTCATGTCTCTGGCTTCACCCATTGACAGAGATAAGCAGTGTGAGGTTATAAGACACTGAGACTGCTTTGTTTAGAGAGCGCTGGTTATGTGCCATCGCTGAAGGCCAAATGATAAAACAGCAGATTTGATCAGTCATTGATAAACAAACCACAAGCCCCACAGGGTTCATTCAAAGAGATAGACTTACGGTAGAAGAAGGGCACAAACTCTACAGTGAGCGGTGCAGCTTTAAATTTCTGTCTGCTTCTTTCCACAGTACTGAGCTGCTGTCTGCAAGAGCGAGCAAACAAACACAAATCAGATAAACAGACCCATTACTCACACTTCACTTAGTGTCAATATCATTTCACACGATTATGAATCATGCCATAGAGCAAAGATTCCCCAACATTTTTGTCAGCCGAACCCCTTTGATCTAAAATATTTACTTACAGTCCTTCCTGAGATTTTAAGGTAATATTTCAATAATTTTACAGCACAATTGCATATTCACAGTTCTCTGATGAACCAGATAATGTTCACATGACATGCGGGTAAACAAATAAAACATTTCAAAAGTGTTCATAAATGCAAAAGAGTAAAAAGTGTAAAAAGTGGTTTATAGATTAAGTTGGATTATTTTAATTATATAAATATTGATTGTTTTAATCATAATATACTACTTTAAATAATTAATAATAAAACGTTATGAAAGATATAAAATGTTAGATAACATAAATGAATTCAATACAGATGCAATATTTTGTTACTTTAAGTGGCAAGTGTGTCAGAAGCACAGGTTAATTTCTCCTGCCCTCAAATAACCTTAAAAACACACACAAACACACACACACACAGGAGTGGAAGGAGAAAAGCTCTTCACAGAACTTGCAGAACCAGACTAGACTACATGTGTTTATTGGTAAAACACAGCTGTGTTTTTCACTTTATATGCGTTTGCCTCATTCGACGGTTTGAATCTGCGTGGGTCAGATTACTGAATAACAGGGAACTGCCTCAGATTGAGTGTTTTTGGTTAGCAACATACACACCATGACTTGTAACACACCTTCACATACAGATTCTTCACCGGCCTGCCATTATTGTAGTGTTGGATAACATTTACAAAGCATTTTACTGCAGACAATGTAATGTATTTGGTGAAATGAAGTTATTTCAGAGGTGAAAAGTTTTTTTTTTTCATCTTTTTTGATAAAAGATTAGAAATACAAACTTTTTTTTCTTAAAAAATAACATGCAATGACAAATCATTCACAAAAGGACCAGGAATGTATATTAAGAAAGTAAATGATTTACGAATTCGGTGAAGGATTTTCATGTAACGTTGACTCAACACAGCTATTTTACACATTCCAGCTCTCCAAACAACACTGGTTTATTCTACAGATTAGCAGCCTAATAATTCCCTATTCAGTGTGTATGAGGAAACTTCTGGATTAGTGCATGCTTGCACAAAGGGATTAACCATTGAGGCATTGGTTGCACATCTCACCCGTGAATGCGATGCCTCCAGTTGTGATAAGGATCATACAGACTCTCACAGAAGGCCAAAGCGTGACGCACAAACTCCTCGGCTTGTGTCTGATCAGCCAGCTCCTTCTCTTTTGTCTTACTCTTCAGCTAAATACAGACACAGAAGTGTTGATTTACTTTATTACTGAGGAAGAGGAAGAAGAGAAGAAAAGAAAGATGAAGAGGAAATTAGAGAAAAAAGCAAAATGAAGAGATGGCTGAAAACAGGTAAAGGAAGAGGAGAGAAAGTAAGAGAAAAAGAAAAGAACAGGTAAAGAGCAAAAAAAGAGTCGAGGAAAGTGAAGAGGAAACAGAAAGAACAAGTAAAGAAGAAATGAGGAAAATAAAAGAGGAATAGGAAAGGGAAGAAGAAAAAGAGGAAAAAAAGATCAAAGAAATGGTAAAGGGAATAAAGAGAGAAGAAGGAAGAAGAAGAAAAGGCAGACGGAGAAGAAGAGAAAATGAGAGAAAAATAAAAAGGAAAGGAAGAGAAAGATGAACAGGAAACAGAAAAGGAGAGAAATGTAAGAGAAAAAGAAGAGAACAGGTAAAGGGCAAAAAAGAGTCGAGGAAAGTGGAGAGGAAACAGAAAGAACAAATAAAGAAGAAATGAGGAAAATAAATGAGGAAGAGGAAAGGGAAGAAGAAAAAGAGGAAAAAAAGATCAAAGAAAAGGTAAAGGGAAAGAGAGAAGAAGGAAGAAGAAAAGGCAGACGGAGAAGAAGAGAAAATGAGAGAAAAATAAAAGAGGAAAATAAAAAGGAAAGGAAGAGAAAGATGAACAGGAAACAGAGGAGGAGAGAAATGTAAGAGAAAATGAAAAGAAGAGGACAGGAAAAGGGCAAAAAAAGAGTAGAGGGAAAGGAGGAAGAGGAAACAAAAAATGGCAAAAAAATAAGAAATAAGGAAAGAAATGAGGAAGAGGAAAGGGGAAGAAAAAGGAAAGGATAGGAAAAGGATGAAAAAACAGGAGAGGAAATGGAAGAGGAAATGACAAAAAAGGAAAGGAAAAGGAAAAGGAAAGGGAAAAAGGAAGAAAAGGCAAAAAAAAAAAAGAGGATGTGGGAGAGGAAGAGGTAAACACACAAAACAATTTGACCACCATCAAATAATGGTCACAGTACGAAAAAGGAAATGGAAGAATGTATATACAGAAAGCTTGGTTTTAGAGGGAGTGTCAGACCTGTTGTATGTAAAGCGTCGTCATGGTGATGATGTGGTTTATGTAGGAACAGGAGCCGATCTCTTCCACATTTGACAGGTTCCTGTCAAACAGATCACACAGCTGTCAGTGAGGAGAAACTGTGTGTGTGTGTGTGTGTGTGTGTGTGTGTGTGTGTGTGTGTGTGTGTGTGTGTGTGTGTGTGTGTGTGTGTGTGTGTGTGTGTGTGTGTGTGTGTGTGTGTGTGTGTGTGTGTGTGTGTGTGTGTGTGTGTGTGTGTGTGTGTGTGTGTAGCCGTATTGGATAGACTGCCTGTATGACAGGACCATTAGTTCTAGCTGTCGGAGAGATTCCCCTGCCACCCCTATGATCATACATCACAAACGTGTGTGTGTGTGTTACAGAGTGGACGTGCATGTTAAATGTTTACTGAAGAAGATAAATTTGCCCCAGGAGCAACACTATCTTTCATAAGTTTAGGGTCGGTAAGATTGCCTAATGTTTTTGAAAGAAGTCTCTTCTGCTCACCAAGGCTGCATTTATTTGATCAAAAATACAGTAAAATTGTGAAATATTATTACAATTTTAAATACCCGTTTTCTATTTGAATATAATGTAAAATGTAATTTATTCCTGTGATCAAAGCTGAATTTCCAGCATCATTACTCCAGTCTTCAGCGTCACATAATCCTTCCGAAATCACTGTAATATGATGATTTGCTGCTCAAGAAACATTTCTGATTATTATTAATGTTAAAAACAGCTGTGCTGCATCATATTTTTGTGGAAATTGATACATTCTATTTCTTTGCTAAATTGGAAGTTCAAAAGAACAGCATTTCTTTGAAATAGAAATATTTTATAACACTATAAATGACTGCTGTCACTTGCTGAATAATAGTATTCTTTTTTTTTAAGTCTATGGGATGTCCATAAAAAGGTGTGTGTGTGTGTGTGTGTGTACAAATGAGCAGCAGCTGCCATTCGAGCAATCGCACTGTCAGACCCTAAAAAAGGCTGGAGATGTCGCTGAAAGTGGAAACCACACATGAACCTTCAGCAGCAGGTGCTCGGAGAACTCATGAAACATTCAGCAGGACCCCGAGTGTCCAGTTTCTGTTTCACTGAGATTCAAAGCACTGCATAATTGCATAAGAGACTGTTAAAATAGCTTTATCTTTAGTTAGTTTGCCTTTCTAACCGAAATACCGATCTGTTTCTGTATTAGTTGTTTTCTTAGTCATCCAGTTCCTTCCCATCAGGCCACTGGTGTGAGTCTCAGAGTCTGACCTGCAGATGACGATGAGGAACTTGAGGAGCAGGAGGGCTAATGTCTGCTGTTCGGGCTCCAGTCCCTCGGACGCTTTCTGCACACACTGGAGCAGCTGCAGACGCAACACCTGCAGGATGTTATCAGGGAGCAGCGTCATGACGGGGGGCGTCTCCTCCAACCTGCAGAACCAGTATAAATGCACAACCATTATTAAACGCTCTATATGGTTTTAGTATGGTGCTTAAGGCCCCGTTTACACACTGTAAAAAAAAATATGCCTCTCCAACATAAACATTTCTAGTGACCCGTTGCACCTAAAATTTGTAGTTGGCCCAATTTAAGTTGCGGAAACCAACTTTTTGTGTTGTGCTGATACCCCTGCATGTAGACTGAACTTGAAATAGAATGTTGTGTCAATTAAATATTTTCTGTTGACTAAACATATTTTGTTGGGTTCGGCCATCTAAAGTTAAGTTTTCTAAACTACATCCAATAAGTTCAGCCAACTAAAGTGGTGTTTTGAAAATCAAATTTCTAAGCCACCATTATGGTGATCAGTGTTTGCTTTAGTTGGGCTCTTGACCCTTATATTATTAACTTTAGATTTTGTTTGGCTGATGTATCTGAGTTATAACTGCCAGATGAACAAAGAAAAAAGTGATCTGATGGTGTTGGTTATATTATGACAGTCATCATTTGAACTTTATGATTTTGATTTATGTTGTTGGTTACAGCATAACTGTGATTCTGAATAAATATCCAGAATTTTAGCTATAATAAAAAGGATTTCTTAAAAGTTGTTCCTAAAAAAAAAAAAATCTTTCTTATAGGCACTCACAGACTTCAAGATTCAGTCTATGCATCTCAACAATGGTGACAAGCAGAATATTCAATTAGGAAAAGTAAATTACATAGAAAATTCATAATTTATTCATATCGCAATGCATGCTGGGAGCCATTAATGAGTTGTGATTGGAGGCAGCCACTGCAACATGCTTTATTATTGTCACCATTGTTGAGATTCACAGGCTGATTATTGATGTCAGTGTGTCAAAAAAAAAAAAAAATTCAAAGTGTTTTGATCAGAAAAACTTTTAAGAAATATTTTGGACTATACTGAAAATGCTGAAAATCATTTGATATAGAATCACTAAAAAACTCTCAAGTGATGATTATGTCACCATCAGAATCATCTATTTCTTTGATCATCTGGCAGTTATAACTCAGATACAACTGCCAAACAAAATCTAATGTTAACAGTTTAAGGGTCACAAGCCCAACTAAAGTCACTGATCACCATAATGGTGACTTAGAAATTCGATTTTCAAAACACCACTTTAGTTGGCTGAACTTATTGGATGTAGTTTAGAAAACTTAACTTTAGTTGGCCGAACCCAACAAGCCATGTTTAGTCAACAGAAAATATTTAATTGACACAACATTCTATTTCAAGTTCAGTCTACATGCAGGGGTAGTCAGCACAACACAAAAAGTTGGTTTCCGCAACTTAAATTGGGCCAACTAAAAATTTTAGGTGCAACGGGTCACTACAAATATTTATGTTGGAGAGGCATCTTTTTTTTTACAGTGCACCTGGTATTAAGATGCGTTTTGGATCAAGTGGACGACACAAAATACAGGTGTAAATGGGGTCTAAAATGTTTTGAGCTCGTCCACTTTCCACCACTTCCAGAGGGAGTCAAAAACACAATGTGTTCAAACAGCCACAAAAGACCGTCTACTCTCCGTCCACTGAAGTAATGCGTGAACATTATAGGAAGAGCTCTAGCCAGACGGGATTTAACTTTGTCGGCTGAAGACCCAAGTTTGGTTTGAAGATGAAAAATGTACCAAGCACAATGTTCTCTCACCATTCCTGATTTCTAACACACACTCGAAACGAAAGTCTCCAGTCACGTTCATAACAGGATTTCTGCAGGTATCTTCAAATTAAATGTAATGCCTTTTAATGCATATTTAATGCCTTTTTTATTTTTAATGCCATACATGATCCATGCCTAACCACAGACATTATATATTTGTGCTGTCAATCGATTAAAAAACTAAACGCTATTAATCACATTTTCTCTGTGATTAATCGAGGTTAATGATTTTTAATGCCCCGCGGAAACCCTGCATAAGTAAATTGTGTGAGCTTATTTTGTCCATTAGATCTGAAAAAAACATACATTTACCAGCCCATAGAAACAACTTTCACTCTTTTCACAAATTTTGCAATTAAATGCTAATAAACAGCAAGTAACAAATTGAATTAAACGTGACATTTTGAAGAAGAAAGACTGAAATAGTATTTTCTTGTAAAACATGGTCTATTAATTTACACCTTTGATAAACTATTTTTTTACAGTGTAGCTGCATGGAAAATAAAGACCAGCATATTGGTTTTGAATAAGCAATTGATGACAGAACAGTCATTTTTGAGCAGACTACTTCTTTATAGCAGCTCTGGGATTTGTAATTCTGCAATCGTGACTGTAAAAGCAAGTACTGCACTATAGGAGCGTGTTCTTCCAGCAGAAGACAGAGAGAGAGAGAGAGAGAGAGAGAGAGAGAGAGAGAGAGAGAGAGAGAGAGAGAACTGTACAGTAATAAAGCAGATCTGTGCGAGAGCAGCACAGCTGTGAAGGAGAGAGAGCGCTGAGACAAATAAACCCATTACAATCCAATGTCTCTCTCTCTCTCTGTCTGTCGGTTCCTGGCTCTCCTCTCGCTCTGCATTACGTAATGTCATCTGACAGTCTAAGCACCTCATGATCACATGACCACAGCTGGGAGAGCCAGAGTGATTTTCTCATGCCACACTCTGCACTACCGCCACATAAATCCTTCAACACTCTCCCTCTTTCTCTCTCTCCTTCTGTCCTTCTGTAAATCTCTTATCCCCCCACCCTTTATCTAGTTCCCCGCTCTTATTTTTTCCATGCATTCATGTGCACACACACTAACACACACACACACACACAAAGACTGGGCTGGCTGAATTCTCTGTATTGCCTCTCACTTGCATCAGAACAGGACCATGATGGCAGGGCGTCTGTTAACTACGGGTCATTATCCACAGACAGACACACATGGCTACAGCCGCCATATTAGGCGTTATGATTTCTCTCATTCATACATGTACCAGAGGACCATCTCTGCCCTATACAGTCTTTGCTTCTGCACAGTTTCAGGAAAATCCAAGTGATTCAGGATGCAAAACTACACATTTTCAAAACTGAGTAGTCACTGGACTGCCTGAATAAGGTGGAACGGACTTGATGCAAACAGTCACAAATCTGGATATGCAAGACTCTGGCCCTTATTTTAGTTTAGAAAAAGCTGACAATTGGTGACAAGGGCCTGTGAACAAATAACCCCATTCCTGATCTGTCTTCATGAGGTTTAAGTGCCTCAGACTGATGGATGAACGTAGCTGGACTGCAGTAAAGTCTACCTGGTTGGGGGTTTCTCGAAATCCACATCCACGCATCTCTCATAGGAGCCGATGAAGATTTCCAACCAGAGTTTCAGATAGTCCGGGTCCTTCTACAGGTTTCAGAAAACAACAGAGAGCGAAAAATGAATAAGTTAATCAGGGAAAGAATTATTCATTGAAATACAATACATTTATTCATTTGGCAGATGTAGCTTTTATCCAAAGTTACTTGCATTGTATTCAGGTATAGCCTACATTTTATAAGTTCATGCATTCCCTGGGAATCAAACCCTTGACCTTGACATTGACTAACAGGAATGCATTTAGTTATCAACAACAGTTATCTAAGGTGTGTCCAAATGTTTGAGGTTAGTAGGTGGATAATATCAGGTGCAACACGAGATACCTGACGAATAACAAACTGGCCTGACCGCATTTCAACAGGGACTGTCAACCTGGAACACATTCCTGCATTCCAGAAAACAGAGTAGTTTGACCTACAACAACGCTCCTTAGAAATGTCCACATACAAACCCTTTCACCCAGTTCAGAATTGAATCTCGATCAACAGCCGACGGCAATCTAATGAATTTATGGAACACGTCACGCTCTAATTAATTGATGTGGCCGGAGTGTATCGCGACTCAATGTGGCCGTTTGTGAGGTCAATGCTTCAGCTGTGTTACACTCAGACATCCAGAACAGGAAATCATGCTCAAAAATTCCTCTCGTGAGATCATCAGGACAGCTATGCAACTCCATGCCAAAAAACAACTCGCAATAGCTGACCAATAAGACGCATGGACAAGACAGCAGAAAAAAAGTCCGTTTTTGACTCTTCAAAACACAAAAAGTGAGAATATGAGAAAAGAAAGAATGCAAAAGAAAAGCCTCATTCATTTGGGATCCAGAGGCAAGACACAGATGTCTGGATGTGGCCGAAGAAGGTGCACACCCTGTTTATTTAGAGCTCGTGCCACAGAACGGACACTGCCTTGCTCCTGATGCCCTTTCCAGCTGAAGGGTGTGGGGCGATTCAGTCACATTCTCCTACTCATGCATGTCAAGTTCCCATTTAAAGGGCTTTTTCTTCCTAAGGCACTAAACATTAACTCGAAGTAGACTTTTATGCTGTATTGCACGCCCTGGGGGAAACTATTTTGTTGTAACTTGTTGTAAAATGAGTCCTGCATGGTAAGATTGTTACTTGATTTGTTTGATCTTGTAAAATGAGTGTGTAGATTATAGTTTAAAGCCGGCATGAAACAGAAGTTGTGAATAATATTAATCTTTTCTTCCCTATTGACGTATATCCGAGTGCACGGCTTCTTACTAGAACAAATGTAGGGCAGGGCTTGATTTTGTCTGTGAGGAATTGATATTGCTATTGGTCGACCTCATGAGAGTGAAAGGTTGTCCCGCCCTCATTATCAGAGTTATTATTTTGATTATAGATTACAAGGCACATGAATAAAAAATAAATAATGATGTGCATGGATAAATATAAATATAATAAACAATTCAATACTCCATAAAAAAAATAAGAATTGTCAATTTTGATAAATGACTACTTAGTACTAACAGTCTCATCCCTAAGGCTTCTTTCAGAAATGGTTATTTATTCATGGCCTCTGGCAAAGAGACTGGGGAATCCAAACCCTCACTAATGCCAGGCATATGACCTACAGCCACAACACTGAGCTCACTTTAATCACATGGGCTGAACATCCTGTCCATTTGACATGCCATAATAATGTGACTTCTAGCAGGATATTCTCTCTCCTGTAAACATTTCTATATCTGTTATCCTCTCTTTCAAGAAATTACATGCTCAAGCTTGAGATGTTGTACATTTCCACAGAAAATAACGCTGCCTCACCCCTCAATTTGTAAAAACATGCATTTACAAGCCTAGCAAACTACTAAGCAAAGGTTTAAACCTCTCAAACCTGACTCGCTGTCTACAGGCAGCAGCCTCCTTAAAGGCATTGTTGTGTTAGCATTGATGCTAAGCTAACAAGAAGATACTCAGAGTGCAGCAGAGTCTAAAGTAATGAGTTCGGGTTCCATCGTCAATTAGTTTTTTTTAAATATGTTTTTGGTATTAAATGTCTGAAATATGGTTTGTTTGTAGTTATCACAAGCTCAGTCTCTTTTCATGTTTTATCCTACAACATTAAATACATTCAGTAATACTTTTCGTGAAGCTTTTACTTGCCTTAAAAAAATGGTTGCTAATGCTAACAAGTGGCTAAATGGGACTACAGAGGTTGTCTGGAAAATGAAACATCATCAGGCTAGCAGTTAAACTCATCTAATTTACAGCCTTGTTTTGTTTATGATTGCTCTCTTGCTACTTATTTTCACTCAAACTTTCCAACATGCATTTTGAATAAAAACTGAAAGAGTTTTCGTAAGCTTACGGTGATATTGACATTGTGTAAGAAAAAGGTGTAAGAAATAAGAAATTTGTTGGTTACAGAGCAGATTTTGTTTGTTTTTTTTGGCAAGGGAACCAGGATAATGCTCTTCAAATTATGGGCTGGCCCACAAAATGACGCCATCTCTGCCAAACTCTAACATACACAAAAATGCAATAAAAATTATTCCTTTTATTATAATATAAAACCGTATCTTTTTATTGATCTGGTTACATTGTATTCTGGGGTTGGTTTCCCCATGAAGGATGCATATTGCCTTCGTATTTGGGAGAAACAAGATAGCACAATTATGATGCCTTATGTCGGGGATGTGCTAATATGATGCCTTAAAATGATGCTAATATAATGTGCTAATAAAATGCTGTAAGGGGGGCAGCTCAATTCAGGTTTTGGAACAAAGCTACTACTTCATATAACACCTACACATCAACCTCCATGCTTTAGCAAGAGACCTGAGCAATAACCATTTCTGCTTATGCAAACTTAGGCTAGGCCTATATCCTTCAACTCATGCCATCACCAGCTAAAAAAGTAAATTCACAGGAATTACATTGATATTAATGCATGCATAACTTGCATAAAATGCACAATAATGTTTTTTAAACTCTAAAAGATGAGAAATTATTTTCTGAATCAATTCTTTTAAATCCTATCTGACTTGGTCACTTGAACAGACATCTCTACGTTTCTTCTTTCTCATCTAATATCTTTCATGTTCATTTCAGTAGTCAAATAATCTTTCACAACGGGAACTCGAGTTCCTGTGAGGATCGTATAAGGATTGTTACCATGGTGAGGAAAGAGGGTATTTTGAGTGAGACGGCACAGCATTTTCCAGTCTCTCTCTCTCTCTCTCTCTCTCTCTCTCTCTCTCTCTCTCTCTCTCGAACACGTTTTCCTCTTTCTCACCCCACTATCTCGGTTTTCTTACTTTTCTCTCAGACTTAATTTTGTATCTCGCTGTCCTTATCTCCTCTCCCTCTCTCTTGCCGTGCGTGTGTGTGTGTGTGTGTGTGTGTGTGTGTGTGTGTGCTGCAGTGCCCTCTGAACCTGCAAACCAGACAAGATGGCGAAAGGATAACATGGCAAAAGAAAGCAGCCAAGATGATTTATGGAGCTCCTGATCTACATGAGGATTCACTTCATCAACGTCTGCTTTATGAGCAACGGCACAGGTGTGTAGAAGTTCTGCCCTGATCTCAGAGAGGTTAGACAACAACTGGGAGAGAGTTGGAAGAGAATCATAATTGTGCCTCTTTAAATAGGACTAATGGGTGAGTATTGTACGAGTGTGTACGTGTATAAATAGCGCACTGCCCTGTAAAAGCCGTTTATAGCCATCACTGAAGGACAAGCCCTGATAATCACTGGTCTTAACTGGGTCAAAGGTCAGCACACAAGTAGCTCCGTCCCATTCACACAAGACTGCTGCTGTCACACTGTGTGTTCAGTGATTCTGTGCAGTCTATCATTATCTCGAGGGGCGTGTGTGTGTGTGTGTGTGTGTGGGATCACGACTGTAACCAGGAAACACAAAGACCAGCTTCTATTAAACTGCTCAAGTAAACAGACCACATGAAAAGAGACTTTTATAATGCATGCTTCATTCAGTTTCAGTCCGTCCGGTTCCTTCTTCAATTGTTTTCAACTCTGTCTCATTCACTCATCACTGTCTCATTCACTCATCACTCTCATTCACTCATCACGCCATGTCGACATTTGTCCATCTGGCATTCTTGTCATTCAGGCAGAAGAGGCAAAATCACATGAAACCACCAACACTGATCATGGAGACTAGTGTTGTCGCGATACTAGAATTTCTAACTTCGATACGATACCTTGAAAAATATCGATATTCGATACTATTTTCGATACCACGGAGAAAAAACTGCCACAATATTAAGGGGGTATTTTTTTTATTTAAAGCTAAATATAACAAGTCTAGAACATGACAATGAGGTATATTTTACATGAACAAAAATGTCCAGAGTTCTATTTGTTTATATTTTTTAATTGGACCAGAGCTAACATGATGTATTTTTATTACCTACTGTTATCAAAGATTAAAATATACTATAAAAAAAAAGCACTTAACAGTATCAAATTGGAGGATAGAGAGTCCGTAATGTATAATAATAAGATTAAACATTCAATTTTCAGTTAAAGGCATGTCATTATTGAATTCAGAGATGCCATTGTCTAGCTGTTTAGTTTAATTAATATCTGTGTAATCAAATTAATGATAATCGCTAATGAAGGAAAATTGCAGAATTAAATAATAAGTTTTGAATAAAGTTAAATAGGCACCAGTTAATTTACATTTGACCACAGTTACAATATTTACTTGTCTAAGAGTTACTCAGTCAGATTATGTTAACTTTAAGAATTAAAACGAGACAACACAGACTCTTATCAACAACAATAGGCCATCTTGGTTAATGTTTCAGAAAAGCTCAAATGAGAAGAGTTACAGTGTTTCCTTGAGGATTTTTTTAGCAGTGGGGGCAGGTCTGTCCAAACAACAAACACCCCTGATGCTGAGCATCTGCTGCTAAATAGTAGCCTACCCCTGGAGCCTGTTCCTTAAGTCTGTTTTCACCTATACAATAATTTTAAAAAATGAGTTATGTGAGGGATTATTGATATATGTTGGGTGCCCGCAGCCCGCTCGCGTGTCCGCGCTATTCTCCGACATGCCCGCTCGCGCTGTGTAGCGCGTGTCCACGCTATTCTCCGACTCCGACATGCCCGCTCGCGGTGTGTAGCGCGTGTCCACGCTATTCTCCGACTCCGACATGCCCGCTCGCGGTGTGTAGCTCGTGTCCACGCTATTCTCCGACTCCGACATGCCCGCTCGCGGTGTGTTTTTTACGCGTGTCCGCGCTATTCTCCGACATGCCCGCTCGCGGTGTTCTTTATCAAAGAAAGCCGTTCGCGGGGGCGCCGCCCTCGCCATCTTTCCATTCACTTCTGCTATTTAACCAGAGCGAATGAGACGAGTGCGTCACGTGTGGTGTTTGTCAACGCGCCTTTTGAGAGAGAAGTGAAAGTGACTGCTCGGCTAGTATCGATACTTCGGGAAATTAGTATTGGTACCGTTCAGATATTTCAGGATCGATATTTATCGAAATATCGATATTTTTGACAACACTAATGGAGACTAACCCAATTTGGACAATAATTGTTTTTATGGGGTTGTAATGCCATTTTATTATTTACAGGCTGACAATTTTATTACTGTCTGAAATGGAAACAGTGTTTTTCCTTCTCCCACAACCCAAGAGAAAATAACCTGATCCAAATGACCTGCTGGTTTCTGACAGACTCGATTGAATTGAATTCCTGTCTGATCCTCCAGTATAAGTTCGTTTTCATCAGTACTTGGTGAGATTATTGATTTCCTCTGTGGCTATGTATGTTCTCTATGTTTTGTGAACAGATGAAACAGAACATAAAGAGGCCGAGCAGGTTGGGCTCCAAACACATGTCCCAGAATGCACAGCAAAAGCCGCCGTATTAATGTCTTTCAACATGCATAAATGTAAATCTGACAGACATATTAAGTTATCATTAGGCTGCATTAGCGTGCTTAAGAGGAAATGTCACTTCACGCTGCGTTCTGAAGATCACAGGCTGGTTAATGCATGAGAGCAGAAACCATAAACAAAAGCAAAGGTCATTTCTGCAGCAAACAAAGCCACACTGGACTTGTGTCAGCTCATGAGGGAAATCATGTTAAGGACGAGCTGGCGGGTTGAACATCTCACCGTCATCAAGACTGCACAGCTATTTGAGTAAAAACTGAAACAAAACTGTTGTTCACAGAATATTATGGCAGCTTGTGTCTGCCAATAATCATAAATAAATAAATAAATAAATAATTGCAACTTTATCTCACAATTCCGAGTTTATATCACATACCGCGACTTTTTTTCAGAATTACGAGCCAGAACTGCGATATATATAGACTCACAAATGCGAGAAAAAAAGTCTGAATTGCTGACTTTTTTTCTAAGAATTGAGATACTTTTTTGGTTTTGCTCTATCCTCTGTGCTTCGGCGTTCGTCAATACATCATGCGTCGGGTCAGAGGTCACTCGTCATGCGTCGGGTCAGAGGTCACGGGCCGGAAGCCAGTCGTTATATAGTTTATAAAGTTATTAATATGGATATTTTTCCAACAAAAACACATGGCTTTGCTTCAGAAGGCCTTTATTAACCCTGGAGTCGTATGGATTACTTTTATGATGGATGGATGGACTTATTTGCCTTAAAAAACTCAGCTACCATTCACTCCGATTATAAAGCTTGGAAGAGCCGGGATATTATTAAATATAACTCTGATTGTGTTTGGCTGAAAGAAGAAAGTCATATTCACCAAGGATGGCTTTAGGGTGAGTAAATTATGGAATAATTTTCATTTTTGGGTGAACTAACCCTTTAGGGACGAGTGTCGCAAATTAGTCTTCGCTACAATCACTAATAATACTTCCATTGGATGGCTGTTGTTTCAGTTTTATCTATGTATATTGTTTCTGTCCTGTCCCTATTCAAATTTAAACCCTGATTGATCAGAGAAACGTGCACATGGCTTATTCCAGCTTTTTTATCCCTTTTAAACCTAAATCACACGCCCGCTGCCACAACCGAAGGCTAATGTTCAGATTTGGAAATCTTATTTTATGTGACAGGTCATCTGGATAAGTCCTGAGTCCCTGTGGACAGCAGCGGCTCTGAGGGGCTCAGGGTCTAATCACTGTTTTACGCTGACATGACAGACCCACAAGACACTGCTGACAACTGCAGACACTCCTGAGGAAGCTAAATATCCTCTATTGTAGAAACGATAACGCTCTGGAAAATGTGTTATTACATTTGTTCTGGATCATTATTACGGTGTTAAATGTCCTGTAAAGCGACCTAACAGTGTCGCAGTCTGGTGATCACAACAGTCTGAATAACAACAAGGATCTGACAATACGAGCGGGGCGCAAAGTTAAAGAACTGGACTCGCAACACAAAACACAAAGACAAGGAAGTGTGCTATTGTGTTTAACTACTCGCCAAAGATCAGTTTGCAGCTAAACAGTGAGGATATTGTTACAACTGAAATTATAAAAAATCTGCAATTAAAATAAAGCTGAAATAAAGCAAAATATAAATATTAGATGAAACACTTCAACTAAAAAAAAAGATAAGAACATTTGAAGAAACATTGCCTTAGTAAATAATTGAATTAGTTAAAGGTGCTCTATGTAACTTTTCTACTAAAATGAATCCTTTTTTTATTGCCTGTGTGTGAAGGGGTTGTAATCACACATTAAAATGATCCACTTGTCGAGTTTTGCTATTACCTCTGAAGGCCAGTATTCCTATTTCTACGTGAAGTCTCCGGGTCGGATTTACCGCGAAATCAAACGGATGTGACGTGCATGCGCCCTCCCGAGCCTCTCTCCTTATATATACAGTCTATTGTAGACGGTCAGGGAGTTACGTCCGGTTAAAGGCGCACGTTTTTCGGCTTATATCTCAGTCAATCTTTGATCAATATTCCCAAGACTCTAATCGTTCGTAGTGCTGGACGGGGCCTCGAACGAGCCCACCCCCGTCCAACTCGCCCGGCTCCCCGAGTTATAGCCGTTCAAAATCGGGGGTCCCAGCGAACGGCGATCCGGTAGGGGGCATCCCCGAGGCCCACCACTCTAGCGTTCGGGCAAGGGTTCCCCTGGGACCTCCTCCCCCGAATTTGAGCTCTCTGGGTCTTTGCGTTCCAGAGATACGAGCGATTTTCTTCAAAGATCGTGACGTCACCGGCGTCCGCAATTTTGCAGCGCGTCCGATGGTTTTCTGCTAATATCTCAGCGAAAACACCACCAAAAACTATGGAACTTATATGGTTCTTTTCAGCTCGACTAGATGGTCCCAACGAGCTCGGTGCTCGCCGAATCCGTCTAGTATTCGCCGAGATATTTGCGTAATAGACGGTATTGTCTATGAGTTCGAGCACGAGCGCTCTTGTAAAATTTGGTTGCAATCTGAAACATCACCACTAGAGGCCGCTAAAAGTTACATAGAGCACCTTTAAGTTTGAGTTGGAGTACTAAAATTACTAAAACTGATTTTAGTTTAAAAAAATTTAAACTAAACTTAATTTTTTTATAAAAATTATATAATAATATATGAATAATAGTAAAATAACACTCACTGACGCGATATTGCAAACACAAGGGTGAAAAAGTAGATGACGTTATGCACATGCGTGTTACGTGTTCAGTCTATAGTCATAGTTTTTCTTTACAAAGTGACATCGCCAACTACTGGCCTGGCATTAATAACACAGCGGTTTTAGTCGCTTTCGCAGATCAGTGTGTGAACGGAGATTGTTTTGACAACATTGTCGCCTGTACGCAAAAGAAAAACTTTTACATTTATAGTACAGCGTTGTCATGTATATGTACCCTAAGAGGTCTTAGTGACACAATTTCAGAGGACATTCAAATGATCAAGTCCAGTCATTTTCTAAATAGATATAAGGACCTTTAAAGCTAAAATGTGTAGTTTCTGAACCACTAACAAAAAATGGAATTGCAAAACAGATTGCCTGGACACTCCCCCTGAACGCTGCCATTGGTTAGTCAAAAAATTAGCCCCGCCCCCAAACTCAAAGCATTGGTTGAGCCAATGTTGCACAAACAAACAAAGTCACTTTTGGGGGAAACTGCCATATTAAAGGTTTACATATAGTTTTACTATATTAAACAGGGATAAAGTATTAGGCTATATATGATTTGCAAAACAACATATTTTTTCTATAACCCAAGAGAAATGCATCTGGGGTCAACGAGGAAGAATAACCAGAACACAATCCGACACTATGCACTGAATTATTTTGAGTTAAGTCTGATCACATGACATCACACAGGGAGTTGGTCGAATCTCCATCAATAATCAGACGGACTGGACATTCACAACCACCTGAGGTCAATGGATCTCTCCAGAGGGCATTCAGATGTCATGACAAGCGTTCACACACTGTATGGAACACAGTGTCCCAGCCACATGCACTGCGCGAGAAATAAATAAATAAAACAGCGCTTCTTCTTATGTGCAATGGGATTATTTGGTCACGCTTAGTGATGCAATGAACATTTGCATGAGAAATGAAATGCATTAACTCTGTGAAAGTGCATCCACTGCAAGCTGTTTACCTTATTGCAGTACAGCATCCAAACCTCATACAGTCTCTCGGTCGATGCCATTCTGCACTGCAAGCTGTGAGCATGTAGGCAGAAACCTTCCTGATGATGATGATGATGATGATGATGATGATGATGATGTGATCAATATTCCCGAGTCCTCATGGTGTTAACATCCTGGCGAAAGGAGTTTGCCCAAAAACCACATTCGCTCGTGGATCACAAATCCCACCAATGGGTGAATAGTAGTCTGTGTTAATCCAGGGTGACAGATCGTGTCATTTCCTCTGTGCACGGTGAAATCACATCCATCATGTGAACGATACGAATCCCAGATGGCTTGGACTTGTGCGTTTCCGGCACTTTTCCACCGGCAGCTTTCTGATATTCCAAAAACTCCTCTGCTCTTCCAAGCCCTGTCGACAAATAGAGCACACATTAAAACCAGCCCTGTGTTTAGATGCAGCATGAATGCATTGCAATTCCCAAAAGCACATTTGCATGCCACGGATAACAGTGAATTTGCAATGCATGACTCTGAGAGAAGGAAAAAAATATCCCAAAATAAACAAGAGACCCATGACATCATCTCAAGCCAACTCAACATGTTCACAGAGCCAACATTATATCCCTGACTTTGAAAGAGCAAGTCATGTAAACTATATTTTAACTCCAGCATTGACAATATCAGATCATATTATTATTTGTACACTTATTATTTATTTATATATGCCCAAAATATATGCACAAAGTAAAAGAGTTGATCCAGAACTCTGGGTGTTGTTATTGTACATACTAGACCAAAATACTGACTCTAGATTTCGACTCTTTGAGGGTCTCAAAACATTCAACACTTGTGCAATTTTCTAAAGATATGACCAACAGCATATATTTCTTGACTTATATTTAGATATAACTCTTATGAAACCCCCACTAATGTCAAGGCTTGTAATTTTATAAACATTAGTTCATAATAACAAATGGCAACGGGATATTCGATACTAATAAGGTCTCCGCATTAATCCATCAGTTCCCTATGAGTCTGAAACTCACCTGCCTCAACAAAAGCAGCCCGTCGAAACTCCCGAGCCGAAGCTTGTGTTCTGGTTACGAATCCAGGAATGTTGGATGAACCGAAAGCGCCACTGACATTTAAACCCGGTCAGTTTAAACACCCCAAACTGGCTTTTGACTCATTTTGTAACCAGATCAGCCTGACAGACTGGATACATTTGACCAATATCATCGCACTGGATTGCAACGGCTCATTACAAAGCCACCGCACGGGCTCGGGAAGCTTGAAGGTGTGTGTGTGTGTGTGTGTGTGTGCGTGTGCGCGCGCGCGCGCCTGTGTGTGTTTTTCTTCGTAGATGTTTTACGACAGGCCGCACTCCTTTACGTTGCCTATGTGGAGCTCATGTGAGTCGCAAAGGCGTGCCTGAAACTCGCGTTCATTACGTAATCTAATTAATATTCATGACCAAGCTTTTATCAATTCGTCAACTCATTAGCGATCACATGCCTACGTCAGAACGTATTCCCCGTCAGCCAATCAAGTAGGCTCACTGCATGAACATGACCGTGCGTAATTAATATTAATAACTTAGAAGGACAGGTAAGTATGTGAATATGAATGTTATCCTCATATACAATAGCTGATGTTTAACATGTTATTAATGTTTTTATGACGCTATTGAATTCTTGTGTATCTGGTAATTCATTTGTATCTTTCGAAATGTCACATGTAGCCTATATTTTGTTCGAAATAAACTTTTTATAAAAACTTGGGACAGGTAAATTCAGTTCAGGCTCAACAAGGCTCGGCCGTCGCTGTTTTTAAATCTAAAATCCGTGTAATTAAATATATGATTTCTTTGGAACGTTTACGTTATTTTGACAAACACATTACAAGATTAATATGTTAGAAAAATGCAGAGTCTATATATGATATATGAGCGCCCCCTGCTGGTCAAAGAGCGCAAATACAGAAATACTTCACTACAGTTCATCAAATGCAACACGAAAAGCTGGAATTTAAATATTACTTTTGTGAGCTCAAAAATAAAAATCACAAAAATTTGTTTAGGAAATAAGGTCAGTAAGTGATCAAGAACAATTAAAGGAAAATAATGTGATTAGATAACACTTTACAATAAGGTTTTATTGTTAACTACTTTAGTTAACATGACCTAGCAATGAACAATACGTAACAGCACTTGTTATTAACATTAGTAAATGATAATCCCAGCATTTACTAATACAATTTTAAGATTAAAAGTTGTATCTGTTAACATTAATGCAAGCTAACATTAACTTTTTTATTCACTAACATTAACAAAGGTTAATAAATGCTGTTAAAAATACAGTGCATTGCTTTGTTAGTTCATGTTAGGGATTAACTAATTAATAATACATTAACTAATGTTAACATATGAGACCTTATTGTAAAGTGTTACCGATAATTATTTATCTGACATTATTATTTATTTGGCAGGAACTTTAAGTTTAGAATTTCACTGTAAATCTACCGCAATAAGAAAAGGCAAAAATAAAAGAAAAAATGACTGGACACCAAATAGTTAGGAAACAGAGTAAGAATATATTTATCATATGTCTAAATACAGTTGACATAGAAAGAAAAAAAAATCAGTGAATACAATATCAGTCACAGTTAAACCTGCTCAACCCTTTTTGATCATGATTGCGTTCCAGAGCACATGTTGAGGCAGTGTTGACGGCCGTTTGAACAGCACAGCGTTGATGGCTTGGTTTATTTCTTCACAGGATTAAAACATGTGCAGCTTCTTCATAGAGAGCAAGAGGAGGAGGGTTTTGGAAATCTGAACAGAGATACACACAAACACATGTACTGTACACACACCCACACGTTCACGGTCACAGGCTGAGTGGGTGATGTACTAATAACCTACACACACACACACTCAGTACACACACACACATGACATCTGGCTCCCAGCATTCATGGCTCAGATTGATGACCTCACTCATAGGAGCTGGATCAAATCCAGTGATCTGCAGTTAGTTCATGATGTGATTGGCTGCTGTGAACATCAAACAGGAAGCTCTGATCACACACTGACACAGGCTGCATCCCAAATCGCATACTTCCCTACTATCTAGTAGGTGAAAAACAGTATGTGACAAAAGAAGTATGTCTGAATTCACAGTACTCATAAAAGAGTAAACAAAAAGTATCCGGATGATCTACTTCTTCCGGCGAGATTCTGAAGTGTGCATACGATGGACACTTTACTATCCCATGAGGCCACGGGAGAGGATTAGTGAATGGCAGTGAAGCGAAGCAACTGATACTGGTAGGTCACATGATAATGACAACATGGGGAATGTAGTCCAGATTACATTCATACTATATAGAACATACTTTTTTAGTGGTTGTCAAGTAATTAATTATTCAAAAAAAGTACCTACTCAAGAGAATATGCAATTTTGGACGCAGCCATGGTCTAATGGGAATAGCATACTAACAGTACATACTGTAGTATGTGGAATACTTGGGTGACCTACTACATTAGTCAGAATGTGCAGCATACAGATGAGCGCAGAGCATTGAATAAGACACAAGTCACGTGTCTTTCTTTCATTTTTCGGTCCATAATGAAAGTAAAACCGTTGCATAAAGTGAAAAAATTCACAGTCAATCTGAGCATACAGTATTTGACATTTTAAGACGCGTCAAATGGCTTGACGAGTGCAGTTTAACTTCCTGTTTATCAAAAGGACTTGCTTGTCCCAAATAGCTAATAGTAGGGCTGCACGATTTCGGGGAATAAAATCTACTTGTGATTTTTCTGATAAAAACTGTGCTAGTGATTAAATCAAAAAGCTCTAGCTTTGCTGTGCTTTTTTGTAGGGCTGCACAATTTTGTCGAAAACGTAGTGATTATATATAAATATGAGTATAATAATAATATTACTAAATATTACTATTGTAATGTCACTGTAAATTAAAACCAAATCAAGTATTTAAGAAAAATGTACTGTGAATCAAGCCGCTCGAAGACGCTGAAAACACTATCAATACATGCAGTGCATAATTTATTTCATTAAATAGCAGCCTTTGTGATTTGATAACCACACTATATCATAATTTCGGTTTTATTTTAATAATCGTGCAGCCCTGGCTAATAGGCTTTTAGTTTCGGTCATAGAGATTAACAATGATTTTCTACCTGCTATTGATATTCAGGAAATGTCTAGGCAGCTGGTATGTGCTCATTCTAGAGAGCATTTGATTGGCTAAAAATGTAGATACGCCCATAAGTGCAAGATGATGTCATCGATATTTTGGTCCGTAAAGAGAGGGAATATAGACCAATGAGATTTCACTGTGGGTGGGCTACCGTGGTATACAAAACCAAGTGAACGACAAACTAACAAAATGTAGCAGCTGGTTAGGATGGATTAACATGGAATATATGTATCGCTAGTTGCCTGGGTCAAGATTTGTGTGAGAAAGAAAATGGCCAAGAGAGGGTCAGCCAGGTTTAGGAGAAGTCCCACATGCCGTCCTCTGGCTCAGTGTCGCTGGGAGACGGGGTGTTGCAGGTCTGGGTCGGTGTCCCGGATGGAGGTGTGTCTGGAGGACAGGACACTGGCACGGCCGGATACATCAAACTCAGGAAAGAGTCCCTCGTGTGTTTCTTCACCTGGAAGACAGACACACAGATCAATGCATGAAGATTTTAGGTTACACTCGAAGACTGAAGATTTAGTCAAAGCTTGATGAAAGGGTGAATCTACCTGTCTGAAAAAGGGGTGGCTGAGGAGAGCAGTCGCAGACGGCCTGAACAACAAACACACATAATGGGGTTCAGTAAGGCCATCCTTAAAAATATTTTGGTTTGCAGTAGCAGCAAAAAAAAAAAAAGGGTCGGTAGGTAGGTCTATATATATATATATGTTTTTTCAAGATTCAATGTAAAAAAAAAAAGGACAATTTTGGTCATGGTGATTACGTCAGTATGAATGTAAACAAATGTGCATATCGTGACGTCACTGACTGGGTCTTCAACCCATGCCTTCGGGTGCACCATTGCGAACCTCATTCTGATACAGGTTATATAGAGCACAAACAATTTGAAATCTTTGTCAAAAAACATGTTTATTGCCAAACAGGGCAAATTAGCGCGAGAACGCAATCCCATAAAAGCACCGATAGGAGTGGAGAGTTCTGCGCTTGATCTACTGAGGACGCACAAATTAATGAACACAGACATAATGGCCAACACAATCTACCAGGGGCAGAGCAAATTATCGTCTGGTTTAAGACGTGCTTTTTTGGGGGCGGTAAATAATGGCACAAATACCAGTAAATTGACGAACGCAAACCTTAGTAAATCACCTTAATAAATAAAATGTATATATTTTTTGCATTTCATTATGAATGAAATTCATATGACTCTGGAATTATTTAGCTGTTTTTCACCTTGTATATTTGCAGCAACAGATAAATGCGTCACACTGTATAAACTAAACTTCTGAGAGTACATTTTTGTTAATAAACTGGCCATATCAAACTTTTTTTTATTCAAATTTTCAAAGTCCACTTCTAATGTTAATAAAGTTTTTGTGCAAAAAAGTAACAGAATAGTAATAGAATAGTAACATCATGTTGCAATCAATAAATTACCATAAAACCTTATGCAAAAATATATATATATATTTTGTATAAAGTTCCTATAGACAATTTGATTACAAAAATGTAATCTCAATGTCAGGTTTAGGTTTATTTAAATTTTCCACTGAAGTCCACTTATAATATTAGTAAAGTTTTAACATTTTTAATAAGAAGAAATCAGCATTTTAGGATGATTTCTGAAGGATCATATGACACTGAAGACTGGAGTAATGATGCTGAAAATTCAGCTTTGTATCACAGGAATAAAATATATTTTAAAATATAAAACAGTTCTTTTAAATTGTAATAATATTTCACAACTTTACTGTTTTTACTGTATTTAATCAAATGAATGCAGCCTTGGTGAGCAGAAGAGCCTTTCAAAACCATAACAAAATCTTACAGACCCCAAACTTATAGTGTGCATGTTGAAATTCTTATAAAAGCGTCATCTGTCCATTTTGAGCACTGGCAGTGTAGTGTGTTTGCGAAGGGTCTCCCGGTCTCTACCTGCGATCAGGCTGCTGCTGCAGGCACAGTTGGACCAGGTTGTGCAGTGTGACCGAGTGGTTTTTGGGGGCGGGGCTTTGAGGTCTCTCTGCAGTGGCAGTACGAGTCAGACTTCCAGTCGCAACACTCTCGCCGATCCCCGAATCCACACCGGAACGAGACACCTTGAGCGCCCCCATGTCTCCCAGCGGGTAAGGGGGGACGTCGAGGAGACAACAGTGAGAACCCCGCAGCTTCTGAAGCAGCATCTGAAGAAGAAACAGCGTTCAGTAATCATAGTTGCATGCTCACAGATGGCACACGTGAAGAACGGCAGTACCAGAGTGGGCGGCATGTCCTGGAACGGCACTCTGCCACTGACCAGCTCACATGCCACGATTCCCAGACTGTAGATGTCTGATTTCACTCCATAGCCGTGAAGATCCTTCATCACAGGAAGAGAGACACAAAAATCCATCATAATGTGATAATTGATGTTGGTCCTGTCCTGACCTTGACCAGGCCTTATAATTAGGAATGGACAAAATATTAGTACTGTATTGGTTATCGGCCGATATTAGTAAACCAATTATTTTAATGGACTGCTATAGGATGATTTTTGTGTATATATACACTCATATACTCTCTCTCACACACACACACACAAACATAGAGACTACTTTCAAAAACATAAAAAAAACCTTCATGTTTCCAAACTTTTGACCAGTAGTGTATACGTCAGAAATCATTATAATATGCTGATTTGGTGCTCAAGAAACATTTCTTATTATTATTATCAATGATGAAAACAGTTGTGTAGTTTAATATTTTTGTGTAAATCTTAAAATTTATTTTGCTAAATAGAAAGTTCAAAAGAACAGCATTTATTTGAAATAGAAATCTTTTGTAACGTTAGAAATGTAATTACTGTCACTTTTGATCAATTTAATGCATCCTTGCGGAATAAAAATATTAATTTCTTTAAAAGAAATCTTACTAACGCCAAACTTAGTGGTAGCATGTATATCAGACAGTTTTGGATATTTAATTGTGCATGCTCATTTTTTACATTTAGATTGCACCGGTCATAATCAAATGCTCACTTCATATTTATATATATATATATATATATATATATATATATATATATATATATATATATATATATATATATATATATATCGTTTATTGTTTTATACTGTCTATAATGCTGCTGTTTGGAACAGCTTTCACATCTGGATTGTCACCTGTCGCAGAAGCTCCGGACTCAGCCACGGCAGGAGAGACGGACTGTGCTGAGGCATGTCAAACACAGCTCTCATCCTCTTGCCATCCTTCATCAGACTGTACACACTCTGAAGCCCTGACAAACACACACGGCCCTCAGCTGACAGCAGCACATGACTCGCCTTCACACCTCTGCAGGAGAGGAGAGGAGAGGAGAGGAGAGGAGAGGAGAGGAGAGGAGAGGAGAGGAGAGGAGAGGAGAGGAGAGGAGAGGAGAGGAGAGGAGAGGAGAGGAGAGGAGAGGAGAGGAGAGAAGAGAAGAGAAGAGAAGAGAAGAGAAGAGAAGAGAAGAGAAGAGAAGAGAAGAGAAGAGAAGAGGCCAGATTAAAGAGATAGTTCACTCAAAATTTCTGGGTTGTTCCATAATGGGTCGATCCAAACCCATAAGTTCATCTTCGGAACTCAAATTAAGATATTTTTAATGAAATTTGAAGTGGTTTCTGTCCTTTCATTGAAAGTCTATTCACCCAAAACTCTGACGGTTCAAATCATCAATAAAGAGAAGTAAAATAAATCCAGTTTAATCCAATTCTTCTATCGCTTTATATGACGAACAAATTAAATGTAGGCTTTTATTTACATTTAAACATTGATCAGCGAACATCAACAGAAGCTCAAACATGCTGTGTTAGACGCGAGAATAAACCTCATTGGTTCTCACGCATCAAGCAAGCATGCTTGAGCTTCCGCTTACCATATTTGAATGCTGATCAATGTTTATATGTGATTAAAAGCCCAAATGAATCAAATAAAGCGATCGTATCTCTTCAAAAGACTTGTGCTGTTTTCCCATACTTTCCATCCTAAAAAGTATTAGAAATTAGAATTAATGTGTTTAAATCATAGTATGTTGTAATGAGTATTCCAATGATACCTGTAGTCTACTATTTTTTATAAGTTAAAATATGAAGCGCAGATCCTGAGCTGGATTAGCTCACTCTACTGGCTAATATTGCCCAAACAATTGTGGTTTGGACGAGGATTTTAAACAAAAACTACAAACATGGCGGATGTGCGAGACCGATCGTTAAGTAGAGAGGTTTAGATAAAGGAGTTTGAGTGATTACCTAACGAAAAGATATTTTTTCAATGTTATCCACATTATAATTAATCTGCAACAGCATTGTGAACTTTTATAAAGATACGTTCGGTCATAAACTTTTAAACGCATCATTATGCAAAAACGCGAGGAGAGTCTCTGCATGAAAGACACACGACTGGCAGATCATCGTGCTACTGCGTTTCTCTCCGATACGGTAGGAAATCAGATTACATTGAATATGGAGGATTTGAACTGTGACGAGATGATTGACAGGTGTTTATACGGTGACGGGATGCATGTAACTAATAGACAGAGCGGTCCGTTAAACACACAATTATGATGAAGTAGTTTGTCCCTAAGCGTGCCAACTCTTCTGCTACACACTCAAAAGTATGTACTTTTCTTCACAAAAATAGTACATACTTTTAGGGCATAGAATAAGTAGGCGAATTGGGAACGTTTGAAGCATCAGAGTTTTGGGTGAATAGACTTTCAAGGAGGGACATAAATCTTTTATTTTTGTTCTCTCGATGAAAGTCTAATGGTTTTGGCATGACATGAAGGCAAGTAAAATGACAGAATTTTACTATCCCTTTAATTCAAGCCTCTGTGAAAGCGATCCCTCATGCGCTCACCTGTGCACGTAGCCCATGTGATGCAGGTACTCGAGCGCTCGGAGAACCCCGTACAGCAGGTACGCCATCAGAGACTCGCTCATTCCATCCGGAAAGTACGACCTGAGCAGAGAGTCTGCAGAACCTGAATGAAACGCGTGCAGAGAAATTTCACCAGGGAAGGATGGGGACAGAAAACAGAAAGCAAGAGACAGATGAGTGTGAACTCTTACCGTAACTCATGAGCGGAGACAGAACCCAGAGCTGACAGCAGGAGCTGAACACCAGTCTGGACGTGAGCAGGTTCGGGTGACGGAACCGTCTGGACAGCAGAACCTCATTCTGCAATTAATGCACAAACTATGAATCCACAAGCACAATGGGCTTTTCTGAGAAAAAGTTGTGTGCGTGTCTAAAACCTGAAAATGCCCTCACAATTACAGTCAATCCTCTTCAACCAACGCGAGGACAATCATCATAACAGGGCCAAAAAAAACCCTCTCTTGCTCTCGTGTTGTTGCAAACACCAATGCTGTTATTTTTCTGAATAATGACGTCAGCCTGTTTCTCAAACAAATCATGGTATGGCTTTAAAAACCTTAAAATATCATACACAAGTCTTATGGGCTACTTTTTATAATGGTTTTGTCATTTTTGGAGCTTAGCGGTTATTTCATCCACCAACAGTCACTATGTAAATAGCCTCATGTTACAAAAATGATCATGAAAAATTCCCTTTTTCTCATTTTACTAAGAGTGTGAACCGGTACTACAGTATATATGTATATGCTTTTCACATTTAAAAGCTCCCTTCATAAACAAAAACAGATGAAATCAATAGAAATGCCAATACCATAAAAGTCTGAAAATTTTTAATTTTCGAAAGTTTCAATAGACAATGTGATTTTAAATAATATATTTTTGACTATTATGTCATATGTCAGAGCTTCATTTTCAAATAGTAGAAATCAATGGCAAGCTCTCATAAGTGTACCACACACCATCAGCTGCAGCAGCTCATCTTCTGTACACTCGTCCAGGTTTGTGTTTTTTACTGCCACCAGCCTGCCAGACGGTGTGTGACGTGCCATGTTCACCTGACTGAGGTTATTAAAGCCCCGGCCTGCACATATATACAAAAATACCCACACATATGAGCATTAAGAACAGAGTAAGACATATGGTAATACATGATATAAACAAGATTCGGTAACACTTTACTTGAAGGGGTGTGCATAAGACTGACATGACACCTTCATAACCATGACATGACATATGTCATGAATATGAAGTAGGGTTTATGCATGTTTATGACAACTGTCATTAAGTGTCTTTCGCCCAATAATGACATTTTGAATGCAAATATGACATTGTTTAAGATGTCTTTGTTATGACATCTTGACATAAACCATAACATCATAACCTGTCAGTGTATTTGTCATGACAACTTGACATTAAATTAAATTAAACTGTCATGTGGTTGGTTTTGACATTGGCTGTCATAAGGCCATTATAACTGTGTCATGAATATTTTTCATGACCTCAACTACAGTGGTACAAATTGAATTTGTAATTAAAAAGTTATAATGGCTTCATGAAAGCCAATGTCAAAACCAACCACCTGAAAGTTTAATGTAATGTTAACCAATAAAGCTAAGTGGTTTCTTAAGTTTGATAATTAATCTGCTAGGTCATGTTTATGACAGGTTGTGTTGTCTTAGTAATGTCAAGTTGTCATGACAAAGACACTGACAGGTTATGATGTATTTGTTTATGTCAAGTTGTCATAACAAAGACATCTCAAACAATGTCATATTTGCATTAAAAATGTCATAACTGAGCGAATGACACTTAATGACAGTTGTCATAAACATGCATACAACTTCCTTCATATTCATAACATGTGTCATGTCATGATTATGAAGGTGTCATGTTAGTCTTATGCACACCCCTTCAATTAAAGTGTTACCCAAGATTCCAGGGAACAACTAACTTATATCATACTAAGTAAGACATGATCCCTACCCAGTTGTGACAGCAGCTGATAGTGGGCGGAGTCAGTGGAAAGATCTGTGATGTCATCGCCATCCGTCAACACAGAACACGGAGAGACGTCACTGCTCTGTCACACACATAAACACAGCAAATAAACGACAGCAACACACACGTCACACATACAAACAGAACTCTACTACTGTACATGGGTAAAACTGTGTTAGATGGTGTTAGATGTTCGCTAAGGGAACAAAATGAGACACTTTCTGTCCTGTGAATCATGACACTAATGTGATGCTGGAGGACCATGACTGGAACATGGAAGAATATTCACAGGTCTCAGATCAGTTTTATCCTGCATGATAGTATAATGACTGAGAAACAGGGTTATTACCGTTAACCAAAGCTATTAAAAACACAACCTAAAATCTAAATATTAGATGAAAAAGTTTAAAGCTTGCCTTGGTGTTGCTACTGTCATTGAGCTACAGTAGTAGTGTTTTGTAATTAGAAATCACAAAATATATCGGTACTGACATAAACGAGGAGACATGGAAAGCAGTCTTGAACAGGGTTTACTCCTCCTCTCTTTGCGCACGTCACAGACTCATACAGTGCAAGGTGGTTCATAGAGCACATTGGTCCAAAACCAGGTTAGCTCGCATCAACCCCTCTATTGACCCGGAGTGTGACCGATGTCACTCTGGTTCAGCCACTTTAATTCATATGTTCTGGTCCTGCCCTGCACTGTCTTCCTTTTGGAGCCACATTTTTATCTCATTGTCAGCTATAACCTCTGTGGAAATACCACTTTGTCCAATAATTGGTTTATTTGGGGTTTTCCAGCCTGGTCATTCTTTGCCTTCTTATTTCTCAGACTTTATAGCTTTTTTAACTCTTTTGGCTAGACGGTTAATTTTATTGAATTGGAAGAGCCCTCACCCTCCATCTCACACTCGCTGGGTTAGAGATGTTCTTTATTTCATGAAGTTGGAGAAAATAAGGTACTCTCTTCGCCGACCTAGCACTATTTTTGTCAAGCTTTGGAGACCCCTTCGTGAACATGTCCAAACTCTCCAGCTTGACCCTGCTCTCTGTGTTTGATTTTGGACCCCATTCCCAGACCCCAAGCCCACCAATCCCCAGCCTAGATGATACTACTCCTGTATTGTCTGGTCAATATATAATTGGGTTTACTGTATGCAGGATTGTATTAGATTGCACTTGTAATTTGTTGTTGTTTTTTGTTGGTTTTTTTTCTTTTTCTTTTTTCTTTTTTTTTTTTCTTGTGGGACTTCGGTGTATCTGTTTACTGTTATATATTTTAGTGCCTTTTTTGTCTCCCACTGTTTTGTAATGTATCTTAAAATGCATAAATAAATCATAAAAAAAAGAAAAAAAAAGAAATGACAAAATATTAAATTCAGCGATTAATTACATAATTCATAATGCTTTATGAGAGTTCACTCAGTTCCTCATTAGTACAATTCTTAAACATTGGGGTTTTTTTCTTGCTTTGAATAATATTGTTATATTGAATTTCATAAGCAAGTCTTGTTGCAGAAACAGAAAATGCATTGCATCACTTTGAACTTTAAGGGGTGATTGAGTTATGTTGCAATTAAGCCAGATTTGATATTATTCATGTAGCTTCTATAAATATGTCAACACTACAACAATTTATACTTTAGATAACTTCAGCTCATAACTTTTTTATTGAATAATACTAGTAGACCATGTATAATAACTCTAGACCATGAATGGGAAAGTGACTCAGCAGGCTGCAATAATAAAAGACAAAATATTCCTGTCACAGGAGGGGAATCACAACCTTCGCCTTCAACCTTCAGACAAAGACATGGCACAATAACACAAGTGAGCTTTCATGCAGACTCATGGGACAGAAAAACTGCTTTGTGACAACTGCAACACAATGGATCCACTCAGAACACACTTGAGCACAACAACAATCTGAAACTCACCGGAGCTTGTGCTGAATATCCAATGACGTTTCAATTGGCATGACTGATGTGTCCATCGCAAGACATAGTGTCTCTGCTACAGGGACTTTCACACTGACAACTATTTGCAGTGACAAAGTGACTGGAAGTCATTCATTTTAAATAAGAGTTGATGATTTAAAGCGACGTGGGCAACAGAGGGCCGTTGGCAACACGACAAAGTTAAGCTGAGTTCAAAATATCATAATGGATATTTAGGTATCAAACAAGACAGATTTAAAATGGAATTATTATTATTATTAACACAAACATGATGATATTATTAATGTTTGACGTGATTTAAAATATTATTATATGTGTGTGTGTGTGTGTGTGTGTGTGTGTGTGTATATATATATATATATATTATATACACATTATACATATATATATAGTTATATAGTTGTTCTGAAACCCTCCCCCTCCACCAGCTCCACCTGCCTAGATCTGCTACGTAGACATAAGGGATTATATGCTCTAACAACTATCTTACAACTATTACGAGAGTTGTCTTGATTGAAAAAAATATAATATATATATATATATATATTAGGGCTGGGCAACGATTAATCGCGATTAATCGCATCCAAAATAAAAGTTTGTGTTTACATAATATATGTGTGTGTAGTGTGTATAATTATTTTATATATATAAATACACACACATGCATGTATATATTTAAGAAATATTTGCATGTATATACTTTATATATATTTATACATAATTAATATTATATATAAATATAAATATTTGATATATTAATAACACATTTTTCTTAAATATATATATGCATGTGTGTGTATTTATATATAATAAATAATTATACACACACTACACACACATATATTATGTAAACACAAACTTTTATTTTGGATGCGATTAATCGTTGCCCAGCCCTAATATATATATATTTTATATAGCAAATCCCCTTTTGATAGTAAGATGGCACAAATAATGCTTCAAATGAGTGTTAAAAAATTTATATTTTTTTAATCCTTCGTTCTAGAGATTCGTTCACAAACACTGATCATTCAATAATGAAACAAGTGAAGTATTTATGAGTGAGTCATTGAATCATTCATTCAAACCAATTTAGTTTATTAATTAAACATTTTTAAATAGACTGCAGCAATTAATAATTTGTCAGAACCTCCAGTAATTTACATGTTATTTTATTAAGTTGTCCGTTCAGAAACGAGGTTGAATCGTGATCTCTATTTGAAACCAAAAACAATTGTGATTCTTAATTTATCCAGAACTGTGGAGCTATAATATATATATAGACAGATAGATAGAAACATCCATATATACATACACAAGTATAATATTGACAGTATTGCTTGTACGGTAGATTAAATAAATAAAAATATATCTGACATATGTTTCGTCACACAATTACTGTGTGACTACATTTCTTAGAATAGCAACTTCCGTAAATTCCTCTTCCTGTCATTCCCATGTAAACTCTATTTAAAAACCCTGTGGTTTGCGGCCAATCCAATTCAAATTCTACCTGACACCACATTGAGCCAATTCCTAAATGTACAATTTTGACTCAGTCCCGCTAGCGATCAACAGTGCAGTAATTTAATCACGGTCTGTGTGAATTCCCCAAGAGTGAAAGTCAATGCCTGATGCCTTCAAACACACCGCTGAGGCCATGATGATCTATTATTAAACTCCACTGACCGAGCACTGATGGCTGATGTCTTCATACTGCTCCTCTATGCTGATGGACTGGACATGTGAGTGGGACGAGATACAGGTGCAGTCCTGAGGGGAAGAGGGGAGGAAAGATGAGACACAACCCCCACCCCCACAAATGAATATGGAGATGAATATGAACATCCAAAGTATGAAAATGCATTAAAGGGTGGGCTGAAGGGCAAAGCAAGACGAGGCAAAACGAAGAGATGATTATGGAAATCAAACTAGCCGTGTTTGATTAAGCTTTGGTTACAGGAATGTTCCAATGCAAAAAGTCAACATGAAAAAAAAATTGAGACAAATACATCCAAATTGAGACAAATACAGACAAACTGACTTCCATAATGTGACGCATTACTGAGTAAAACAGGATCCAGTGTAAGTGCATTACTGTAAATGCGATTTGTGTTTGCTTTTACAAACTGAGGGACGAATCATGCTTATAGAACCTGTATTGAATCCAGAACATTAGGAGCGAGACATTAACAGACACATGATGATATGAATTATGATTATTCATTTTGATTATTATTAATAATGGTGGAAGAACACTTAACGGTAATTTCCCAGAATGTTCTTTTAAAATAGAATTGATGTCAAAATGTTCTTTTATAACATTAGTTAAAAAAAATACAATGGACATTTTGTATTGATGCCAAATTAACATCTGTTTTCATGGCTATTAATCACACAGTATTTATTTATTTATGTATTACTGAGTGAAACAGGATCCATTGTAAGTGTATTACAGCAAACTCGCTTTTTGTGTGTTTTTACACACTAAGGAACAAGTCATGCTTAATATAGACCTTATTCACAGCAGTGCCATCTTAGATTTTTATCAAAGCGAATGAAAGCGAGGCTGTGAGGGACAGACGTACATCTCTTCAGTGGGTTGTACTGTTATTTAATTGTGTTTTTGGATTGTTCTGCTGATGAAACACAGCTAAAATATCTTTCCAAGAAATTTCAGTCGACAAAAAACCTGAGCTGTGGAAAATTAGAAGTGATCTAGGAGCTTTACACAGCTTCTCAGCGGATTGAAAACACGGCAAGTTTATCTATCACTCACAGCCTCGCTTTCATACCTGTTAATTATGCACGATATATCGGACATCATATCAGTGTCGGCCGATATATGTTCATTTTTAATGTTATCGGTCAGATAAGAAAATTTGCCCTTCAGATGTGCAAATTTTCTTCAGCTGAGACACTTCAGATGTGCACTGTTCAACATGATGGTTTTGAACTGCTTGAAATATGAATGGAATCACTTCAAAAAAGGAAAATACAATAAAGTGCAACATGTGCAGCGCCAGTCTGTCATAGGCTTCAAACTATTATAATAAGAACCTTATAATTGTGTGTTTGGGACATGCCTTAATAGTGAGACTTTTGTTTTTGTAATCTCTCAAGAATTACATAAAAATGTAGATTTATCGGCCAATATGTCAGTTATCAACTTTCTAATATAAAGAATTATCAGTATCGGCCAAAATTTTCATATCGCTGCTCTGAATAAAGTCTATCGAACCTTTATTGAATCCGGAACATTTCTTCATGAGTGAGACATTGACACAATCCTCTTGTATTCAGAGGTGAGGTGGAGAATTGGTGGATATTAATGAGGGCGTTTATTATTAAATGTGTTGATATCTAGGGACTAGAGAAGAATCAGGCCATGGATTTTGTTCAGTGAACATCTTCAGTCCATAAAAACATCCCTACTACACTGAATCCTAAACCCACTCCAGAATCAAAACCAAACATTTCTGATACCTAAAAACAAGACCTGCAGAAATGAACACAGAAAGCATGAATCATGAGCTTAGCACAAACAAGCTGGGTATAAAAAGATTCGACTCTCACCAGAAACGACATGAGGTGCTTTTGGCTGAGCTGATGCTTCACTGGAGTTCATTTATCTGATTCTGGAGACAGTGAGAAAAAAAATGAGTGCATCTGCAAAAAAAAAAAATACTTCAGTGGCTGTTTCCAGTGTGCCACGCTGCATTTGTCATTGCAAGAAAAAAATTGCATGAAAAGCACAGTGTTTTTCCGCTTACCTGGCTTTTGCTCGGATTTCACCGCATAAAAAGACACAGACTTCATCTCATTTCATGCTGCTCCATTAGAGTCCTATGAAACAAACCAAACGCTTTCAAGCAAATATCAGATTTTCCAAGGCTTAAATAACATTGCATATGATATGACACACTATTTTCTAACTGAAAGCTTATCGAGCTGATTATTTCTCAACAGTCTGATTTCAAATATATCCTGTCTGAAATTCCTCAGCATCCATGCATGGACCGGCCGGCGCTGTGCCCACGAACAGAGCAGCCGGATTCAGTGTCTGCTCCGCTTGAATGAGTCTATGAGTCTCCTCTCTGCTCCAGAAATCATCATCATCATCATCTTCATCTTCAGTTATCTCGGCTGATAGGATGTCACATCTGTCTAGGCACATCAGCTCTCATATCGCCACAGATGACATTGGGAACTACTGTCCATTTTGTGTCGTTATGTGATTACTATAAGCAGCATCGTTCATGATTGCCAGATTACACTTTATTTATTTAATAAGGAAAATATTAAAGATTGTTACATATTTACAGCAAAAAGACGAGACTTCTTAGTTAGATCGCAATTATAAACTAAATGAATGCATACTGATGCACAATGCACAAGACATATAGATCTACTACATCCCCAAATTGGATGAAATCTTAATTATTAATTATGTAATTATCAGAGCAACTGACAGCATGGTGCCCTTCCTAGTCCTTGACAGCGAATGCATGTAGGTTAACAGGGTTAAGAAAAGAAACATCTTCAAGAAAGAGCCATGGTGCACTAGAAGGCTCTAATAATCTGGACTTTAACATTAAACCCACCTTGTTTCATATCGATTTAAATAAGTGCATTTGGTGACTGTACTAGTGAATTATGACATTAATAATGCACGTTTAACATTATTTGCACATGCTACCATAACTATTGTTTTATCATATCATGGATAGCAATACTTTGCTGGGTTTGATGTGACGCTCAAAGCCATATATAAAAAAAAAAAACTCACCATTGTTATGAATATGGATGGAGGTTCATCTGTAAATTGATTTTGCACCCTTGTTTTTGACGGCGAGCGTCACTTCTGGGCAGTTACAGTCACTTTGTTCACATCACAGTTTTATTCTATGAGTAAAATAGAATAACGCGGCGCCTCTAACATTTAATAACATTTGTAAGTTGACTTGCCAAAGCTTTTCTTCACAGTCCCAGCTGATCACGCTCGACGTACGGGATATATTTACATAATAAAGGTCTTTCATACATGTCGTAAATGAGCACCAGAGGACTATATATAATAAAAGTCTCTTAATAATTCCACTAAACTAGAAGGCTATACATAATAAAAGCACATACTCTATCCAATGAATTCCCCTCTGCCTTTTAAATATTTATTTTAATAATAGGAAGGAAGTGATCTAAAAACAGAGGTGATCTTAAATTAATTTGTTTTCAAATGGGACCTATAATATGTAAATAATTAAGATAATAAGTTAAGATAATACTTTTATCACAAAATAAATATATAAAATAATAAGCTAAATAAATATATAAAATAATATAATTCCTGACCCCTCTTATGTTTACAATTTCTCTATTCTCTTATTATTATTATTTTATTTGTCTGTGTCTGTTTAACATGTGCTGTTTATGAAACATTGAAAGTGTGTAATAATTATTGTAATTGTGACCAATGCCAAATAAATAAATAAATAAATAAATATCTCTGGGACTTTTATCACAAAATAAATGTCGCGCAATGTATGACGTATTTATGGATAACTGACGCCAGATTTGCCCAAACTCTTCCCCAAATACCCCTCCCTCCACGCTCTGTTCGCTATTGTCTCAATCGCTCGAACTGACAGGAGCCACATGTACCACTAACGCTCGGATAAGCGGATTTTACGTGAACTAAAGGTAAGAGAGAGAGAAATGTTCCGCTCTTTCACAGCTGGTGTACAGAGATGTGTGTGTATGTAGGATGAGTTTGACGGTTCACGGATGTGCTGCTGCTCATATATGGCCGTTGGGATGCAGATCAATCCATCTAGTTTAACGCATATTGTTCACTCTATGTTTTTAAACGAGTGTTCAATAGACGTGTATGTGTGTTTTCTGTTATAGTTCTGCGGGTTTTAAAGATCTGGATAATCTGTGTGACATCTGCAGGGATTATGAAATCTGTTGCATCAGATCAAATGGGCTGCATCATACTCATAGAGCATCTCTGTGCTGCTTTTGCTCATGTATTTGTGTTCAGGTGTTATACATGATTTTCATCATGCACAGAGACAATTAATAATCCATCGTCATCACTAACATCGGATTATTTATGAATTTTAGTTTTATGAACACGACCTGTTGACTTAATTAACAGAAGTTCATGAGTGCTTTTACGATTATGTATATATATTTATATATATATATATATATATATATATATTACACACACACACACACACAGAGTAAATATAGGCTAGACCTATAGCTAAACTATATATAATAATAATAATAAGTCATACTAATAACGTTACATGTTTCTTGAGCAGCAAATCATCATATCAGGATGATTTCTGAAGGATCATGTGACACTGAAGACTGGAGTAATGATGCTGAAAATTCAGCTTTACATCACAGGAATACATTACATTTTACAATTTTACAGTTGTAATAATATTTCACATTTATACTGTATTATCTGACTGTTTGTTTACTGTTTGATAACAGATTTAACAACTAAAAAGCTAAAAATTAATTTGTTTATATAACATTTTGATTCATTTAATGATGCCGTGCATTAATGGCAAGAATTGCAGTAACAGACATCATGCCTCATGTGTTTGACTTTAATAGTTTCCTTACAGTCATATTTCAGACTTAAACGTGAGCCCTCTGATCTCTCACGTGATTTTTGTTTTAGTTTGTAGGCTAACCGTTATATGATTGCAGATAGGGGAGATTGATGAACAGATGCTAATGGAGGTTTATTATTGACGGTTCTCCTCACCCTTAAGCGAACCGAGAGGCTGAGATGAGAATGGGACGTCGTGTAATGACTTATTTCAGGTGTCATTTAGATGGAGTTTGCAGTCATGCTGGTATAATTTGAGCGGCGGCTCTCATGAGCTGTGCATTAACATCCGGATCAGACACAATCCTGAGGAGCGTCTGAACAGCAGAACCACACCTTCACAAATATACATTTCCTTTTGGGATGCGTCAATAAAAGGACAGTCTGATGTGTTGATATGCTTGTTTTTTTAATCCAGTGATGCTGGTTTTGCATTGAGTCAGACTCGAGTTGAGATTATTAATAACCCAGTGACCGTCTGAGGCTTTGGAATATCTGTTTCCTGTAATGGTCTGGTCAGACATTGTGGGCATGAGGCTCGATCGATATTAAAAGAACAGAGGTTGTCATCACGATCTCTGCACTTCCCAAGTAACAGTAACTTCCTGAAGAAAGACAAAAAGAGGAAGAACATAAATATCGTTGTTGGGAATTATTTGACAGAAAGGCCTTGCATAGCTGCTTTATCTCCTGACTATAACAAGAGAATAAATCAAGTTTTCAGGTTGAATAAATACTGGAGTTTTGTGGGAAACGAGAGGGACGGTCCAACACTGAGGATTAAGTTAGGATCCTGTTCTGAGGATTAGTTGGAAATGAAAGCAGAAGAGATGGTCAGTACGGAGTAGTTTATGTAATAAGTTACAAAATTTACATTTCTATTTGCATTTTCACTTTTGTTTGCAGTATGACATGTCTGTACACAAAAACACATTTTAGTTTAATATAAAATATATAGCCTATATCACGGTTTCCTTAAATAGTAAGAGCACAACAATATTTTCAACATTGATAATAATCAGAAATGTTTCTTGACCAGCATATTAGAATATTGATTTCTGAAGGATCAAGGATTTAAATTGTAATATATTTCACATTTATACTGTATTAATTTGATCATTATATGGTGAATCTTCTTTTTAAAACATAAAAATAATCTTACTGATTCGCTCTATGAATCACCTGCTACAAACCTCAAACTGAAGGATGTCTAAATGATGTGATTATATAATATACTTCTCTCTCTGTTATCTTAATTAGTACATTTTTGTAAGCACTAGTTTTGAGTCTCTTCTTTCATCCGTTATAGAACCAAACCTTGTTTCCCGAATGATTCCCGTGTTCTGTAAACCTCATCATGTACACTTCTATGGGATTTTCTTCTCTCCAGACTTCAAGACAGGAAGCTCATGTGTGCTCCTTTAAACCGTTCTGGAGCCTTTCATTTTCTGAACAACAGGAAGTGGCCCTCACCCCCCCTCTGTGGCCTGTCCTGAGGAAAACAGTCACGCTTTAGAGACAGTCGTCCCAAAAACTAAGACACTAAAGTCAATCAGTGTCACTGCATTCATTAGATAAGAAAATACTAATTAAGTCCAATCTGCACTCATAACTATGTATATGTTACACTATCATAATAATAATTAGTAGTAGTAGTAGTAGTCGTTTTTATTAATAAATAGCAATAATGACAGTAATAATACTTTAATAATCGCAAAATGTGAAACACAAAAATTGAAAAAAAAAAACCAAAACAAAGTGTACATTATGAATATAAAAATCATAATCATAATATTCAATCATTATTGTTGCTGTTGTTATTCATAAATGCATATTTTTATGTAATGATATTTTGGTTATTGGCTCATTTTCTTTTAATAAAACGAATTAAATTGGTTCTGGATGTCATGTATTGTACTTTAACATAAAAATTTCAAAAAGTATCAGTCATAAAAAAAATCTAAAATTGTAAGGTACGACTGAAGCCTTCCCCACAGCTCTCCACATGACATAATGGTTCAAATGTTAGCCTTGAGTCTCTCGCTCTTCACACACATGCTTGCTGAAGCGGAGAGATAATCTGCCGAACAGCTGGAGGAGAAACACTGAAATGTCAGCAGAGAGAGAATGAGGAGTGTGAAAACACACATGTGCGTATGATTATTACTGTAAATGTCATGGTATTTTCTGTGTCTTTCAGGATAGGCTGGAGTCTCCAAATCTCCATGGTGTCTTGATGCAAAACAGGATGTGACATCAGCAGCCTTCACGTCTTCTGCTCGTGCGGTTTGGGCATGAGTGAGAAGCCCCGCCCTCATTCGCCAACTGACCAATCAGAATGTTCGAGGTGAAGCCCATGAGCGTTGAGAAGAAGGACACAGCTGCGGGAACAGGTGTGTGTGTGAGTGTGAGACACAGAAAGAGGAAGTCACATCAGGCTAAGTTACTACAGTAAACTGCTCCACTGAACCACATATTCACCCAACCGGAAATATGTTACAGAGCAACAAAAAAAGGAAGATAGGGAAATTAGACTTAAAGGGCTCATGACATGATAAAAATCAAACGTGCCTCGATCTTTTAAAATATAAGAGGTCTTTGTATTAGAAGAGATGTTGCTGAATTTAACAGCACATGAATTAAAAAGGAAAAAAAGATGTGTATGGATAAATCATTTATGATACTGCAATATTCCATAAAAAAAAAAATTATTTCATGGTGACTTTAACCTGTCTGTTTAAACGGCTCGCTTGCATCTCTGTAGAGACTTCAGAGGAATCCCAGAGTTTTTCGTTTTTAATGGCGTCCCAGATCGCGTCTGAGGATTATGTGTTTGTTCGGAGCATTTGACTGCAGATTGTCTTGTAAACGAGGACAGTTTAATGGAGAGTTCGCAAAAAGAAACATTTATTGAAAGATGAAGCAGCAACTGTATTGGATCTGACAGTAGCTACATAGCTTTGTCTGTAAATTATGGTTTTATATGGATAATGTTTTCAAAACACTTACTCGCGCAGTAGTGAGTGGGCGTTGATACTTTTTTCTTATGCGATAACATTAGCCAATTATAACAGTGGCCATTTACTGACGAGCCAGAGCTTTTCAGAGAGAGGGGCAGAACGAGGGTTAAAAATAAACATTTTTGCAAATATATTACTTATATACTCAAGGAACATATTGAAATAACAATACAAATCCATATAATTTCCCCTTTAATTTTAAAATCAATGCAACATTTCCAACCTGTCCAATATGTGATATGAGAATTTATCATTGATTGTGGTTTTGCTGGTAGACATTTATTGTTAAATTGTGTATTTTTGTCTTGTGTTGTTCAGGCTGAATGTGTGTACTTGAATGTTTATCATTATTGTAGTTTAAAGTGCGTCATGTAATTGCTCTGAGTTATTTCAGGATAGATTTAGCATCTGGGATTGTCAGATTTAATTACTAACTTAAGCTCAGGGTGTTCAGGTGATTTTACCACAGAACATATTTTCACCCCTCCATCAGTTTGAAACAATGTTGTGACATAATTTCTTTCCACCGCAAAATGATGATATAGACAAATTTACAGATCAAATGCAAGCTTTTTAACTAAAGACTTTATATACGTGTTACACTAGAAATAATCTTAACATTTCTGTTTTTAAACAGTTAAGCAGTTTATGCCATACTTAAGTATAATTATTAATGATTATTTATTATTATATATATTATATACACTCACCGGCCACTTTATTAGGTACACCTGTCCAACTGCTCGTTAACACTTAATTTATATGGCAGCCAATCACATGGCGGCAACTCAGTGCATTTAGGCATGTAGACATGGTCAAGACAATCTCCTGCAGTTCAAACCGAGCATCAGTATGGGGAAGAAAGTTGATTTGAGTGACTTTGAACGTGGCATGATTGTTGGTGCCAGAAGGGCTGGTCTGAGTATTTAAGAAACTGCTAATCTACTGGGATTTTCACGCACAACCATCTCTAGGGTTTACAGAGAATGGTCCGAAAAAGAAAAAACATCCAGTGAGCGGCAGTTCTGTGGGCGGAAATGCCTTGTTGATGCCAGAGGTCAGAGGAGAATGGCCAGACTGGTTCGAGCTGATAGAAGGGCAACAGTGACTGAAATAACCACTCGTTACAACCGAGGTATGCAGCAAAGCATTTGTGAAGCCACAACACGCACAACCTTGAGGCGGATGGGCTACAACAGCAGAAGACTCCACCGGGTACCACTCATCTCCACTACAAATAGGAAAAAGAGGCTACAATTTGGAAAAGCTCACCAAAATTGAACAGTTGAAGACTGGAAAAATGTTGCCTGGTCTGATGAGTCTCGATTTCTGTTGAGACATTCAGATGTTAGAGTCAGAATTTGGCGTAAACAGAATGAGAACATGGAACCATCATGCCTTGTTACCACTGTGCAGGCTGGTGGTGGTGGTGTAATGGTGTGGGGGATGTTTTCCTGGCACACTTTAGGCCCCTTAGTGCCAATTGGGCATCGTTTAAATGCCACGGCCTACCTGAGCATTGTTTCTGACCATGTCCATCCCTTTATGGCCACCATGTACCCATCCTCTGATGGCTACTTCCACCATGTCACAAAGCTCTAATCATTTCAAATTGGTTTCTTGAACATGACAATGAGTTCACTGTACTAAAATGGCCTCCACAGTCACCAGATCTCAACCCAATAGAGCATCTTTGGGATGTGGTGGAACGGGAGATTCGCATCATGGATGTGCAGCCGACAAATCTGCGGCAACTGTGTGATGCCATCATGTCAATATGGACCAAACTCCCTGAGGAATGCTTCCAGCACCTTGTTGAATCTATGCCACGAAGAATTGAGGCAGTTCTGAAGGCAAAAGGGGGTCCAACCCGTTACTAGCATGGGGTACCTAATAAAGTGGCCGGTGAGTGTACATACATATACTATATTATATACAGATAATTGTGTATATAATTAAGTGTTGTTAATATTATTATAAAAATTAATTATTAACAATTAGGCTAAGTAACATTTCTAGTCATTCGTGAACATAAGTTTTTAAAAATAATTTTTACTCGAGAAATTTCTATATTTTAGTGCTTGACATAACTTGGAAAATGTATATTCTTTATGAAAATGTTCATGACTTCCATGTTTAACCAGACTGAGAGAAAATAAATGATAGTTGTTGAGGGAACAAATTAAAATAATGAATAAAAATGTTTTCTAGCTTATTTTAAAGTTGTTTTGTCTCATTTTTAAATCGTATAAAGCCATCTTGCGGTGGCCGCCCGGGTTGAGAACCTTCTCTAGAATGATTGCAGGCTCTGCATAGCTCATTTTTATTAATTTTCAAGAAACTAATGTAGTAATTGACCTGAAAAAAATCACATCATACTTTTAATTATAAATTTATAAATTATCAATTTTGGGATTCTTTGTAAGGATATGCTGAGCGGCAGGTGGAGAAACACAAGGTTTGGTGAATGAACTTTTCCACATACACATTCCTAGACTGAGCGGAACAAGTTTCTGATCACCCGATAGGCATCACTGACATGTAAACGTGGATGGTCATTTGCTGTGGCATCTAGGGATTGGCCAGAATGATTAATTTGTCATGGCACAGAAAAACATGATACAGAATAATTATACAATGCTTCCTCATCGCAGACTAATGAACTAGTCATTTAGTAAATCCATTGAGTAATTAATTATGAAAATTTCATGTTTTGCACATTCTTCATTACGCCACAAAGTTGCAGAAGATCTAAGCGGTCTGTGGAGGGAGTATCGTATGGAAGCTTGTTTCCGCCACAGAATGAAAAAAAAAAGGTAATTGCGACTTTTTATCCCGCAATTCTGACTATATTTCTCAGAATTGCGTGATATAAAATCGCAATTGCGTGTTATAAACTCAGAATTGCGAGATATAAAGTCAGAATTAATTGATATAAAATCGCAATTGCGTGTTATAAAGTCAGAATTGCGAGATATAAAGTCAGAATTAATTGATATAAAGTCGCAATTGCAGGTTATAAAGTCAGAATTGCGAGATATAAAGTCGCAATTACGTGTTGTAAAGTCAGAATTACGTGAAATAAAGTCGCACTTGCGTGTTATAAAGTCAGAATTGCGAGATATAAAGTCGCAATTACGTGTTGTAAAGTCAGAATTACGTGAAATAAAGTCGCAATTGCGTGTTATAAAGTCAGAATTGCGAGATATAAAGTCGCAATTGCGTGTTTTAAAGTCAGAATTGCGAGATATAAACTATTCTGAGGGGAAAAAGTTAGTCTTTTTCCCCCCTTAGAATTGGCCTGATAACTCGCAATTGCGAGTTTATATCTCACAATTCTGAGAAAAGATGTCAGAATTTCGAGATATAAACTTGCAATTATGTGTTATAAAGTCAGAATTGCGAGATGTAAACTCGCAGTTGTAAGAAAAAAAGTCAGAATTGTGAGATAAAAAGTCGCAATTCTGTCTTTTTTTCCCGCAATTGCGACTTTATTTCTCATAATTGCGACTTTATATCTCGCAATTGCGACTTTATTTCTCACAATTCTAACTTCATATCTCGCAATTGTGAGATAAAAAGTCGCAATTATTTTTATTTTTTTTATTCAGTGGCGGAAACAAGCTTCCATAGTATCGACTATTGAGTTCTAAAAGTTATTTTTTTATCTCAACAGATCAAGGAAGTTATGTTTCCTCATAATATGGCCAAGTGTATCCTGACTTGAATGAACAGCAGATGGCGTGCATGGTGGATTCAAAATGTGCAACCGTGTCTCTTCTGACCTGTGAAGTACATTGAACCCCTGATTGAATCTGAGTTATTTCTGTGTGTCCTGTAGATGAGGGCAGTAAGGTGTGTGACGAGGGTGTCAGCAGGGATTCGCTGTATCTCTACGAGGGACAGGACTGGGTTATCTCCCCCTCCTGCTCTCCTGAGGAACCCAGCGCCATCTCACCCATGCTGGCTGAGGAAACTTTCCGATACATGAGTAAGTCACTCTGAGTGTGTGTTTGCAGCCAAACACGTGTGCATGACTGTTTGGTTGCTACGTCTGTCAGGATTGCCATTGTTGAGGAAGCTAACCGCTGGTGATCTTCAGGCATTTTTGAACAAAAAATGTTACGTTTTGTTTTTTAAGGATGTTCTACTTCATTGGAATGGTACGAAGCTTGGTAACGTTTTTGCCACTTTCTTGTGTTAACACAAAAAAAGAAAAACAACATGGACATGATTCAAAAAGGTTAGATGGCCTGAAATAAATTAGTCACACTTGTCCTTCTCATGGTCAAAAATGACTGCATTGGAAATGAATGGGAATCGAATTTCATCTAGTGGAAACGTTTGGTACTGCACCCACATAAGATCTTACTGAAAGCTAATATTCTCAGACATCCTCAAATATGGAACATAACTTTAGATTATGGCCTTGATTTACTTGCAGATTTAGAGCAAAACATGTTTTGGAAAATATATATTTCATATAAAAATTAAAAATAGTATTTCTGTGCATTTTTCAGAACAATAAACTCTTATATATTTTTTAAACATTAAGTTATTTATTATTATTTTTTTACTTGTTTCACTTCGGCAATAATCTGCCAAGTTTCTTCTTTCTTCAAGTCTGTGCTCTAAAGCATTTAAGATTTAACATTTAAGAAATGTCATTTTGGTCTATGCTCAAATAGTTGTTAACAGGTAATAAATGGATTATAACTGCTGCATAAATATAATTTACTACCATAAAATACAAAATATGAAATAATATTATCGTACATTATTATTGTTGTACAGTTTGTTTCTCCTAGAGTTTTATAATTCATTTAAAAAGAGTAAATAATTCATGTTGGCCTTACTCCATAGACGATTTAAACCTTTTAAAAAGGATCGTTTACATGAGTTGCCAGAACAAACCGATTCCTTAAAATCAATCAAACTTTCCAATGTTACACATGGGAGAGGGGGAACTTTAGGACATGTTTGTTTTTTAACTTCAGCTCTGCTATAAAGCTGTGTGTGACACAAATCTTTATTACTCAATACTTACTGTATTACTTATTACTTGTAATACTTATATGGTATCAGAATAATTATTGTATAGTTGCTTTGTATCGGGACACCTCGGGGGAAAGTGGCTTGTTACTGGCAAATCTACATTATCTCAAATCTACTGCTGAGCTGAAACATGTAGTTAAGTTAGTTGCATTTGCTTTTGACGGCCCCACACGGTTGCGCGCGCGTGCGTGTGTGTGTGTGCCCGTCCCTGGCAAGGGCACAGGAATTCAGTGTGGTCAGGTCTCTTAAGTGCAGCTGACAGCGTCACGGGGCGGGAGGGAGAGGGGCAGATGGATGGATGGATGAATAGAGAGAGAAGAGGTCATGCCGGTGCTAAACATACAATATGAGGAGCTCTATGATCAATGTGCTGCAGAAGGTGAGACGATATCGGGATTTGTACATTTTGTGTGTGTGTGTGAGCGTGTTGTTTTATTTTGCAGTATTTGTGCTGCTTACAGACACTACAGGACTTCTGACAGGAATTCAAGGTCATCTATAACGGACAGGGCACGTGGGGTGAACTCGGCGTGTGTGTTTCTGACAGTATGAATGCAGTATGTGTTGTGTCCGTCTGTTTGCGTAGTTGCATACAGGCATTGTTAAATGCTTCCTTTGAATTGCTGTGGCAGTTTTGTTGATGGTGTGTGCTGGCTCGATTCTGCATTGAGTACATGAAGTGAGAGAGCTCGCGTATCTCTGAGTCTCTGAGATAAGCCAAGTGTGCTGATGTCATCTTTGAGAGTTGTGCTGATGTCATCTTTGAGAGTTCATGTTGTGCTGATGTCATCTTTGAGAGTTCATGTTGTGCTGATGTCATCTTTAAGCTGACAGACATGACATGTGACATGCTTTGTGTGTTTCCTGCGGGATTTAAAGGGATACTCCACTTTTTTTGGAAATAGGCTCATTTTACAACTCCCCCAGAGTTAAACTGTTGAGTTTTACCATTTTTGAATCCATTCAGCCGATCTCCGGTTCTGGCGGTACCACTTTTAGCATAGCTTAGCATACATCATTGATAGTGGACACGATATTAGCATTTCTAAAAAAAACAATGACCAAAGAGTTTCGATATTTTTCCTATTTAAAACTTGACTCTTCTGTGGTTACATCGTGCACTAAGACCGACGGAAAATGTAAAGTTGTGATTTTCTAGGCTGGTATAGCTAGGAACTATACTCTCATTCCTGCGTAATAATCAAGAAACTTTACTGCCGTACCATGAGTGCAGCAGGCGTAATGATATGACGCAGCGCCTGAAAATAGGCCACCTTCCGTCAACACAACGGAACTATTTTCAGGCGCTGCGTCATATCATTACGCCTGCTGCACTCATGGTACGGCAGTAAAGTTTCTTGATTATTACGGAGGAATGAGAGTGTAGTTAACTACAGAAGAGTCAAGTTTTAAATAGGAAAAATATCGAAACTCTTTGGTCATTGTTTTTTTTGGGAAATGCTAATGGTCTTGTCCACTTCAATGATGTATGCTAAGCTATGCTAAAAGTGGTACCGCCAGAACCGGAGATCGGCTGAATGGATTCAAAAACGGTAAAACTCAACAGTTTAACTCTGGGGGAGTTGTAAAATGAGCCTATTTCCAAAAAAAGTGGAGTATCCCTTTAAACTTGTCCATGATACTACATACTAAATTAGCTCTGTTTCAAAACCTAGTGTGCCTACATGGGAGTCATGGAAGTTGCTGTCATAAAACCTCAGAAGTAGCCAACAATGAAAATGCATGGGAGACTCAACTTAGTTGATTTAAATTGAGTTTAACATTAGCAACACTTAATATTTATTTTTTTGCACATACTGTTGCTTACACAGATACATTCATTGTCTTTAAATTGCACATTGTTTGGATGACAACACTGGCCAGGATGTGGAATAACAATTTAGTAAATAATGGGTTAAAATTCATCTTTTTTTAGTATTTTTATTTTCATCCGATTAATCAAATAATTTTAAGTCTATTGTTTCAAAGCAGCTTTAAATAAAAGCATGATGTTAATGCTTTTAATATTTTAATATCTCCATTAAGTTGTATTTGGCTGATGAGTATATAGTGTATAAATAGTATATAGCGAGTACATTTATATGTACAACATTATATATAGACCTGTGCAATAATATAGTTTGCAAATTGCGAAGATATAAATATTCACGGTGCCAATAATTAATAATCAAAGAAATAATCAACAGATTAATCGATTTAATAAAACAGTTGTTAGTTACAGGCCTGCATGCAATAGTCGTTCGTTGATATAATCTATTTTTATTTATGCTGAACTAATTCTTTTGTTATTGATACTTTTCATATGTATTTTTTAAATGCAAATTGTATTTAAGTTTATCTCGCTTCGTTTTTTTCGCTGAAATTTTTGCAGTGCTTGTCCTTTCGATGAAGGATGTGTGTGATGCCAAATAAACCGAATCAGACTTCATGTTGAAAGCACTCCTGTGATGACTTGAAATTCTGCTCACTAAGTTTTGAAACAGTTTTTTTTTAAAAATATTATTATGTGACTGTATCTTTAACTACACAAACATCAGAGATATGTCTAATTGCAGAGCCGCAGTGCCAGGCCAGCTGTCTCAGACCAGAAGTCAGCTGACGATCTCCTAACACACTCCCTCCACTAACCCTAACCTCACTACAACTTTCAACTCCACCCTAGCAAATAGCTAACCTCACCCCATCACTAACCCTACTCTTAATGAGGCTATAACCTCCAGTCTGAGACAGCTGGCCTGTACTAGTGCGGCTGTCCTGAAACAGTCATGCTCTGTGGCTCTGCTATTGAAACATCAAGTCAGTGGGTTCAGCGATAAACCATGTGTACGTGCTAGAGCACTAATGAGTGTATATGTGGGTATAGGGGAGCTCTGAAAAGAGGAGCACACAGCCAGAGTCCTGCTGAGACTTTTTGCCCTAGTTTCTCACAGCTGGATGATGATGTGATGCTAAGAATAACCCGAGAGGGGGCAGATGGAGGCTATTTCAGGTTTATAAACGGAGGGCTGAACATGAGAGTGCATGAACAAGAGCTCAATGTCATATTTATAGAGGGACAGACATAATAGAAGAACCTAGTACACCATTTACTAAGGTCTTGATGAAAATTGAACATTTATTTCATAACCATGGATAGCTCATTACCATGTTTTAATTAATGTAAGACTATATAAACAGTATTGCTGCTATTGCAGGTGCATATATATATAAAAAAACTTGATTCCTGACTCACTTCATAGACTGTATTGTATGAATCAACTAGCAATTTTCACAAAAATACCATAGTCGTTACAGTACATTTTTCGTATAGGAGATCAGCCAATTTAGTATGTGCGTATGCAATTAAAGCTTATCTAATTAAAGTCAAATCAGATTCCTTTTATATCTGTAATAGGCAATATTTTATATATTTCAGTTTTAATTTTAATTTGAAAGTTTTAATAATTTTATGTGGTTTTGTCATTTTTAATTATTTTTAATATTTCTGTTTTAGCTGTATTTTTATTCCAATTGTTCGCTAATTTTAGCACTTAAACTTAAAATACTAACTGCATTAAATGGGGTTTTCATCTAATATTTATATTTTATTTGATTTAATTTCAGCTTTTTAATAGTTTTTAGTTAACCGTTTATTATTAGTTAACATTAACAACACGGGTAAAAGGATGACGGCTCATTCGAGATTCCAGGTCAAACGTCCGCGTTGCAGTGTTATTGTGTTGTGCTCTGTCATTGTTGTTCGCTTATGCAAAAATCCCAGAGCTCTCAAATTTGTGGCAAACAGTTTTGCCAGGGCCGCTGTGATATTGATCGTGGAAGTGAACTGGGCGGACTGACACACCTGATGTCTCACTGGAGATCAAAGTTCTCCTTGTGTCTGATTACTAATGCGTCACTTATTGCTGAGGTTCATGACACTGTTATACAACAGTTTATATGTGTACATCTGAACTAGACCGAGCGGATCAGAGCATCTGTGGCTGGACTGGAGAGTCATGATGAGTGTTTATGAGGTTTATTTGGTGTGTGTGTGTGTGTGTGTGTTTGGGTCGGGATAGAGGTATGAGTTGATGTCAGTGAAGTAGTGTCATGATTGTCAGGATGCTTCAGTTGAGTGAAGAGTTCCCAGCTCACCATCTCACATCAGGTAAGGGTGTGTGTGAGTGAGAGGACAACCGACTAGTGGGGACATTTTACTGGTCCTCACTAGTTAAAGGCTAATAAATCAGCCAAAACATGTTTTTCTTTAAATCTAGTGTTTCGCACGTGTGTCTGTGAGGGGTTTGGGGTTGAGTTAGGCCATAGAAAATATCATGAACCTGATATAAAATCAATGGAAGTCTTATGCATTGTCCTCACTAATATAGTGAAACCTTTGTGTGTTTAAACCTAACCTAATGAGAATGCATTTATTTTAATTCAGGATTGCTCACGGGACAGTGACTGCTGTCAGGTGCTTCATTATTCCTCTTTTATCCCCCTCTCTCCCTCTTTCTTTCTCCGCTGGTGATGGTGTCTCATTTTCACCCTCGCTGGATGTTTATATAATACTTCTCTCTCTCTTCCTTCCCTTCTTCTGTCCTTACCCTCTCTCTCTCTCTCGTTCTCGTTCTCTTTCTCTCGTTCCTTCTGCAGCATTTCTAGCTGTTGGCTCCTCTTATCCCCATAATGGCTCTAACAGCCTCTCTAAAGGTAACCCAGTCCTTCATCTGTCTATATTCCACTCTTCTGTCATCTATTCTTACAGAATGCCTGTCCATCCTAGTTTCTGCTTCTATTTTCGAGCTAGTATTTGACCTCGGACAACCAGCATGTGTTGTGTAGTCTGGTGTGTTAAATACTGCAGTCTGCCATCTAAACTCGCATTAAAGGGGTCATATGAAAAACGGTATATAAAACTTATTTAATATGTAAACATCTCTGTTATTTACAACTCAAAACTCCCTCTCCATTCCACCAGGAACATCTATTGAAACTAAGCTGAACTATGAGCACATTAACATAAGAACACCTACATTCACACATGAACACCTATTTGGTATTTACAACTTGGCATTGTTACTCATTTCATGTGTGAAGAGGTTAGCCAATCACAGATCTGTAATAGGTCTAATTTACATAAAGCCTTAAAGGTACAGGAGTCAAATCATGTTGCAGCAAGCAATTTATCTATCAATGCTGAATGTGAAAATTGCAAAAATTTGCAATTTTGAGCAAACATCTATAGATACCAGGTGGTCGACAACATGTCTTGCTGTTGTGTAATCTGTCGGGGACAACCAGGTTTCATTGATTATCGATTTATTGCATTGCAGCTGGTTTGGACACAGGTTCTTGCACAGTTGAGGAAATTAAAAGGAAACCCTGTTAAATAACATTTGGTGCAACTTTGACAAAAATTATTACTTAGCCTTAAAACGTCTAGAAAATGACCCCTTTAAAGTTCTAGTGTTTATACTCAGTAGAGAGCAGTACATCTGTAGTGGAGAGTAAACTCTCTTTAGATTTCGATCTATGTCACTCACTACGGTTCATAAGTTTGAGTTTTTGTAGGATTGTTTGGTATTTTCTCTTCTGCTCACCAGGGGTGCATTTATTTGATCAAAAATACAGTAAAACAGTAATATTGTAAAATATTATTAGAATAAAATATATGAGAATGGAAAACGGTAAATTTTAAAACTGTAATTTATTCCTGTGTTCAAAGCTGAATTTTCAGCATCATTACTCCCGTCTTCAGTGTCACATGATCCTTCAGAAATCATGATTTGCTGCTCGTTAAACAATTCTGATTATTATTATCAATGTTGAAAACAGGTAACATTATAAATGTCTTTACTGTCACTTTTGATCAATTTAATGCATCCTTGCTAAAAAATTAAAATAGTAATTTCTCTCTCTCAAAAAAAAGTGTGTAGTGCATGCAATTAATAGTGAATCTGAATGGAAATGTTTTTGAATCCACTTTGGGTTTGTGCATGACATCACTGCAGTGTGTGTGTGTGTGTGGTGCATGTGTAGAGCTTGCCATATGGCGTGTGGGTGTTCCTACACCTTCCTATTTTGGTTTGTCTTGCCGAGAGAGAAAAAATTACTTTTTTTTTTTTTCTATTTATTTATAGAAAGAAACTATTTATTTCCCCGTGCACCGCTAGTGTAGTTGCCAGTATTTGTAGGATTTCTTTTGATGCATGAAGTGTTATTTTGTTTGTGTGACTCTTTGCCTGTCTCTCTCTCTCTGTAGTCCTCAGCGCTGAGCGGGTGGAGCAGATGACCAAGACCTACAATGACATCGACGTGGTCACACACCTCCTGGCTGAAGTGAGTGATGTGACCATTCAGCAAACTGTGATAAAATGCTTTGTCTAGTTTGCTTTTGATCGGCATTACGATGTCGTCCCGCAGAGGGATCGTGATCTGGAATTGGCCGCACGGATTGGTCAGTCTCTCCTGCAGAGGAACCATGTGCTACAGGAGCGAAACGAATCTCTGGAGGAGCAGCTAGCACAGGCTGTAGACCAGGTACAACACGCTATCACATGAAAAATTGAGGCTAAACGTGTACAAGTAGGATTTCCACAATGCGGAAAACATGGACGAAATCACAGAATCCAGTCATTAAATGGAATTTAAAGTATAATGCAGAATGTCGTTGAATTTGGAATAATTTGAATGAATAAATCAAGAGTAGGGTAATTGCGACTGAATATGGACGGGTGTCTAATAATAAATAAAAGTGAATAATAAACCGCAAAAAGACTGCTATTGAAATATGAAATCTGTATGTTCTGCGTGTCTCTGTGTTAAATTGTTCATGTTTTATGCATTTATTTGATTAACACCATTTTTGACAGTAAATTTGTATTATAAATCATAAATCCAGAAAAATTAAAAGACGGCACAGAATTTCAGACAAAATGAAAGATTTCATAGGGCCTTATTATTGAAAAAATATAGGGATGCACGATATATCGGCCACCATATCAGTGTCGGCCAATATATGTTCATTTTTAATGTTGTTATTATCGGCCCGATAAGAAAATTTGGCCGATATATATTAAAGCTATTTATATATATATATATATATATATATATATATTTATTATTAAAATAATGGATTATTTACTTCAGCTGATGGTTTTAAATTGCTTAAAATATGATTGGAATCACTTCAAAAACAGAAAATACTGCTAAGTGCAACATGTGCTGCTCAAGTCATATAGGCTACATAAAATTATGATGAGAACATCATTATAATTGTGTGCTTGGGACATGCTTTTAATGGTGAGACTTTTGTTTTTGTTATCATGCTCTCAAAAATGATATACAAATTTGGATTTAGATTTATCGGCCAATATATTGTTTATCAGCTTTTAAAAATAAAGAATTATCAGTATCGGTGAAAATCCTCATATTGTGGCTAAAAAAAATAATTGATTAGATGTGTTTTTGATCATTCAAATTGAATTAAATCATTAAAATGGAACCCAGGAAAGTTAAAAGGAGGGGGGGAGGGGGAGGGGGAGGGGGGGGGGGGGACTAATTTGGGAAAAACAAAATGGAATTTACAAAAAATAAAAGAGATTTCATAGGGTCCTAAAAATTTTATTTTGCTTGTACAATTTGACAACAACTTATTAAAAGTTTAAGTTTTCATTCAATTAATTAGATATGCTTTTTGTTAACTAAAACCGATTTCATAGTGGCCTATATAAGCTACAGTTTTATACTCGGTTTTCTCTCTGTATCAGGTTCATCAGCTTCAGCATGAGTTGGCGAAGAAGGATGAGCTCCTCCGGATGGTTGCGAGCGCCAGCGAGGAGAGCGAGACCGACTCCAGCTGCTCCACGCCGCTACGCCACCCCGGGCCCTCGGGGGCCGCTCTCGCCCTCAGCCAGCTGGAGGCCCTTCAGTCCAAACTCCAGGAGCTGGAGGACGAGAACCTCTCGCTGAGATCTGAGGTGCGGCACGGGCTCTGCCTGATGTTTCAGGAGCTGAAGGGTTTGACGAAAGCGTGACCTCTGATGTTTTACAGGCCTGTCACCTGAAGAAGGAGACCTTCACTTATGAGGAGAAAGAACAGCAGCTGGTGAACGACTGCGTTAAAGAGCTACGTGAGTATTTCCAAGCTCCAAATCAACTTCAACGACTCTGTATACTGTCTACATCAGCAGCATCATAAACCAAATTAAACCTCATTCATGGGCAATAAATTTGTCTGCCATTTGGATGTTTTACGTCTTACAAACTGGTCAGTGGATGAGACTGAATATTTAGTACCAATATTTGCTAAAAAAAAACCTCCTCATATGTCAGATTTATGTGTGTATATAATATATATGCTTACGTTTGCTCTGCTTACGTTATTGCAGTGGCGTTCTTAATGTTTGAGACTCGGCATTCGAATGCGCTGTGATTTTGTTCGGAATACTTGTAATGCACATATTTAAGGGGTACTTCACCTCTGGAAAGATTAATCTGTATTTAAAATGGGTCATTTATGTAGAAGAAATGTGAAATTATTTTTGAATTTGGAGCTTTCTAGACTGAGAAAAGCCAGAAAATGTACTTTTGGCTTATGTGGATGAAAGACAACAACTCCCAGAATGCACTTGCTTCGCTGCCCTAGGAGGCCACGCCTACCGGTAACAGAGCGCAGTAGTTAAACAACAAGTCTAGGCTACTAGTGAGTCTCCGTGATGAGTCTGCCCGGGATTTCGAGATCGCCCAAAATGTCCGGGATTCGGCTTTTGCGTTCTACAGTTGCCATTCATCATGTTTACTGTGGCGAGCAGGACGAGTGAGGGCCGCGGGAGAACGGCGCGAGGCCGGTGGTGTGATTACTGATGAGCGACACCTGTGAGACGCACCGGTCTCGTGTCTCTCACGGAGGAGCGGGAAATTTCTTAGCAATGTTAAAACGCACATCAACCGATCACTTATTTAGCGTTCATGTAAATACTACATTCAGATTCACCAATCGGAATGAATTCAGTTAGATTGAAACAAAAGGTTTGCATGTAAACAATGAATGGCGACTGCAGAAAGCAAAAGCTGAATCCCGGACATCGACGGCCGGACATGTCCGGGAAAAAGAGGATGGTAACCCCTACTACTCAGCTTTCTCCACAGAACAAGAGCCTGCTAGCTTAGCATCCAAAAAAAGATGGCTGACACTATGTGTGCATTCTGTGAGTGAGATCCCACCCTCTATGGGCGGGTCGAAAACATGCGGGACAGCCCCTACTGTAGTCTTTAGCCTCTGGCCAAAAAATCCTCCGATGACGCAAAATGACGATTTTTTCCAGACAAAAAATACATAAATCTCTCGTCTCAGCGGGATATGAGGGTGGAAAGCATGGTAATTCGAAAATACTACAGGTTTTCTTCTAATACAAAGCTTAATGCTAAATCCTGAAGTATCCCTTTAACGATTATGTGAATCGTATTGCAACGTTTAGGGTTCATATAAACAAACTTTCAGAATATGAAATCAGATTGGATTCATTCGGATCGACAGAAACGAGTGCATGGAAACATACTATAGACTGTGATGTAGGCTATTTTCGAGTTGTTTATTCAGTGTGTTTGTTTAACAGGTGAGTCGAACAGTCAGATGGTGTCACTGACGGACGAGCTCTCCCTGAAGAACGAGGATTTAATGAGACATCAGGAGGAGATCGCCCAACTCCTCACACAGATCGTAGAGCTCCAGCACAGAGTCAAAGAGGTCCGCATACATCACGCCACATTTACACTACTCTTCAGAGGTTTGGGGTCAGCGGGAGGGTTTTTTTTTTTTTTAAAGAATACATTTATTCAGCAAGGATGCATTAAAATGATCAAAAGTGACAGACATTTATAATTTTACAAAAGTTTCCTATTTAAAATAAATACTGTTCTTTTGAACTTTCTATTCATCAAAATATCCTGAAATGTATCACGGTTTTCCACAAAAATATGAAGCGGCACAACTGTTTTAACATTGATAATGATAAGAGCAGCAACTGAACATATTAGAGTGACTTCTGAAGGATCATGTGACACTGAAGACTGGAGTAATGATGCTGGAAATTCAGCTTTGATCACAGGAATAAATTACATTTTACAATATTTTCAAACAGAAAACAGTTCAGTTGTAGTAATATTTAACAATTTTACTGTTTTTACTGTATTTTTGATTAAATAAATGCCGCCATGGTGAGCAGAAGAGACTTCTTTCAAAAAAAATGTTTTGAACAATAGTGTATGTTGATGTATAATTGTGTATCTCTTGGTTTTCTCAGTTGGCGCTAGAGAAAGAAGAGCTGAGAATTCACCTTCAAGCCTCAAAGGAAGCACAACGGCAACTTACGGCTGAGGTAAAGCTACACACACATACTGAGGTAAAGCTACACACACATACTGAGGTAAAGCTACACACACATATTGAGGTAAAGCTCCACACACATACTGAGGTAAAGCTACACACACATACTGATGTAAAGCTACACACACATACTGAGGTAAAGCTACACACACATACTGAGGTAGAGCTACACACACATACTGAGGTAAAGCTACACACACATACTGAGGTAAAGCTACACACACATACTGAGGTAAAGCTACACACACATACTGATGTAAAGAACCGTAAGCCAAACCGTCTGCAAATCTGGATTTAGACCGATCACTCTGTTTAAAAAGCCCTGTTTTAAGGGCCTTGTTTGGATTAATCCGCTTGATTTAAGGTCTTAAAGCATTTTAAATATCAGTTTTACAGCAAAGCAGCTTAGTCACTGTGATTTAGAAAAGGCCATAAACTCATTCATTCATGTGGTGTGTTTGTCTTATCATTGCACTTCAGCTGAACTTATGAAATATGACAGTAGAGGCTGGCGTGTTATAATGCGTCACAGGACAGTGTTAGTTAATAACTTCACTGGAAGTATTATGGCAAGAATGTCTTTAATCTTTTTGTATATCAGCATATCGAACTCTCTCTCGTTTTTTGAGGCAATATATTGTCCCAGAAATAATTGCGATCAATATTATTACTGTCATTTTAAGACCATTTTGTCTCACTGATATAATGATGACGATATAAGAGCATAATAATGCAAGTGCATCATAAATAAATAAATCTAGGAATGCGCATGAGTACCAGCAATGTGCGATCATGAAAATGTGTACGATCCTGTGACTTAAAACAAAAGAAATATGTATTTTTCTCATTTTGTCTGATTGATTATGGCATTTTGGGTGGAAACTTGAGGTCTGATAAGTTAAGGTCGGGATGGTATGCAGTCAAGACTGGCTAAAACATTGGTGACATTCATTCTTACTGTATGTTAACAAACAACGAGCATGTAAACACGATGGGCAATGTCGAGTTCCTCAAAAATAATCAAAGTCATGTCCATATATCGTAGTCATTTTTCATGACAGGCCTACTCTGCTGTGTTATGAGGCATACCAGCTGACTACGGAAAATAAACATCGGTCTGTGTGTGTGTGTGTGTTAGCTTAAGGAGCTGTCCGACAGAAATGCAGAGTGTGTGGGAATGTTGCATGAGTCTCAGGAGGAGATTAAGGAGCTGCGCAGTAAGAACACCCCGTCTGCAGGCCTGCGCAGACACCTGTCTTATGGACTCTATCCCATGGTGAGAAACACAGATCTCTTGCTCCACACCTCCATCTCTCTCACACATTTCTTCTTTTACAATCACATCTGTTCTTAAAAGAAACTTATTCAGTAACCTGCACATGCTAAGCATTATAATACCCATTGCAATCTGTTGTATACATTTTTATTTGGTTGTGGGCTTTTTTTATTTCATTATATTAGTATTATTAATATAATATTTTTGTTTCCCATTTTATTTAGTTTTGTTTTGTTTTTTGTGATTGCTTTGTTTTATTTTGTTTCATTTAGTTTTTGTTGTCTTTTTCATTGTATTTATTTATTTAGTTTTTGTTAGTTTTATTTTATTTCTCGTTTAATTTTAGTTTTTGTTTTGCTTTGTTTTCATTTTATTTTTGTATGTTTTATTTAATTTAGTTTTTTGTTTTATTTTGTTTAGTTATTTTTTTTTTTTTTTTTTTTTTTTTTTTTTTTTTGCTTTGTTTTTTTAATTTTTCTTTTCATTCTATTTAATTTAATTCTGTTTTTTTTTGTTTGTTTTTTGGGGGGGTTTTGCTTTGTTTTTTTATTTTATTTAGTTTTTTCATTTGTTTAATTTAATTCCATTTTTCTATTTTATTTTATTTTGTATTTTATTTCTCTCTCTTTTTTTTTTGTTCTTGTTTTATTTGATTTCATTTCATTTAGTTTGTTTTGTTTTTATTGTCTCAGTCTCTTTGGGTTAACAGATTATATAATCATTGCTTCTTCTTTTTTTGTCCTTTAGGATTCTTTGGCAGCTGAGATTGAAGGTACTATGAGGCGAGAGTTGAGTGTAGATGAAGAAATCGCCTTTGAGGACCAGAGGTGACACTCACAATTCTCCCTTACACACACGTCACGTTTCCGTAGCCATGTGGTCCTTCAGCAGTACTGACCTTTGACCCCGTCTGCTCTCTGTTTGAAGGTCGACCCATAAGCGTGTGTTCCAGACGGTACAGTCAGTGAACCGGGCCGTGATGAGAGCGGCTGCCGCTGTGCCTCCGATCCCTGGATCCGCTCGCAGCGGCGTGATCATGACACCAGTGCCCTATCTATCACACACACACAACACAGAGGAAGAAGCTGGAGATGTGGACCGCACCAAGTGAGTGAGACTGGAGGATGTATTTATACTAGGGCTGTCAAATAAAAATTCGTATTTTGAATATTTGTCGAATTAAAAAAAAAAAACACACACATTCGAATTTTTGATGTGTCAAGACAAGAGCTTCGACTGTAAAAGGTCAAGAGGCGCGTGAGACATGACGATGATGTAACTTGATGATGTTGGTTTGTTTTTGTAAGCGTATCCAGTATACAGCAGGTGCGGCTGCGTTGGTCATTTTTAGTTTTTGACGAACAATATGTAGATGTAGTGAGTAGAAGTGGATTGTTTCTGAGTTTGCTATTTTGTAGTACATTATGCTGTCTGCTGAAGCGTGTTTTCTCAGGTTACTGATGCATTTAAACATTTTATGCACTATTGTAACCTAATTTTCCTTGCATGCACATTAAGGAAATTATATTTGACCTAAGAACAATTGTTTCAATAGTTTATGCACTTTAAAAAGTGAATGTCATTCATTTAAATAAAAGATGGGATGCTTCCTGGGATGGGTTTTCTATTTGCTTATAGCGCTCGCCTGCACCCTCTTGTGGGCATAGGAGACAATACAGTACTTTTTTCTATTAACATTAAAGCTGCAGTCCGTAACTTTTTTGGGGTTAAAAATTATCCAAAATAAATGTTTGAGCAAGTACATAACCAGCCAGTGTTCAAAACTCTCTGCTTGCCTTAGCTCGATTCAAAGCGGTAAGCTTGTAATAATGTTTTTAATTCCAGTGGTACTGGTGGATATTAGCGGGAGATTCGAGCATGACTTTGCGTCTTTACATCTGTACACATAAAGAAGGAGTCTCGGCTAGTAGGCTATATTGCGTGTGAGGATGTTGGAGGTGGAGATTTATAGCCTTTTCTCACAGCACTTGATATAATTAAACTTATTAATTTGATGGCGGATCCAGAAAGGTTCAAACGACAATAACCAGCGACAACAGATTCACCCGCTGTAAAATGCAATCGGAGCCATGCGAAAACAAGGTTAATATCGGAAGGACATTAAATGTAGTCATGCAATGCTGATGTTGTTAACATTAACAATTTAAGAACAAAGTATAATTTGCACGGTTTGACGTGATATGATAATAAGCCATCGTTAGTATTAATCAGGACGATTTACTGCAATGCTTTTTTCCCCTTAGTTGGTCAGAACAAAAGTGGATGTTACTTGTTCAGATGACATTTTCCGGTGGAAATTATTAAGTTGGTCATACTTCCAAAAAGTCGAATCTGTTATTCCGAATGCCAGTATCCACACCGGCACGGCGACTGACAGCCGCACACTCCCCTCAAAACATTGGATTCATCCGCGACAGCCCTAATTTACACCCACAATGCTTTTGTGTGTTTCTGACACACGTGTGTGTGTGCGCTGCAGAGAGAACTCCCGTCGAGGTCAGCCTGGTTCTCCCGGAGGAAACGACCTGACGTCAGCCGTGAACCGTCTCTCCCTGCGGAGGCAGAACTTCGTGTGTGAGCGACAGTTCTTCCAGGCGGAGCGAGACCGGAAGCTGAAGCTGTTGGCGGAGGAGTCGGACGCCGGCGCGAGCGGGTGCAGTTCACCAATGGGAAGCACCGTCTCTTCTTTCACCAACCTATCAGAATTCTCCTTTTCCTCCAGCTGTTTCAAGACATTTCTTCCTGAAAAACTGCAGATTGTTAAACCAATGGAAGGTGAGGATAGGATAGCGTGCCTAAAAAACAGCCAGGTTTTTCTGATATCGCCATGTACTTCTTAGTTGATTATGTTCAAACAGTTAGTTAAGATAGTCAGTGTATGGACTATGAGCATTTGGATACATTTCTATTTTTATGAAAAGGGATTTTGTCATTTTTACTGTGAATTCATTAATATTAGTTAAAGGTGCTCTATGTAACTTTTCTACTAAAATGAATCCTTTTTTTATTGCCTGTGTGTGAAGGGGTTGTAATCGCACACTAAAATGATCCACTTGTCGAGTTTTGCTATTACCTCTGAAGGCCAGTATTCCTATTTCTATGTGAAGTCTCCGGGTCGGATTTACCGCGAAATCCAACGGATGTGACGTGCATGCGCCCTCCCGAGCCTCTCTCCTTATATATACAGTCTATTGTAGACGGTCAGGGAGTTACGTCCGGTTAAAGGCGCACGTTTTTCGGCTTATATCTCGGTCAATCTTTGATCAATATTCCCAAGACTCTAATCGTTCGTAGTGCTGGACGGGGCCTCGAACGAGCCCACCCCCGAGGTCCAACTCGCCCGGCTCCCCGAGTTATAGCCGTTCGAAATCGGGGGTCCCAGCGAACAGCGATCCGGTAGGGGGCATCCCCGAGGCCCGCCACTCTAGCGTTCGGGCAAGGGTTCCCCTGGGACCTCATCCCCCGAATTTGAGCTCTCTGGGTCTTTGCGTTCCGGAGATACGAGCGATTTTCTTCTGAGATCGTGACGTCACCGGCGTCCGCAATTTTGCAGCGCGTCCGATGGTTTTCTGCTAATATCTCCGCGAAAACACCACCAAAAACTATGGAACTTATATGGTTCTTTTCAGCTCGACTAGATGGTCCCAACGAGCTCGGTGCTCGCCGAATCCGTCAAGTATTCGCCGAGATATTTGCGTAATAGACGGTATTGTCTATGAGTTCGAGCACGAGCGCTCTTGTAAAATTTGGTTGCAATCTGAAACATCACCACTAGAGGCCGCTAAAAGTTACATAGAGCACCTTTAATGCATTGTTTAACTACCTGAATTTAAATAAACTAAAAGCATGTATAATTGTTAATGTTCCATCAATATAACAGTTTTCTATTGTAATACCTTTTAAAATGTCATTTATTTTTGTGATCAAAGCTGAATTTTCCGCATCATTACTCCAGTCTTCAGTGTCACATGATCCTTCAGAAATCATTCTGATATGCCGGATGTTTGTCCTTGCAGGTTCTCTGACTCTTCATCATTGGCAGCAGCTGGCTAAACCCCACCTGGCCACTATCCTAGACCCCCATCCAGGTGTAGTTACCAAAGGCTTCCGCCCTCTCCCTCAGGACAGTGTTTATCACCTGAATGACCTTGAAGAAGACGAAGACCAGGCTAAACTCTCATGGGAACATAAGAGAAAAGAGGAGGAGACACAGGCCACAAAAACAAAAGAGGATGAGGAGGAGGAAGAAGAGGAAGGAATCACATTTCACGTGCGGTCATCATCTACTCCGGAAGAGAAGACCGAGAGGAGGCGTGTCCAAAGCCCAGTTAAGGTCCCGCCCCTTCCTGCATCCCTCAGGAACTCCCCTGTGCCCATAGCAACGGTTGTGTCCTTAGCAACAGCAGTTAACCAGACAGCTTCTCCTACAGTCAGTTCTGGAGTCTCGGAATCAGCAGTTCCCCAGTTTGACCTGAATATCGGCTCTAAAGCGTCCTCTACAGGTAAACAGCTGTCACTGCAACCACCATGTGTTCGTTCCTGAATAATAATAATGCATGTTTGTTGATCACTTTTTTGTTTGTTTAGCTATAAACCCTGGGAAATATCAGAGCTCCACTTTTTCCACGTACACCTTCACTACCTGCCGGATCCTGCATCCCAGTGACAGCACACAGGTTACACACAGGTAAAACAACGACAGCCCTAATAAACCTAGTAGTTCAAGGGTGGAAGAACAACTGTTATTATTTTTGCTGTTTGGTGACATGTAAAAATGTGCAGTTTAGTGAAGTGAGCAAGCAGTGTTATAAGACCGATTCAGATTGCTAATATATATTATATAATTATTTAACTTTTTATTAACCTTTTCTCATCTGGGCTGGGCTTTCTTGTTTGTTTTTTTAATCACAAAAAAACACAAAAGTTCGATTTTTTTTTTTTGGCAAATGTAAAGGCCCTTTCACACCAAAAGTGAATTGAATAAGCCTCAGGCTGAAGGAAGTCTAAATTCACGCCTGTATAGTAGAGGGCGCCGCTCAAACAAACCTTTCAGCTGTTGCCATTCTGAATTGCAGAAGAATAGGACGCAGGAAAAGAAAGTTCAACACTTAATTCAGCAATAAAAACAAATGAATGAAACAAATGTTATGTGTATCTAGTCATTTTTGCTTATTAGTATGGTCGAATTGGATCATCAATGGTCAGCAGCAAACACATTGCTTAATAAAGTGAGATTAAATGCATAAAGTATATTTGTGTTAACATATTTAACTATTGGTTTGCTAATATTCTGAGTTTGCATTTGACTGTTTTTAATCATTCTGAGGAATGCTTAATCTGTGCATGTGAGATGAGTAAATGCCTGCTCACATTTAGTCTAGAACTACAATAAGCATCATGTTCACACACAACCGCTCTGCACTTACTCATGATTTATTATGGGAAAGCAAAGTAACTTGAATTACTTATTTGAAAAAAAGTAACTGATGTTTTGTTTTCAATTTAAAAGTAATGTGTTACTTTACTAGTTACTTGAAAATGTAATCTGATTACTTAAAGGAGTAGTTCACTTTAAAAAAAACTTTTGCTGATAATTTACTCACCCCTATGTCATCCAAGATGTCCATGTCTTTCTTTCTTCAGTCGAAAAGAAATTAAGGTTTTTGATGAAAACATTCCAGGATTTTTCTCCATATAATGCACTTTACTGGGTACCAAACGGTTCAAGGTCCAAATGACAGTTTCAGTGCAAACTGCAAACTGTTCAAATGGTTTTAAATGACACCAGACGATGAATAATGGTCTTATCAAGCGAAACGATCGCTCATTTAAAAAATAAATAACAAAGTTTAAGTTTTATAAGCTCAACTGAACAAATCTTTTTTCGAGTCATTTGATTCATTTAACGACCGAAATGAACGAATTGACTCGGAAAAAGATTTGTTCATTTTGATGAACGAGTTCGAACAGGAGAGTCACACAGAACAGAGAAAGGCGAGCATGTGAGCTTATAAAACTTAAACTTTGTTTTGTTTTTTTAAATGAGCGATCGTTTCGCTCGATAAGACCCTTATTCATCGTCTGGTGTCATTTAAAACCATTTGAACAGTTTGCAGTTTGCACTGAAACTGTCATTTGGACCTTGAACCGTTTGGTGCCCAGCAAAGTGCATTATATGGAGAAAAATCCTGGAATGTTTTCATCAAAAACCTTAATTTCTTTTCGACTGAAGAAAGAAAGACATGGACATCTTGGATGACATGGGGGTGAGTAAATTATCAGCAAAAGTTTTTTTTAAAGTGAACTAATCCTTTAACCAGGTTACTTGTAATGCGTCACCCCAACACTGGTTATGGATGGATCTGGTATGATGATTGTATTCCTGTGTTTTGTTTCTGTTCATTAGCTCTGCCTGTAGTCCTTCTGTCAGCGTTAACACCCCGAGTTCTCTCCGGACTGGTCCCAGTACTCCAGTCACACCCTGCAGGTTGAGTCTGGGTGATTGTTTCCCGGTTCGCCGGCCTGCAGCGCCCCCTGGTGGTCTCGCCAAGCTCCTGCTGGAGAAAGGCATCTCTGCTCAGGGTCCCGTCGCTGTGGCGGCACCTAAAAAGCCTCTTTCTCTCCGTCTTCTTCCCAGCACTCCTCCAAACTCCCCCTCCCACTCCCCATGCCCCTCCCCAGTGCCCTTCGACTCCCGCTCCACCTCTTCGGACAACTTTCTGGCATCCCGTCCCGCTGAGCTCTTCCTGCAAGACGTTTACGGGCTGAAACTCGGTCGTGCCTCTCGACCGGATCTCCTCAGCCCTGAACAACCCCCTCACGGCCAGTCAACCAAACCGGACCGCCACGGCGTCAAGCTCGTGGAGCATCTGCGCAAGCTAGGCTTGGATAAAAAAGTGCTCCAAGGGTCTGATGCCGATGGTGCCCATCCACAGGAGTCTGCCACCTTCCTAGCAACAGGAGGCGGCAGCTTATTGGACGGGCTTAGGCGAAATCAAAGTCTACCTGTTATGGTTGGCCGCCGTAGCGCATCCGTTTCCAGTCCGTCCTTCCCTGTCCCGCCCCCTCACCCGACTTCATTGGCCATTCCCACTCCACCATGGGGGAACCCAAACGAACCACGCCGCACACGTAGGCCCGCCTCCCTTTCTCAGGCCCCGCCCCACCTGCATAATTAATACGGATGTGGGAGGGGTCTTAGTCCATGCCATCAAAACCGTCAGTTCCCCTTCCTGCCACCCGTAAACAGACCAAAAGAAACTGAAAGACATTTAAGGTTGTTTTTAAAGCACACAAAAAAATGAAGGGAAAGTGTTGATGAAGATTTTAAAGGCCTTATCATAGCACTCAAGAGGAAATAAAGACTTCTTTTTCCCCATCTTTTATTGTTTATCTTCACCCCTTTATCCTTATTTACTCTCACTAACACTTCATCGCACTTCTGTTCTGTCCATTAACTCATGAGGCTGTGGAGTTGTGAGGTGGTGGAGAGCAGGAAGGAAGATGTACGTGTAGAAGGATGTTGAATGTTGAATGGATGGAAGGAAGGAAGTTTAAAAGAATGCTATAAAGTCCTGGGAATGTGAAGGTTTCTGTAGGTTTATTTAGAATTTTCTGTCACTTTGATTCATTGTAGTGAATCATATAAATGAGATTGAGGTGATGAACACAAACAAGAATGGAATACGGAAGTGAAATGAATGTTTGCGTCTCCACAGCCTCAGTTTAGGAGTTTGTCTCGATTCATCCAGCAGTTCCTGAGAGTTTCTGTCCAGTCTGTCCTGCGTTGTAGACATTTAGTAGAACATCTACCTGCCTGTATTGTCTTTTATTGTGTGTATTTTTGCATCGTGACAGGTCTAACCAAGATTGTGTGTCCCTCATCATTATAGTGTATATGGACATAAGCTTCTCTTGTTTTTTTGCACTGAATTAATTGGTTATTGGGAAGGTTTGTGTCGAGCACATCTGGATTGATTTGAGTTTGTTACATGTAACCTTATTCTAAAAGATGTATTTGAAATGATATTCAGGGACTGTGTATTTAAGGGAAAGAGTGATCTGTCCATATGTACACTTAGAAGGCATCACTGCAGATTATACTCTTTAAGTTTGGCTTAAGAAGATGAATATGCGACTGAAACATTAATTATTCTTGGAGTTTGATTCATTCGATCACTGATTTCTGCTCCAGTTTCCCATTTATTCGAGTAGGATACAGTTGATTGTTATATTCTATTGTCATTCTCCTTTGCGTTGACATCCCTTAAATATAAAACGTGCAAATTGTATTTTTAGTGAACACAGAATCCGCCCTAGAGACGGTCTTGACACTTTGCATATGACCTTTGACCCCTGAATGAATTTCAATTGTGCTTCCTTGTCATCCTCACTTTTCTCATTTTATGCACTTTTCGTTTTAACCCATTAAAATTGTGTTTTTAGTAAATAGGCAATACATGTGTTATCTAACAATGAGGTAAAACTAGAGTATGTTAATAGATTTATCCTGAGCGATATCTAATATGAATTACTAGCCGTTCAGGTAGGAATTATTAATATACATTTCATGTTTTTGGTGGAGTTTGAGAAGGGACTCAAGATTCAAAGGCCTTTTTGGGTTTAAACCAAAATTATTTGTCTTATTTGCCTGAATTGTCATTTTATAAGCTAAAACTTGTGTTTGTGGTAAACTGACTTGTTGTACTTTGTAGTAAACACAGGGAAACTAACAGGTGAGACATTTGTCAGCTATGCCAGTGAACAAGAACACAAACTAACACACATGATTCAAACTAAACGTCAGTTTCGGATCGCGTCATACAACAGACTAATACCAGCATGCTTGCTGCATATATACATCACTAGCTTTATCTCTAACCCGAGCTGAAGTGTATGGTACTAAACGCATGATTTGATAGAAGTATCAAAGTGTCCTTATTTCCATCCTGCTGTTGATGTCATCAAGCTCTCGGCTGCCATTCAGGTCAAAGGTTAATGCTTGAAGATGATGCCATAATTTGTGACATTAAGCACCAAATGATTTCTTTTGTGCGGTTGACCTAGTGACCACAGCCTTGGTGTGTTTTCCTGTGTTTAGCTGTCAGAACCCTGTATCAGCATCATTATGTTGGGTTTTTTTATAATAAAACAAACAAAATCAACTTTGGTGTCCCTGACATTTCATCCTGAGGAGTTTGACAACTACACAGAAGCTAAAAATGTGCTTTTTATTTGGTCATTTTAAGTATATCGTAGTAACGGTATGATTCATTTCCCTTATTAAATTGTGCAAAAGTTACATTAGATTGTTTTAATGTATATTATAATTGTTAATTTATATTAGGAATTATTTGCCATAAACAAAACTGATTCTAAAAAAAAAAAACTGGGAAAATGCATCCAAATGAATCTTGTTTTGTACTATTTTTGCATTGACATTTATATTTTTGAATGAATAAAAAGTTACAGCCCAATTCCAATTAGAATAATAGAAAAAAAAATCATACTATTGTGATGTTAATTAAATATGTATATTATTGCAGATGTAAAATTAAGCATGTTTTGTACGATTTTTACATTGTGGCATTTGTTTTTATAACAATTAAGCAAAATTACATACCAATTCTAATTACCATAAGGTAAACAAAATATTGCATAAAACATTAATTCACATTAAAGTAATAAGATTTTTTTTTTTTTACTATTGCAGGTTTTTTTTTTTATGTATAGACTATGATTATCATTGTTGTTTTGCAGTAATGAAAAAAAAATCATTGTATAATTGGAATTACAAACAAAAATTAAACCAGAAGCATTACAGTAATGTGAATTTATAAGAAAAAAAGGGTAACACTTTAGTTTAGGGTCCAATTCTCACTATTAACTAGTTGCTTATTAGCATGCATATTACTAGGATATTGCCTGTTTATTAGTACGCATGAAGCACATATTAATGCCTTATTCTGCATGACTATATTCTACATCCCTTAATCCACCCAATACCTAAACTTAACCTTTCTAACTATTAATAAGCAGTAATTAGGAGTTCGAGGCAAAAGTCGTAGTTAATAGTGAGAATTGGACCCTAATCTAAAGTGTGACCAAAAAATAATCGTCTTACCAATAGACTTGATTTTCTTTATCCCCAAAATATATTGATTTTGCGGCGAAATATGCCCCGGATATGTTTTTTGTGAGATTCGCTCCGTTCACAAGGGACAGATTTTAATGCTGTCTGACGTGGAGCTGAACTGACCCATGGCGAAGTCGAGCCCCACGCCGACCCCACAGCCCACCCCGAACGCAGCATACAGCGGGGCCGGGAACGACCCGTGAAAGACATGGAGAGGAACCAGCTCGTCATCCACGCTATAGAAACTCAGAGTCCCTGCGGGCCGGTCCAGAAACACCCCTACACGGGGACTGTAGGTCACGGGGATCTCCTCCTTCTGATTGGCGTGCATGGCAGCGCAGCACATGTCTGACAGCTCCAAGCTCCACGATTGGCTGTTATACCCAAGCCCCGCCCCTGAATCCGCCCCTTTGCGGGGCATTGAGGCACTGGCCACACCCAGAGACGAGCCGCGCCCCCTCCACTCCACCTCCCAGTAGCAGCGCTCAGAGGACAGCTTCTGGACACACAACACCTGCGTCCAGCAGTCGAAGCGCTGAGAGAGGTCAGGGAACGCCTGGGACGTCTGATGAAGAGTGGCTACGGTGTCTCCTTCAGACAGGACCAGGCGCCGGTGGGCTGTGTTTGGGTCCAGGGTCAAATCACAAGCATCTAATGGAGACCGAGAGAGAGAAGCGGATGAGAAGGAGAGTCTGAGAAAGATTGGAAAGAAGCTAGTGATGGATAATAGAGGATAATCAGACGTCATGAGGAATAATCTCACATTGCAGGAACTCGTCTCTGGTCCTCGGCTCTGGGGCTTGAATGCTGTCAATGTTAATTTCTCTCACTGTAAAGAAAGATTGAGACAACCAACAAGCTGTAAGAAAATATGATCATTCAAATATTTTTAAAAAGTGTGTGTGTGTATATCTATCTAGTGTGTCTATCTGTCATATGATCATTCAAATATTTAAAAAATGTATCTATCTACCATCTATCTATCAGTCATCCTATCTATATATCTAGCGTGTCATCTGTCATTTTATCCGTCTATCTGCCAGTGTGTGTGTAATTCTGTCTGTCATTTTCTCCATCTATCTGCCAGTGTGTGTGTGTAATTCTGTCTGTCTGTCATTTTATCCGTCTATCTGCCTGTGTGTGTGTGTGTAATTGTCATTGTATCCGTCTATCTGCCAGTGTGTGTGTGTAATTCTGTCTGTCTGTCTGTCATTTTATCCGTCTATCTGCCTGTGTGTGTGTGTGTAATTGTCATTGTATCCGTCTATCTGCCTGTGTGTGTGTAATTCTGTCTGTCTGTAATTTTATCCGTCTATCTGCGTGTGTGTGTGTGTGTGTGTGTGTGTAATTCTGTCTGTCTGTCATTTTATCCGTCTATCTGCCACTGTGTGTGTGTGTGTAATTCTGTCTGTCTGTCATTTTATCCGTCTATCTCCCAGTGTGTGTGTGTGTGTGTGTAATTCTGTCTGTCTGTCATTTTATACGTCTATCTGGCTGTGTGTGTCTGTGTAATTGTCATTGTATCCGTCTATCTGCCTGTGTGTGTGTGTGTGTGTAATTCTGTCTGTCATTTTATCTGTCTATCTGCCTGTGTGTGTGTGTGTGTGTGTAATTCTGTCTGTCTGTCATTTTATCCGTCTATCTGCCACTGTGTGTGTGAGTGTGTAATTCTGTCTGTCTGTCATTTTATCCGTCTATCTCCCAGTGTGTGTGTGTGTAATTCTGTCTGTCTGTCATTTTATACGTCTATCTGGCTGTGTGTGTGTGTAATTCTGTCTGTCATTTTATCCGTCTATCTGCCTGTGTGTGTCTGTGTAATTGTCATTGTATCCGTCTATCTGCCAGTGTGTGTCTGTGTAATTGTCATTGTATCCGTCTATCTGCCTGTGTGTGTGTAATTCTGTCTGTCATTTTATCTGTCTATCTGCCTGTGTGTGTGTGTGTGTGTGTGTGTGTGTAATTCTGTCTATCTGCCTGTGTGTGTGTGTAATTGTCATTGTATCCGTCTATCTGCCTGTGTGTGTGTGTAATTCTGTCTGTCTGTAATTTTATCCGTCTATCTGCCTGTGTGTGTGTGTGTGTGTGTGTGTGTAATTCTGTTTGTC